ATATAACATATGTTGGAGACATTAGTACAAACTATAACTAAAATTCAGAATTTTAGGTGCTGATCTACCGGATTCTTTCGGCTCGAAAATGCGAGGCAATGTTTGAAAATTTGTGTCCAAAACCATATTCGAGGCCAATTTGTTTCTGGGAATCTAGTGACGACTGATGCGTTCTCATATGTTTCTTATGTAGTACTACTGGCAATTTCTGGATAGGCCAAAATATGGGTCTATATCCATTACCTCGTAGCTCCTGGAGCACTACAAAATCCAGAAAATATACAATTACACCAAATTGTTTTCGGTTTTCATGGCCAAGTAGCATGAGAACCCTACCACTCACCTGTCATCTGATTGCAGATTCGTAATCTACAAAGTTCTCTAACGCTTCCAAATTTTGGCTGTATATATTTACTAGAAAGGTAAAAACAAGATATCTGAAACTCAAGTAAATTATTGATACATATTTTTTTCGGTAACTCATGAAACTCAAATGCCCCTATCTCAGTCAATTTTTAAACTACAGCCCACAAATTTTGAACAGTTTCTAGTTTGTGCATGTACAATAACATATATATTTCTAGATTTTTTCGATTTCCCACATTTCTGAAAATTGACCCACTTGACATGGAATGAGCCTTCAGTAATACTCTCGGAACGCTATTTATGTTCCTTTCAAATTTATAATATTCTGAAACAAAGCTATTATTTATAACCTTCCTCTCAAATCTATTGATAGTTTGCGGCGATGTTCTTTCCAAACATCAAAATTTGAACCCATGTGTGTGCAACGACAATGAAATTCAAATTCAATCCGGATGTTATAAAAACTGCTTATGGACCAGAAGGATGATAACCGTAACAAGAATAAGAACTAGTAAAACAATAAATTAACTCAAGAGACAGATGATTTGGCATTGTCCTTTCACAAAACATAAATCAAAACATAATCAAATCAAACTAAAAAGAATAGTGCCCGAATCCATGCAAAATTTTCAAAAAAAATGTGAATACAAAACTATGACAGCTAAATATACGCTGCTATTATTATACGATTCTATTTTAAATATTTAACAGTGCCATTTCTATTTGATCTATTTCATGACAGAAATATAAATAACTTGAACATGATAACCACTACATATGTAACGCTAAAAATGACTAACGTCAGACGAGAGGCGAACGCCATTATGAAAGTTATTCTTGAGCTGCCCCTGAGCTTTCAAGCGCTAACAAGGCACCAATCTGGACATAATAAGCCGGCATAAATATTACATTTTACGTAAAGCGGAACAAAATAGCGATATAAAGGGTAATATGATTTATTAAAGCTAGCTGCTTGAGGGATGAATATAAATAAAAGTAGCAGTGAAGGAGTATAATGGTGCTTCAAATCATAATCATTGATTCTTGAACTTTTTGTACTTTCAGTTGAAAATTTAAAAATGTATCATTGACATTTTCTGTTTTCTCTGGTGAAATGGCTTAAGTTCATGTTTCTTTTTTTAATTTGTGCTAATTTATGATTCGGCAAGTTATGATAATATTGTTGTAACAGTCATGTTTGAACGACGGCAGCATTTTAACAAATTTGTTGATTTCAAACAAACCGATATCCCGGTGTGATAATTATGTTACGTAGGCATGGGCTTTACCAAAATCAAACGAATGGTTATGATTTTCTCCTGAAAGGCTGTGTTCAGTTAACAATAAAGAAACACACCCTCTAACGTATAATAATTATTCATATACATTTGTTTTCATGATAATCCTTATCATGATATTGTATTTACAGAGAAATCATCGGGATATCGTGCAATGGCGTTTCATACTAATACCCTTTTCTCACTTATTTGAGGAGTTCAGAGCTACCAAATGTTCAATGTATGACTATTTTTGTGTTTAGGTAACTGGACTGGTCTGTGTAGTGATTGTCATTTCCCAGAACCCCATCACTCCCAGATCTCTTCAACATTTAAAATTATTTATGCCATGAGTATTGACGGTTGTCGTATAGGAGATAACCGCCTTTCGTTAATTTCGCGATGCTTCAGAGTCAACCAATTTTAATTGTTCTTCGTGCGAAGCCAAGAAGTCGAGTTACTTCTAAAGCCCCCATTACACCAAACTAATTCTCACTACGTTCTGGAAAATGTTGCCAAACGGACTCAGACTGTGTGCGAACGGAGTGAACGTAGTTGCAACTTTTTGCGATCTTCATGAGCGGGCTCGGACTGGCTTGGACGGGACGGGTGCTCCAGAATTTTGAACCAGTTCAAAAATTTAGCCGCCCTGCAGTTACAACTTACTACAAACGTAATGGGGATCACGGTCGTTAAGTGGGTAGGACGATGGCTCGCTAGCCTGGAGGTCGGATGTTCGATCCCTGCATTGGCCGAGGAAGTTCATCCAAATTTTCCGGCGTGGTTCTCCCTTGTCAGTGATGCAGGACGGAGAGCCTGACAAGGGCAGCTGTCTAGGCGTTCGGATGGGACGAAAAACCATGTCCCGTGTATACATTGGCGTGCACGTAAAAGATCCATTGGCAGTTGGAATTCGATATAAGAGTAGGCCGTAGTGCCGCTGCCCGGGCAAAATTTCCCTCATAGCACACTGTATGGCGTATGCCCGTCTTCATTAGCCCAGTTCGGAGCAGAACAGTAGGACGTTAAAACACATTTCATTACACGAACGGAATGGCCGTACAATTAATGGAATTGCCATATTTCGGCCCTACTCGGGACGTGTTACAACGTGATGTGGTCGAGCACCAGTTAGCTCTTTTGCTTCGTGTCCTTATAGGGTTCCCCTTTTTTGTTGCAGAGGACTACACTGGCCTTGAGCCATGACTTCTTCTTCCTCAGGGGTGAGATGAGTGGAGTCTTTGTTATCTTCGGGGACTCTTGCTGCTTCATCATCTACTGAGGCAGAGATCAACAGGATCCAGGGACAGGTATAGCAACTTGGAGCTAGTGGGGATTTTCGGGCAGTACTAGTGGCTGCAGTCCTTCTGGCACTTGCTTTTGGAGGCATGATGGAATAGTGCTATATTTCAATGTCTTGATCTGCACAATGTCTTGGATCGTTGAACGGGAATGAGGAGTGGCAAGAACGCATCGGGTCTTTATAGCCCACGAGCCAGGATTCGACACGCAATAGGGGCGCTTCCGAAAGTACTAAGAACGAGATGGGGACGAGTTGAACTGCCTCTGAACGGGGCAAATTTACCCGATCTGACCTTGATATCAACTGACGGTGGACGGGATACACACGAGATGGAAGTATTGAGGACTGTTTATGACCACAACCCGTTTTACGATTTTGTAGGACCAGGTAGCGCGTTTTTGAGAATTTGTTTGAACTTGCTTGGTGTGGTGGCGGCTTTAGTTTCACGTTGTTCATTTCTTAATTCTTGCCTTAGCGCTGTTAACTCATAGCAATGGAACTGAATCTTGAACAATAGGAATGTGCATGACATATACCGACCGGAAAACGAAGAGAACACAATTCGCCCCTTCTTGTTCTTGCAGCTTCTCCCTCCGATATAAGTGAAGTGAGGGCAAAGACAATTAATTCAATTTCTTGGACTATCCTTCCGAAGGCAAGAAGGCCCAGAAGGTTACTTATCGGCTTCTATACATACCCAAAACATTTTCCTTTCTAATTTGTCATACTGTTTTATTATATTTAATTAACCCTTGTCGGTGCATGTGGGGTCTCCGTGGACCCCATGCACATGTTTTATAGTGTTGTGTAATAACTACTGGGCACTGCCTTTTGAAATTTAGTGACTTTGTCTCCTATACATTTTTACACGTAGTGAAGAACTCGGTATTCATCTGCTTCCCACATGCAGAGTTCTGTTACATGCAAATCAGGCCCAACGCTTGAAGATAACAAGGGGTCCAATCGGACCCCTAACTTAAACAACTCAACGTAGGGATTTTGCTAATGTATTTGCTGCCTAATACCATATTGCGTATGCCAGAGTATTCTCTCTTTTAGCAGCTGCATGTTACAAATACCAAAAATTAAATGACAGATTCAAGATATTCAATGGTTTTTGTATCAAGCGTGAATTGCCATTTTAACCTCTTTATCACATAGTACACAAAGTAGCAATTTTGTGAGAATTATTAAATCTTTTCCAAATGTCACTAAAATGTTTTTGTAAAATAATTTAGTTGTTTTTCAGTTGTCAAATATGAAGGCAAATAAAAACTAAACCGCTGCCTTTTAATTCAAATATATCTGTACGTAAAAACTTTGAATTATAACTGGGGTCCACATGGACCCCTGATACCTGCTATGTGATTCTCATAACGTGAACCCACAAGGGTTAAACAATACATTGAGCAAAAACTTCACGAAAGACTGAAAGGTCAATATTGGTGTCAGTCATTATCACATATATTATGTGATAGAACTGGTTAAACACGTTCCAAATATAATTTTAACAAAGAGATCATTGCTACGATAGATGCCTTATGACGATTTCAAGAAAGGTGAGTGACGAAAGCAAAAGAAAAACATGAGTTAGCCTTCTATATAACTGACTATAGTGACGAGTGATAACAACTTTTGGTTTTCAAAGGATTTATTAGTGAGCAGAAATTCGCCCGTGTAACTATGGTCACTCGTCACTTCAGTCAGCTAAACAGAAGGATAACTCGTGTTTTCCTTTTGGATGCAGACCACCATCTATTTCCCCTTTGACTTCAATGTTAATTCTGGCTTCTTTGCCCATGAATCATGAATATTTACCAAAACCTGACAGAAAATGTTAATTCAAACCCTCTTCGTCCATTCTAGAGCAACAAATCAACAAAAATGGGCATGAAAAAGGGAAGAAAAGAGACAGAAAGAGAGAATTGCTATGAATTGACGAACTAGATTGTGAAATTTAATGGTGGTCTGCCTCCTTTTGCGTTCGTCACTTCCCGTTCTTGAAATCGTCATAAGGCATCTATCGTTGCAATGATCTCTTTGTTAAAATTATATTTGGAATGTGTTTAACCAGTTCTATCACATAATAATGTGATAATGACTGACACCAATATTGTCCTTTAATAATACGTTTTGATTGAACAGGACACACTATTATACAAGTAACAAAACAAATGGGGCATCATACATTTTGGATGAATGTAAAATATTATAAATATTACAAAACATATATACTGCAATGAAGTTCAGCAAGAGTCGAATAATAGCACATAGCATGATTACGAAATGATCCCCAACTAATATTCTAAATTGCACTAGTGGATGGATAACAGCTAATATTAGATCTCAGTACTTGAGCTAACTTTTATACTTTCATAACTCATGCTCCCTCCAAAATCTTCCGCGTTTTTTCCTTTGGTCGATCTGAAAAAATAACGGATAAGGGTCATTATCATTAATCCGATACAGCATCACAAGAAAGAGAGTCTAAAGAAGTCGGAGAATTCCAATATAGCTTCAAAGGAACAGAGTCTGGAGAAGTTGTACGTCGTACCATAGATATATTAGAGGATAAAACTGATTCTGCGTGATCGACTCTTAGAATCCCTTGTCTTGGTTCTGTGTCACTATCTAAACCTCTGTAATACCCTTTCAAAGAAATACAAACCTTCGCTTCCTTATGGCATGGATGCGCAGTAAATTTCGGGGGATTAGCAAGCTACTCATAATATAGAACATTGGGATTCCTTAAATGAGTTTCGGAACCACAGTGCTCTTATGCGAAGACTTCCAGAAGTAATTCGAATATTTCTTCATGCTTTTGACATTTGATTTTGCATACTTAACTCTACATTGTGAACCAATGGATGGTGATGTCTATGGACCAGAAAATTGATAACATACTGCATAAAGAAACCTGGTGTGTTACGTAAAATCCATTTTACAGATTAAAGATACATTATGTAAGGTTTATATAAAGAGCTAGCCATTCTTGCTATATTAGTTCGAAAAACGATAATGTCAAAATGAATAATTTGAAAATTTCATCAAATTACTCTATTGCGAGCGAAGATATTAGCCTCTGAAGGTTTGACATGACGTATGCAATAATTTCAACCACCGTACTGGTTGTTCGAAGCTAAGTCTCGCTCCTCCGTTTTTAGATTAAATCAAAATATGGCTGAACCGTTCTAAACTATTTAATATCGGAGAAATCCGATGCCATCGAGAGTTGATTATGGCCTGGATCAGTTAATTAATGTCTAATTAATAATTTAGAAAACATTTCAGGCCTAAAGAAAGACATGCAACAGGCAGACTTAGCTCTTGCATAATGTATGTTTAAATAAATACAAATTTTGATATGTGAAGAAGCATATCTATAACATATATTTCCTTGTCGGTCATTTTTTAGGAATATTTTTGGGCGCTATTGGCAAATAAAAAACAAAAACCAACCGTTCTTCTCGGTGATTAGTAGCACTTGAATAGCACAATGGTTTTTTTACCTATTGAATTTTAATCCCATCGTAATTGTAACTATTATATAGTTCTGTTCGAAATTATAACGAGATTATTGCGCATACTGTTGTTAGCGTTCTTACATAATAACGTCATTCGGCATACGACCAAGGGGCGCCGGAAAGTCCAAGGGGCAAAGGGGCAAGGGGCGACTTCCGGGGCGGGCCTCTCGCACCGGGGGTTTGAAGCATAGAGAGCAACCCCACACATCATGCTCAGCTGGGTCAGAGATCAAGACTCGTGCGACTCGTCCTGTTTGAATGAACACCTCCCGGCTCCCCTCACTAGCGAACCCAGTCTCCACTCACTAACCGGAGATGAGCACGAGATTGGATCCCCTACCCCCTTACCTAAGCAACCAATGCTCGAACAAATACCAATTGTTAAAATCGGTGAAGACTTGGGGCGAGAAGAATGGTCAGACAATCTCATTGCTGTGTAGGATAACATTTTAAAGGACAGTCATTAAAAAAGTAAGGGCAGCGAGGCAATTGCCCCGTGCTTGGGGAGGGGGGAGGGCAATGGGGCGTTTGCACAAATAGCCCCGCCGTCCCGGCGCTCCTGATACGGCCGCCATCAAGACCGGTCTCATCATTTACATTGCTCCTTTCTTGTATTCAGTACTAAATTTTTATTTTTTTTTGAAAAAGGACCCATTTGTTAACTTTGTACTCATATATTTTCCAAACGCTTAAATCTAAAGACCTTGTTTTTGGACTTGGCATTTTGACTCATTTGTATAAACTGACTTATATATTATATGTTTGAGGGAATCCGGTATCCGTGTGTAGTATGTCTTGTCCACGGGTTTGACTTATTGATTTCTGTTTGTTTATGTGGTGCGGTTTTCATGCACTTACTATAAGAATATTACGGAGTCGTCCCAAATACTTATATAACTTACAGTCTAGATAATACCTCTTGCTTTATGGCTTTTCTTTTATTTTCATCTATAGGATAAGACCACAGGCTCAATAAAGCTATAAGAACAAATATCACAGGTCCTGGCACCACTAATAATCTTAATGTTAAATCTACTGACTTAGGCTGAGTACATGCACCAGTTTCATATCCTCCTAAACTATAAAACAATAAACCATATTTATAACGAAAAGTTAATCTTGGCATCCATAAATAGGCTATGATGGTATTTGCACAATTTAATTTTGAACTGAAACCATCACCCGTATTCTTATATCCGGTAAATAACATACTACATTATAAAATTTTACTTAAATATAAAATAGCAGCCATAGAAAACATTCATTGTCATAATTCCATTTTCACATAGCTAAAATCTAAAACCAAATAACGAAAGATTTTGGTATATTTTAACTGTATTTTATTGTTTTCAATTGTTTGTCGGTTATCAGTTTTTTTGCATAGACACACAACAATTGTTTTCGTTATGCACGACAGTCTATGGTGAATCAAAAAAAAAATAAGAATGTTACAGAAGGAAAATGCATTTTAAAACGGGGTAAAAAAAAAAACATAACCAGGAGAGTGTGGTACAAAAAATGGTTAATGGGATATTCATGTTTAATGGATTCTTGTGGATATTATATGATAAAAAAAAACAACATAATAATACTTACTCCAAAGCTAATAATGAAAGTGCTAAACCCAAACCTACGGCTAATTTATTGAAAAATACATAAAATGAGTAAAACATGGCATCTTTTCTAGTATTTTTCTCTAACATGAATAAATCTAACACATCTGGTAGTAAAGACCTGGAGAGAAAAGATTTAACAGTTGTTAGATAATACTTTTTATATGTCAAGAGAAAAAATATTATACAAATAATCTGGAAAATACTACAATTTTCTGTTTCTTTAGTGGAAGAATCCATTAAAATTTCAAGCAAATGTAGAGGCTGGGCAACGGAAACCATGCCCCACCTAATAGCTCTTGTCTTAATTAGCCCCTTTTAGAATACCATAATGTTCCAACGACACTGATATATCAACAAAATCTACATTTTAAGAAGTTGTAAGAAAATAGGAGTGTGTCAAATTAAAACAACTATTTACCTAAATAACACCACCGAAATAAATCTATGTTTTTGTGAAGTCATGTGAAACTAGGAATTAATTAAAATTTTACCATGGTAATAAAAGAGAAACAGAAACACTTAAACCAGCGAAAGCAACTACAAAATAATAAGGTATTGGTTCTTCTTTAGGTAGAAAAAGTTGAGTTATAAGAATTGGTATAAAAATCTGAAGAAAAGAAAAGCAATTGAAAAGGTAAATATAATCATGATCTTTGTAATATTTATAAGAAAAGGAACATTTAAACCTAATTGAAATTGAATTTCTTAAAGTTGTACAGAGAACTATCTACTTTAAGAATAGATTACTGCCCTGGGTGGCCGCCATGTTCAAAAGTCAGTGTACTATTTTTATTTTGTTATGCGGTTCTCATCCCATTTAAATGGAAGAAGAATAAATACTTCTCAAATTTGTCAAAGTGTACTTAATGTTTTCGAACAAGATCATCGATGTAGGAATTCAAACGTCGGTAGCTTCGTGTCTGGTCTCCAGTGGAGCTAATTGTATAGATATACAACGAAGGTTTCGTATGATCAGTAGGACGTTACTAGATTTATTTTCACATTCCTCTACGACATTTTAATACATCTACAATCCAAAACATCACTACTTTCGATTTCCGTCCGTGGTATCAGATTGGTAGAATTGTCAAACACTTACTATTAATCCGGCAGCGTAAGTTTTCTTTTTACCAATTTTCTGTAAAACTAGTTGCCATACAGGTATAGCTGCTATAGCTACAATCTAGAATACAGGTTTTGATTACTCATACATTATTGTATAAATTTTAATATTGCTATTGCCTTTCACGAGAAATGTGATTCCTGTTCAGGGCTTCCAACTTAACCATCCCATGATTATAACATTGTTAAAAATAGTGTACACCTTGGTACTCTTCCTGACAAATCTACATAACATGAAAATAACCTAGAATAATATAAAAATAAACCAAGGCAATACAAATTTACTGCATTTAAAATAATCACAAATATACACTTACAATACACAAATTTACAATAAATAGAATAGACAACGCAGTCCAACACGCAACAAAACATACAATATAACAGTACATGAATACAATATAAACATATCTTACCATTAAGACTAGAACAAAATTAGAGAATTGATCACCCATTTTTAATGTATGAGTGCAGTATAATGCTAAATTCCCTTGAACCACCTGCAATAAGACATTCAAAGAGTTAACAATAAGACACATCCTGTCAACAAAATAAATGCTTCCAATATTTTAAGACTAACATATTAAGGTATTTATTTTTTATATTTACTCACTGAAGTACCTACATTTGACCAATGTCTATTCCCAATACTAATCACATTGATAAAGCCAGGAAGTTTACGGTGTATGCTTCTTGTTATCCCCGAGAAGATAACAAAATTTTGTGGTAGATCAGAGAATATGCATCTTGGGTATTGTATATGTATACCAGCGAACCAATTTGGTTTTTTCCTGTTCTCGGAATATTGTGATATTTAGAGAAAGGGGTGTTTTGAAACTTACAGCGACAGCTAGAGACATAAAGAGAAATATTAACCCAGCTTTAACATAAGGTTTGTAAGTCAAGACAATTTTTAAACTTGAGAAATAGCCTTCTGTACCATGATCTTCAACAACGCCTGATATATATAAAACATTATAATTATGTTTAAATAAAAATAATGTATAATTATATCATACATAAATAGACTACTATGTCTACAACAGCTAATATATAAAATAGTTGTTGATAGTGTTTTAATTTAAATGTTTTCTTTTTGTAATTATATTGAGGTGAAATCTTTTGTTAAACTTTGCAAATGGATTTTTTTCTGAAACAGTGGTCACAAACCTCCATTGAAATATAATTCTACTACAGAATATGAGTTAATTGAACAAAATTAACGATTTTCAACGAACCTGGCTTTTCTTTAACACCTAAGAAAACTGTAACAGCACACGCCATGTAAATACCAATAAATATTAAAGCACCATAGCGGTAAGAAAGCTCCTGTTAACAAAATCATATTTGTAAATTAAATATAGAAAGTTTTCTAATGATTCCTGTGATACATTTAAAAACATAAAAAGCGTATAGTACACTTGCCATATGCGTGCCCCGGGAACTTATTTCATAAAATTATCATTTCTGTAAACTTAGGTTCATGTTAATCAAATTTTTATGTAATTATCTAGATTCTAGCCACAATAACTAGCGCTTGCCTTTCGATTTACATCATGATAATTTGTCTGAAATCGAAACTTGGCAGCTCTTACCTGTTCAACCAGAGATTGGGGTGAAACAGTTGTTTTAGCATCTACACAATCACCTGCTTTTCTTGTAGCTTCTACTAACCTTCCTTGCACTACTATAGCTAGTAATACCCCTATAGCTTCAGATACCATTCCTATAATTTACAATAACACATGTATTGCTCAATAGGTTCTGGTACCAGTCCTATAATTAACACACGTATTGCTATATGTGTGTAGTTCTGATACTAGTTACATAATTTACAAGAACACATGTATTGCTATATTTAATACAGCTATTGGTACCAGTCCTACAATTTACAAGGTCTGTCATTGCGTCAACTGACGTTGTTTCGATTCCCCGTCTGTACGTGACAAGGAGTAGGGTCGCCCGTCTAACCTCTTGGGTTTTCTCCGGACCTCCGGTTTCCTCCCACTACCAAAGACCCCTACAATAACACATGTATGTATGGCTATATCTAATGCAACTTTTGGTGCCAGTCCATTTCAAACTTATTATGGATGTCGTAGAGGACTACGCCAGATCATGGGCCAAGAGGGAAGATGTTATCTCTGATACTCTCTCAGATTGGACTAAGTCTATCAGTCGTTTACTTAAACGAAGAATTTATATGCAACGTTTATTAGTTGATACTAGGCCTAAATCTATTTTCAATGATGTTAGTATTGTTGAAAATCTCATCGCCTTACATGACAAGTATGTCATTGTACCGGCTGACAAAGCGTCCAATAACTTAGTGTTTATATGTAAACGATATTATTATGACTGCCTGTTCAAAGAACTTAATTTCGGGAAATCAATCGACAGTGTTACGTATAAACGCTCTACGCTTAGTAAGGATGAAATTATATCCAATCACAGATCTGTACTCACTTCATTTGGTACTCCATGTGGAGATACCTATACAGATCTGCCCTTGTTATATTGGATACCTAAACTACATAAAAATCCCTACAAGCAACGTTTTATAGCAGGTTCATCCCATTGTTCCACAAAACCACTTTCAAAAGTGTTGACATCCATACTAACGGCAGTGAAAGAGGGTATTCAAAAATACTGTGACAAAATATACTCTCGTAGTGGTTTTAATCAAATGTGGATATTAAAAAATTCCAAAGAATTACTTGATGGTTTACAATCTAGATCAGTTGCTTCAATCTCATCTATACAAACGTTTGACTTTTCTACTTTGTACACTAAAATTCCCCATAGTAAATTAAAAGCTCGATTAAAAGACATTATTCACAGTGTCTTTTCATCTAAATCAGGAAATGTTAGATATCAATATTTAGTTGTTAATTACAATTCCACATATTTTGTCAAGAACCATAGTGATTCCAACAATAAATTCACCGCCAACAAGATAATTCAGATGTTGGATTTTTTAATTGATAATATCTTTGTTGAATTTGGAGGGGAAATTTATCAGCAAGTGGTAGGTATCCCCATGGGCACCAACTGTGCACCTTTGCTTGCTGATTTGTTTCTCTATTCCTACGAAGCCGATTACATACAGGCACTTGTAAATTCAAATAAACGATTAGTCAGACATTTTAATTTCACTTATCGATATATCGATGATGTTCTATCACTGAATAATCCAAAATTTAGTGATTATGTAGGATTCATATATCCTGATGAGCTCGAAATTAAAAACACTACTGACGGTGACAATTACGCTTCCTACTTGGATTTGCGTCTCGATTTTGACAATTGCCATAAACTTAGTGTTAAATTGTACGATAAACGTGATGACTTTGACTTTCCGATTGTTACCTTTCCATTTATTAGTAGTAACATTCCAATATCACCAGCTTATGGAGTGTTTGTGTCTCAACTAATTCGTTACGCGAGAGCTTGTTCATTTTATTTTGATTTTTTAAGTAGATCGCGGCATTTGTCATCTAAGCTTCAACTACAGGGATACTTGCGAACTAAACTTATTAAAACCTTTAAAAAGTTTTATGGCCGTCATATTGACTTGATTGGTAAATATAACATGTCTCTCGGCAGTTATTCTAGATATATTTAATTGACGCGTATGCCATCTCCCTGGTAATGTCTGTCTACTACATCGTTAACACGGTTCATCACGTGCATTTTGCATACCGATAGTCCATTGGCCAATCACGCTATTTTACCGAGATTTCGCCTAATAGTTTGGATGCAGCTATGGCGGGTGTGGCGCCAGGCAGGGTAAGCTTACTCTTCCGGACACCTGTTACCACTGTTTGTCGTGTATTTTGTACACGGTGAACAGTCCATATGCTGATTACACTATTTTGCCTTATTACACTTTTTTAAGACTTCGAATTTTGTCTAATGGTTTGGATTGTTCGTACTTGGTTTTATTTTATTACAATAACACATGTATATCTAATATAGCTCTTGGTACCAGCCCTATAATTTACAATAACACATGTATGTATGGCTATATCTAATACAGCTTTTGGTGCCAGTCCTATAATTGACAATAATACATGTATTGCTATATCTAATAATAGTTTTTGGTACCAGTCCTATAATTTACATTAACAGACGTTTTGCTATTTCTAACCTTGTACCAGTCCTAAAATAAGTAGCTAGATTTAAATATCTATACATTTAAGATTATCTAAGACATATATATAATAATGAAATAAAGTTAATAATTATTGAGATTCTAAGAATTAGTCCGTACATGTATATTTAAATCTACATATTATTATATTATTAAGATTATTTATAAGAATCTAAAAAATATTTTAAATATGACAATTAACAATAATATGAGTTGATTGATTAGAGCTTGGTAAGTAAAATTAAGCTTTAAGAACGTATAATGTCCATTTAGACTTTAAACAATATCTGTAAAACGAACTTACGATAGGCTGTAGCTGAATCTCTTTCTTTTTGATCATTTGTTATAAACATAGTCATTGATGTGTATGGCACATGCAGACCCTGTAATATCGTGAATATTTATGTTATAAGGGCTATACTATATACCGGAAAACACAGGAAAACACCGGAAAACAACCGGAAAACACCATTTTATACTGAATACCGGAAAAAACCGGAAAAACACTAAATACCGGAAAACATCCTAAATACCGGAAAACACCCTAAATAGGTAACCCGGAGCCTGGTCCTCTGTGTGCGGTTTTGGACCAAGTGAGCGCTGATGAAGGAAGGTCAAGGTCATTACGATGTTCGTTTTACAAATAGAGAGTTAATAAATCTCTGAATAGTTCGAGTTTGAAGTTCCAGGTTTAACCGCTATGTGTCCTAATCACCAAACGAAATGGATGCCACGCAATTCTCGGACAGGCTGTTTTCTGAAAAATGTTTATCCTTTCCAAGAGCTATCCATCTCGTTGGAAGGGCTAAAAATCTACTTGTTTCAGAGCTTACTTTCATTCCAGGGTCAAATATAATCACTTGAACCATAATAATATTCAATATATTCCATCATATTCCGAGGGCCGCACACAGGATTTTTTTCTGGATTACTTTTCGAGCTTTTTTCCCCAACTTGTTGACCAGTTTTCCTTGAGAAAACCCCAACTTTTGCCCAATTGTCCATGAGAAAACTACATATTCTATCTTACTGCATTGACGGGAAGTGGTAAGGTGGACGTCTGTGAAAAGGGTTGATCGATACATTTTCAAGGAAGCAATTGTTGTTTTTGTTTGTGAAATAGAGGACTCTAGCCGATGAGGCTACTTCCCCCCCCCCCCCCGGAGAATCTCAGGCAACCAATTTGTTTTATGTACTACTATCGTAATAAAACATTACTATGTTAACCACTTCCTGGTGGCTGAAGACTTACACCGAATGCGTATTCGGAAAAAAATGTCCCCGAGAAAATGTTTTTTCAGACAATCGATATTCGAGATGTCTTCTGTTGCACAAATTATGCTGCACTGTGTAAGAACTTGCATCCTTTTATCTGAAGATTGTAGATGGAAAAGTATCATTCATACTATTTCAAAGTAAACTTGCATTTTCGTATATCATCCCGTAATTTGTGATTAATGACAATGACTGTGGAAATAATATGGGTTGAGGAACGGAAGATCTATGTTCGTCACGTGACTGGACAATTCCACCCCCGTTCCACCCTGACGATGATCCCTCCCGGAGCGGCGCGGCGCGGTGCGCTCTCTAAAAAAAATCTCGGGCACAGTTTATCTTCTAAGTTTTCCGGTAGCTATTTAGAAACCCGGAGTTTGGTCCTTGTGAGTGGTTTTGGACCAGGTGAGCGCTGATGAAATAAGTTCATTAACATACAAGGGAGCGATCGCCCACGGTCAAAGAAAAATTTCTTTTCAGATTTTTTTAAACAATTTCTTCTCCCAAATTTCTCTCAAAAAAAAATTCAAATTTTTTTTCCAGTATTTTTCTCTGTAAAATTATTTTCTACGGAATGTTTTTTTGTAAAACCAATTTTTTTTTTGTGACAGAAAATTTTTTCCAGTATTTTTCTCTGTAAAATTATTTTCTACGGAATGTTTTTTTGTAAAACCAATTTTTCGGAAAAATTAGAATTTTTTTTTTGTGACAGAAAATTTTTTTCGGCAAAAAAAATTTTGAGAAAAAAAAATCGGAATTTTTTTTGGGGGGGTGGTCCAAAACCGCACACAGAGGACCAGGCTCCGGGTTACCTATTTAGGGTGTTTCCGGTATTTAGGGTGTTTTCCGGTATTTAGTGTTTTTACGGTGTTTTCCGGTATTCAGTATAAAATGCTGTTTTCCGGTTGTTTTCCGGTTGTTTCCCGGTGATTTCCGATATTTAGTATTACCGTGTTAGAACAATATAGGTATCTATGACAATTATACATCATCACCCAACTGGGATGGCGTGAGTGTTTATAATTTAGTTCAGGACCCACAATTTGGAACCCTCTCTAAAATACTATAGCTTCAATACAATTTTGAACAAATTTATGGAAATTGGTATAAATTATTTTAGAATTTACATGTTTTACCGTGAGCTCAGGAAATGTAATACGTCACTGAAATTTATGCAAAAGAAACACAAGTCGAACTCCGCCGTGAGAGTGAGATAAAGCAGGCCCAACAATCATCACTCGCAATATATGTTTTGCCACCGCTATATAACATTACAAGAAATGCAATTTCCTAGATATAAGTGCATGTGGACATTTTTCCAACACTGATTACCCCCCCCCCCCCCACAATATATACATTCCGGCACATTTGCAACCCTGTTGTTCCATAATAAGGGTGTCTCTCAACAGTAATGGTGTCATTGTTTATCACATTTATTGTTTATTTTTTCTGAGTGTTCGAAGACAGTTTGGGCCGGGGAATATGACATAATGGGAAATAAGGAATTTGTTTCATGCTTGACCGTAATATGTCCATGTTTAGCCTGCTGAGTCAAATTTGCCCATCCCCACCCCACACCATGCGGCACGCAATATTAATCACATGAAATAAATCCTATCTGTTTACAATGATTTTGACGAATACGTATCACGGATAATGCATTGCGGATTGCGTACTAGTACACATGAAATCCTAGCTTAAGGTGTCCTTAAAATGCAAGTTACCAAATATCTTACCGATAACAGACCTTGAAAGGCGCAGTACATTAACAGGTAATACACAGTTTTACCATCGTCTGAAAAGTCTGGAACATACCATAGGAAAAAATAAGCCGTACATGCAAACGGTGCCGATAAAATAATCCTAAAAAAAAAAACGCCCAAATTTTGTTTTAATGGGAATCGCTGTAAAATAACTTTATAATATAATATAGGATTCAAACGACCAGATCCACGCCTAAGTAAGAATCGGGCTTGAAAAATCCAGAAGGTTCTCTCGTCAAACGTAGGAAATCGAACCGGGACTCTCTGGTTCAACGCCCTGATACCCCACAATTACTGGTATGAAATTTACTTGAAAGTCTTCCTCTTCTATTCCCTTCACAAATCCATTTGCTTTGGCAAATTTTTCAATGCAGTCTAGCTAGGCAATTTTGTGTCGTATTACAGATTAAGTATTATGATATATAAGGAGATTTCTAATTATTTTTCTTTTTACGTTTTATTTCTTGTGTGTCTTCTAGCTAGTAGCTGCCTTTGCCACAAGGCCAATAAGAATCAGCATCTGAACTCTGTAGTCTGTCTTTTTTTTAGTTATTTGCCCTAATTAATATCACATGGAAACTAATTAGTTGTTAGAGGCTAAATATATATTTTTAAAACAACGTTACAAAACATGATGTAATTACCAAGGTTTCATTTTACCGAATCTGGTTTCTGTCTTGGTTACAAAATATCCGCAAGCTGGATCAGTGACCGCGTCCCAAACTTTCCCAATCAGTATAATCATGGATATAGATAGAGGTTTTAGCTGTAAAAATGTATATGGTAGTAACCCTACAGTTATGTTTACAGTTTGACACTATATTCATTTAATCATAATGTTATGACATAAGTCACTTCGTAATTGATTATTAATTTAAAAAAAACAACCAAAAAACAACATTTCATCATGGCAAAAGTTTAATTTTACACGTATTTTACCAATTCGCCTGTAGAACACTAATACCATACATGTATATTAAATCTATGTATATATAATTCGGTAAAGACAATTTCATATAGGACATGCAGTAACATTAATATCAAAGTGTACAAGTCTTCTGCATGAGTACATTTACATGTAGCTATGATTTGGTTTAACATTATAGAATGCTGTAAATATTTACAGTAGACCCATGACTATGGTTTGAATCAGATTAATTAGCGAGATCTTGGGGATGTTCTTTGTTAGCATATATAGAATAACCTAACCAAGTAGTCTACTCCAAGAAGCTCGCTTGGTTGTTGCACTACAGTTTTTCTAAGGATGTATTTTCTAGTTTTTGCAAACTCGCTCTACACTAAATGGTATAAGACGTATATGCGATGGAAACTAAAATTTTCTCAGAAGTCTACAAATAAGGAACCGGATATATGAGCACATAGCGTACTGTCTGATAAAATAAATCTAAACTAATTGTGAAAAAAACCGGTATTGTTTGAAGCGGCATTCCCTTGAACCATGTTTGATTTGACTTGATTTTAGTATACATTTATAACGGCATATTCAAATGTATATGACACGGAAGTGGTTTCCCAACTTTAAACTAATAAAAATGCGCATGTGCTGTGAACAACTGAGTAATTTGTCAACTTACTTCTGCAACTTCCAAAAGGAAAATATTCAAAAAGAAACCTAGAACATTGGTCGTTATCTGATAGGGGGCCCCGCCAACAGCAAAACATATCTTCCTCCATACTGGCAACTTCTCATCATCATCTGGATTTCCTTCTTCTTTTATACGTAAATACTGAAATTTTATATATTAAAAAAAAAACCTCGATCATAAATATGTAATGTTTATGGACACAGATCAAGCTAAAAACGCGATTTTCGTACAATAAGGGGCTATTATATAGAAAGTTACGGAGGTCGAGAAATTTTGCAAAATAGAAAATACTTGGTGCATTCTGACATATCCTCCAAGCCCCTCGAGGTCAGTTTAATCTGAGGGTCGGGGCCTAATTCGATACTCGTCTGAAGCCTGCCTGAATGCGAAACAAATCACTTGTTCTTACCGGGAGCTCAATCAAATAATAATTAATGGAATATAATGGATTGCAAATAATATTTGAAGAAAGTTCAAGGACGTTATACATCTTCCAGTTACACGATATGCTCCTTTCTAGCCTTGCGGCTCGCGAAAGTTTTGATGATCTCATCCAAATTAATCGAGTCCAGAAGATTAGCTTCAATGCACAATAAGGCTAGTGCACCCGTGCGATCTTGACCCATAGTGATTTTTTATCCGCGCCAAGGCGGAGAAGGAACGCTCACCCGAGCAATTGGTACCCATGATCGACAAATAAATACGCAATTTCGTATATATGTTGGGAAATGTCGATAGTAACGCTGTTCCAGCATTTGTCTCTGAATCGAGCATTTCTAGAATCTGGAGCTCGTAAATTCTATCCTTTACTAAGATTTTGTCCTTGATGACGTTTACGAATTGCTGCAGTTCGTATTATCCTGGAAATCTATTCAGCAAAGAAATGATCGCTCCGCCCAGCCAGGCCACACTGGGCGGCCTAGCCATCTCTTTCCTGAATAGCTTATTAGTAGGTTTTCAGAAAAAGTGATTTCTTGATTGATGATTTTCATGCCAATGCAATGACTGCATTCTGGATTCGAAAGTAACAGTTTATAGAAAACGATTGACTCGGACTCGGGGGCCCTTTCCCGTGGCCAGAGGGGCCCTTTTGTCAGACGTGGGGCCCTTTTGTCTGCCTTTAGGGCCCTCTCTAACTAGGGTACATTTTCATTTTTCTCATCGGTTTTAGCATTTTTCTTCCGTTTTATTCTTTGATTTTTAGTACCATCTGGGGCTATAGTTACGGTCCGATGTACGCCAATATCGAACGGAACCGAGATCTTGGGTTATAAACATACGTTTTAAGTTTCATCAAAATCTGATAAAAATTGTGTCCACAAGCTAAAAACGTGATTTTTCGTACAATAAGGGTGGATAATCGATGAAGTTACGGTCCGTTACATGCCAATATCGAAAGGAATCGAGATCTTTGGGATATAGTTTTTATCAAGTTTCGTCAAATTAGATGAAAATTGTGACCTGTAGAATGTCCACAAATAAAATGTGAATGTGCGGAGAGGGGCGACAACAATATACGTCCACATGAAAATATGGGCGTATAAAAATACATAGAATAGATGGCATATCAGTCAGGTGTATCAAATAATTTACTATTTTATCGAGTACATACATAGCCTTACGGATGAGTGATTTTCAGTTCCGGGGTCGGTATGGTAGGCCTGATTTTATTGTAACCATAATCGCCCTTTACTCGTGATTATCAGCAGTGTTGATGCACATAATATTATATCCATCGTGTGTTTATACATAGCCGTATGTATTTGTTGTCAATTGTGCCCCTAGTTGCCTTATCCAATGAAGAGAATTTATGGCCTATATTATGCTGTGCCCTGTGTTTACAAAGGGTAGAGGCTACTAAACTGACATTGTATCCTCATTATTACAGTTCAATATAACCTTTGAACTCTACTAACCTTCGTTGATCTGGACATCACAGCTTATTAATATACATAACCCCGTCGAAGAACACAATCCTTCCGATACACCAAAACTAACATATAACATCCATATGATTAAGTCGATCTATAATAAAATTGTGACCTTTGACATCACGTGAGCACGAGTAAGCAACAGACGAAGATTAGCAATGCGTCTATATAGGCCTATCTATTAACATGTCTTATTAAATATACCATTTCGGAAACGATATTGTTAATGTGCTATACATAATAAATTAAAGATGCATCCATAAAGATTTAGATAAATGCTGGTCGTTCTTGCTATAATAGTTCAAAAATAGATAATGAAAAATGAATATTATATATTGAAAATTTTATTTAAATTACTTTATTACGTGCGAAATTATGAGTGTTCGGAAATGTAGCGCAGATTGTTTATTACCGCATCAACGCTACTTGACTAAGTCTCGATTATCCGTTTTATCATTATATTTGTAATATTCGTGGGTATCTTAATCAATTTAAATCTTGGCCATCCGATGGGTTCCAACTAGGGTTAACTCAGTATTTTCTGGCATGGTTTCCCAATGTCAGTGCAGGGCGAAGGGCCCGACAGTACGGTATCTAGTCTTTCGGATGGGACGAAAACATGGCGTGCACGTAAAAGAAACCTCGACAGTTGGAATTCGAAATAAGAGTAGGCTGTAGTGCCGCTGTCCGGGCAAAATTTCCCGCATTGCACATTGCGTATGCCCTTCTTCATTCGCCCAGTAGGTGCAGACGGTTAATACAATTTTGTAACGAAATATACTGTAATTCAACTAGGTCAGAACTTAGAATTTCGTTAATGATGTTGATTATGCAGTGAAGACTCCTAAGTTTCTTCACATTTGTGTCGTCAAGGAAATCTGAAAATAGCCATTATCTCGAGCTACCGGAAGAAAAACGTCCCAACTAGAAAATCTCCAGAAGCAAAATATCTATCAATTTCTCTGAAAAATAACCTCAGTCCTCCTTTCTCAATTTATTTAGGGTGCGTTGTGGTATATTCGGATATCCTTTCAAGGGACTGGCATAAATGTCTTCGTGTAATTAAGATGTATGTAACATTCATGCATATAGAGCGCTAAATTTATTTGAATAGTAATATTCCAATATGTATTCTAGTCATTTCATGTTAACTTTATTTTTGTTGTGAGTGTACTTCATTTGTATCGCCGTAATATTATCATTTTTGTTTATGTAAACTGTACATTGTCCTTACTGGATGTTTTGATGCAATACATATTACTGGAAAAAACTTTCGGGTTCCGCCACTCCCACCCACATACGCACATCCATCTCCTCCGTTGATACGTCATTGGCGTGATAATGAATTTTATCACCCAATAATACATTCAACAGTAGATATCGCCTGTGTGATAAATTTCATAATCTACAGCGATATCTCCTTAGGACTTTACATGAATTTGATTGGTCAATCAAAAAGGAACTTTTTTTTTTTTCAAAGAACAGTTCATTTTTTATGAGATGTAACTTATTTCTTATTAAAAAGGAACTATTGTTATAACACTCGTCGATAAAGTAAAAAATAAAACTCGGCAGAGCCTCGTTTTTTTACTTTATCGACTTGTGTTGATATTTTTTGATATAAAAAAAAAAGACTCGTAGGATATTCTCTATATATTATATATACAAAATGAACACATCTGACTTTGGAATAAGTGCATTTCGCCAAGAGTATTGATTTATAGGAAAATCCTGCTTGTTTATTTATTTATTTATTTGTTGTCTTTTCATAGTACTATGCGTGTGTATCTACTTGCGGTACATTCTGGTGCGTCTGCTTTGCGGTTTTTTGACGTATTGTCCACGAAGCACAGGATGAGTTATCTACGCTTTAGTGCGTCAAGGGAGACAATTTCAAATCAACGACTATGGCACCCACACGAATCATATCGTGTCAAGTCAAAGATATTCGCTTCCCTACTTCTTTAGAAAAGGATGGGTCGGATGCAATGGTGAGTATATTGCGATATAGCATATATTATGGAGATATATTTACATTTATCCTGATTGCATTGCAAGACGAGGACAAAGAATAAAACAAAGAATAAAGGTGGGCGGGGCAACAGAACGAGAGGTCATGAATTATCTCTCGTTATTTTAATCAGCTGTGATATGGACTGTACACTATAATACAACACACGTGCCTATGAATGCTTACATATCTTGTATGTAATGATAATAAGGGAAGTAAAATAATACAAGCAACTGTAATGTGTATTATATAAATAGTGCCGCATCTATCGACCAGGCTAGAAAGGGGACCGCAGCTAGAGTAGTTAAGAAACCTCATCTCTCAACCCTCCTTTTTTCGAGATAAAGAGATGTTGCTATATAGTTTTACTTGGCAAATTCTGACGTGAAACACATCGGGATTCAATAAGCAAAATTAACAAAAATTTTCATGAAAACAGCGAAATATCTGATTATAGTTATTTATAACATTTCTGCCACATTCAACTACAAAATTAATTAAGCATATAATCCTACCAGACACAGGTACAAAACATGTCTTTTTAAATCAAAGCGATGAAAGCCTGGCTCTCCGGCATTTTGAATTTGACTTAAAGGCGGGACATCGTGTACAACAGCCAAACAAACTACTCACCTGATATGAGTTCCGCTGGAATAATACACCAAAATTATGAATGCCCGTATCAATTTTGATAAAAACAACACCTGATTTAATTTATTGACAATATTTGCAGATAAACCAAATTTGTTTCATTAGATTGGGATGCGTATGTTTAATAAGTTTTGATCTAGTAGTATAAAATTAACTTCTTTTCTAGATGTTACTTGCATTAATAATGAAATTAAGTTTGCCAGGTGAAACTAAAGACACCCAATCATAGCTAAAAACAAGCACATCAGTACATCTCAGTACAGCTAGAGGGGCCCTAATATTAAAGTTGCCCCAAAATTAGTTCTGAAAATAATTATATGATTTTATTTCTTATGTTGTATATATGTTTGTGCCAAAAAAATCTATCCATCTACCATACTGACATACAAATTGCAATTGTGTGAGTGTGACAGACAATGACCAGAATATGCGCCATCTCTGTTGATGCAAGAACCTTCTGAATCACAACAGCATTGACTGACCAAAACCAAAAAAAGAAAACATTATATTTTCCTTCATAACAATGATTAATTATTGTCATTTATTCAGATCCCTCACACCCAATTACAATTATAAAGCATATTATCCTACAGTGCAGGACCGTGGGGTGGGGTGGGGGCGGCATGGAAACGTGCCTATTTTGAATATGACCACACCAAGGTCTCTTGTACACATTATATGATTCTGTCTAAATGGAGTGTGTACATGCTGTCCTTAATGTACAACATGATGCAATGAATATCTTATCTTATCTTAAATGCAGTAGACCAAAAAAGCTCAAACCCAAGTGGTGTCACGGGGGGCAGACTGCTAAACTTTGCCCAGCCCAAGCCATGCTAATGCTTACTTGTTCATTGTTTGTAATGGAAACTGGAAGCAGATGTTAAATAAAGCTACTTTTGCCCTTGTTGTAACTAGACCATACAGTTGAGTCGAGTATCAGTCTTTACAAAGCCCAAGGCCCGTTCATGTTGCCAGTTGATCAAATGAGTCAGCAATTTATGGCGCATAAGGCAAGTTAGAGTTACGTCCCATCACCGTAACGAGTTGTCACGACTGCAGAGTCTGAGATAAGTTTCAAATCGCGATAAATATTTCAAGTTGAGTTTCGGTCCAAGTTCCTACTTCTGTCTAAAAGTAATTGTCTGCTTAAAATTCATTCAGATCCTTAATAAAATGTGACTAACTGAAACCAGATATGTATTAATACATGTCTATTAAAACAAAGTTTTGTTTGTACTTACACGGGGGGGGGGGGGGGAGTTGTCCCTTACTGGGCTGCCATTAATCAATCATGATTAGAACTGTCTAACTCACATATTTTCATTTGTTGTTGAAGTGATTTACCTCTGCATTTGTGTCCATTCTGTCTAGATAGTTTCCCTAATTTGATTATTTTGTGATTGTGCTCAAATGTCAGCTAGGATTATATGATAAATTGTAAATTGGTATCTATAGGGACAAAAAATATGTTCGGAGTCATCTCTCAGCCTGTTGTATCTATATATTCACAAATGTCATATCAGTGGGATTAATTGGGCTAAAAGCTTTTATCCCTTAGAATTTGTACAAAAATAGGTATATATGTATTTCAGAACTTGGCACCAGATTACTCTGCACCATATATAATTTTAAAGACAGATTCTGATCTTGAAGGACATGGCTTAACATTTACTGTTGGTAAAGGCAATGAAATAGGTAAGCCATGATTCATGATCATAATAATATAAGCTATGCTGTTCTTGTGGTCTTAACTCTGGGATAAATTAAAAATGATTTGGTCTGTAGTGTCTTACTCTGGACATGCAAACAATTGCTGTTCAAGATGACTGACAATGTATTCAGATTGGTTAAATTTTATTACTTGGATTTTATATATACTGTAAAACAAGAAACAATGAGCAAGAAATTATTGGGATTAAGAAATAAATGAGACAAAGAAATTAATTTTATCAAGACGTTAATGCAAGCAAGAATTTTTTGCAACAAATAAATTTTGATACGCCCACATTTTCATGTAGACGTGTTATGCCATTGCTCCTATCCGTCCATTCACATTTTGTTTGTGGACAAGAAATTAATGCGAGCAAGGCTGGAAGGCAGCTAAAAATTTTATTTTAAATACATAAGATGCATTATGTAAGAGCTAAATTTGCCTATTGCAGACCTATATTTTGGCTTCAAAAGTTATATAAACTATTTTTTGGACATTTATTCACATGACAAGCCTATAATCAACTCTCTAGGCGATTTGATGGCAGAGATTTAAACGGATTAAAACATGGTTGCCATTCAATGATTTGATTTGAAAATGGTGAAGCGAGGCTTAGTCTTAAGTACTGTTGTTATGATAATAAACAATCAATGTCACATTTTGTCAAAACCTCAGAAGTAATTTGAATGAAATTTTCAATATATTCATTTATCTAAATCTTACATAATACATCTTTTAGTATCAAATCTTTTGCTATACTTTTCAAATGTGTGTTGGATGTCTACTAGTCACCTTATCTAACTTTTTTATTCTGGTATGTTGGAGCTTTAATGTCTTGTATTTTGTTTAACTTTCAGTGTGTCATGCTATTCGTGTTTTGAGTCAAATGGTAGTCAATAAAGAATTAGATTATATATATAATGATTTTGGTACGTTTTGGAGATCATTGACTAGTGAAGATCAAATGAGATGGGTGAGTGAGAATTTGATCTTTTTAATTTTTCAGTCCTTTAATCTTAATAGTGGCTACAGTCGCATAATATTAACAATGTATAGCTGAATATGTACAAGGAGTTTGTACAAATGTCTTGTTTTTAACCAATGAATATTTTTCATAGCTTTTAAAAAGCTCCTTAGTTATAAATATGAATCAGCCTTTCAGTTTCAGATCTTTAAAATGTTCAAACATTAGCAATGTTTGTTCATAGATAGTGTAAGACATGTGTCATTAATATTTTATGTTGTTATTAATAATATTTAGTTGGGTCCAGAGAAAGGAGTAATGCATTTAGCAGTAGCAGCCATAATAAATGCTTTGTGGGATTTATGGGCTAAAATTGAAGGCAAGGTAAAATTGTTTTAACTTATAAGCAAGGAGTGTAAACCCAATTATCCTCTTGTCAAGTCATGCTCAGAACTTCTGCTCTTAACCAGTCATGTTCTAAAAGACAATTTGTAATTAGAGACTTTTTTCTTTAAACACAGCTTTGTCTACTTGTGACAGTTTACTATTAATACTTCACTACCTTAATTAATTACATACACTTACAAATGACACATATCAATCTGTCCAACAACTGTTTGCTTGTCTGATTATAGAAACTGTGATAATTTACTATTTAAAATTTGAAAGTATGATAGTGTGTGATAAACTAACAATTTCATTGGATAACTATGTATCTAAAGTATAGTCTGCGATTATCACACACACTTTAATCAAAATTGAAATGATATGTAGAACTGAATTACCAGTACTATTATAACGTTCAGACTCTTATTTTTAAACCAGTTCAAAAGACAGGGTCGTGTTGTGTTCAAACATACCATAAGCCAAACCAGTTTAACTATTCTGACCTCTTCGGGAGGAGGTTAGCGTTCACTATGCATGGGTAGCTTCATATTCTTTATTTGGTTCTTGGAAGTTTTTGATAACACTCGCATTGCATGATGCTGGAGCCGGGGTTTTTAAGCCAACCCGTTCAGACGCCCCAGATGAACCAGTTTTAAATAAAAAGCCTTCTTGAAGACAGGTGGCAAGCTGAGGTTTTTAAACTGGTTTAACGATCTCCGTGGTTTTTAAACAAGTTTAACTTAAGCATCTGAATGGGCTATTTGACTGAATCTAGATGACTCAACTAATTCATGATTTTCTCAAATTTGTAACTTACTTGCTAACTAATTATAAAAGACAAATTATCTGTTTTACCTTAAGTACCATCAACAAATGATGTCTTGGCATGTTTACAGCACCTTTTTTATTGGCCATTTACACAAGTAAGAACATAATGAAATAGTTTCCGTACGAAAACAGGGTGACCAAAAGATAATTGTGTAATTCATATTTTTTTTAACACAAATCCCATGCACAAGCCAAGGAACCGAATGAAAGTGAACACCTGGTCAAACTGTGACACTAGTAGTAGTAAAATATTAGAATATAAACAAATGAAAACGAATTAAAAAATTTGTAATTAGAGACTTTTTTCTTTAAACACAGCTTTGTCTACTTGTGACAGTTTACTATTAATTTGAGTTAGATTGCTATAAATTGAAGGATTGTCAAAAAAGGAAGTGCACATGGTCAATAGTGCAGGCAATCTCGGCTCCCAGAGATAAGTTTACCCTTTGTTTATCTCTGGGAAAATTCGCCGGCCATACAACAGCCATTTTGAATGTCACATGATATATCCTTCTGTCGGTCGCTTCATAAGGATCCAAGATTCAGAAATTTCATGTATTTAGCCGAATCACTCATATTGTATGCTAAAAATAGTTCCCGGTAAATCATCAAATCAGCTGTTTTCGAATGAACTTATGATGTCAAGATGTGGAAAATGTTCCAATGATCATTTATATGTAACACATGCAACGAACCGATACCTAATTGTCGAGAAATTGGCAGCATTTCATTCAAACAAATCCAACCATTCAGGACCCACAGGGCGGTGGAGCTTAGGAACCGATTTAAGACTGGTTAATTGCTGCCGGCAAGCTTTCCTAGAGATAAACGAAGGGTAGACTTATTTTTGGGAGCCGAGATTGTAGTGCAGGATTGTACCCCTGCATTGAAATGTCATTGTGAAAAAATGAATTTTTATGTTGTAAACTCTTATCTTTGTTTAGTAAATATATGTATATATTTATTTTTGTTTCTAGCCATTATGGAAACTTCTAGTAGATATGGTATGTAATTTATAGTTTTGAGAATTAGAATAATAATAAGTTAGAAAATATTATAATTCCAGTTTAAGATATTTTTGTATTGAACATGTATTTAATAAAAGTCAAGCACGGTCAGTTGTTACACAAGTAGTCCAAATGCAAAGTTCAGTTGACAAAATCTTTTAGTTATTGTAAAGGAAGGTATTCAAACTGGTCCTTATTGTTGTACAAGATCCTATTCACTATAAATGAATGGGATGTCAGGGAACAAGCAAAATGCCTATGTAAAACCCCTATCCCTATTTACACTACAATGTATGATAATAATGAAAAATAATATATGAGTATAGTTACATGACTTACTGCCATACATAAGAATTTCATCTTTTACAGTGTGTCCTAATTTGAATGTGTGTGTAGCTAGTTAGGAAGAGACAAGTGATGTCATCAAAACCTGGTTCCACTCCACATCCTAAATACAGATACTTCTCTATAGTCATGACTTCCAGTGATAAGATCAATTGGGGATTAGTTTGAAAGTTTTAGCACTAACATTTTATCCAGAACTTGATTCTTTTTTGCACAACTGAATAATTTTGTAAGTGTAGAACAAAGGGGTTCATGCTTAGTCCCATGTTTTGATAATTATTGTATGATATTAATCTATTATGACTTTTATATTCTGTGTTTATATCAGGAACCTGAAAAATTAGTTTCTACAATTGACTTCAGATATATGTAAGTATTGATTCTGTACATTTAAAGAAAGATGATAGTACCTTTTCCATTGGTGGGGTGGGGGGGGGGGAATAATACCCAGATACCTGAAATTCTACTGAAAGGAAAATATTCTTTATCTAATTTTACACACCTCCAGGTTATATCTCCCACAGCAACTATTGATTTTTTAGGTGGCTGTTTCCCATAAAGTCATTTTATTTGAAATAACAACCTGGAAAGTTTCAAGAATACACAACCCATTTGCAAATGGTATTTAGCAATTAAAATAACCCTATTAGACGTTATCAGGTGATCTACCTGTAACTCTAAATAGATCAATAAACGGCACATTACAGAATTAGTCATCTATTCAACAAATTTCTTAGTGTGTTTTCACACACCAAGGTGTTTACATAGCTAGTATAGTGTATGATGTTGATTTATTTTTTTAAAGATACATTAGTTAAGTGTTTAATAAAGAGTTGGTCATTCTTGCTATAATTATTCAAAAATAGATGATAAAAAAAGAAAATATTGAAAATTTCATTCAAATTACTTCATTCTCAGCCAAGTTATCATTGTTTGTAGTTTTGACAAGATGTGTGCACAGTGGTAACCAGGGCACTGGTATAATCGGGACTTAGCCTCGCTTTCCCATTTTTAAATTAAATTTTTAAATGGCGAACTGTTTTAATCTAGTTACAATCTCAAGTGTCTGATGCCATCCAGAGTTGATTATGGTCTTGTTTTGTTAATAAATGTCTAATTAATAGTTTATATAACATTTCAGACCTAAAGAAAGACCTGCAATAGGGAGATTCTTGCATAGTGTATGTTTGAAGTGACTAATTATTAAAGTTTTTCTGATATAGTTTTTGATTGAATATAAGATACAATTTGTACAATCTTGAAACTACTTGCATACTGTATAACCAAATATAAAAAAAAAACCTTTAAGATATTCAATATCTCATTATTATATAATGTTATTATTGATTTATCAGGTCCAATGTTTTAAGTAAAGATGAAGCTTTAGGTGAGTATAACCACCAATCAATATAAAACCATAAAAAAACATCTGGTGTAGTATATGTACATGTATGTTTATATGAATTGATTATAATCTATTTATGCTAGTATTTCTCTGTGAAAAATAATTTATGTATGCTACCTGCAAATTCATATGTAATAAAAAAAAATAGGCACACCTGGTTATTTTTCTTGTTTAATTCCCGTACGGTATTCAAATTTATGTCAATAATATTCCTACAAAATTACGTGACATCGTAATACCATAGAATGAAAGCGTGCCGACTACTGCCGATTCATACCTGTTTCAAATTCCTCCAAATTACCGTATTTTTTAGGTCATAAGTAGATACATTTTTCAGCAGAAGTCCGGCATTCGTCTTATACTCTATTTCGACTTAAATACTTAAGGTAAAAAAATGACACCCCAAAATTTATTTGGCAGTAAACGTTACTCTACCACAACGAGCGAGAGACACCAACTGCTAAATAATCGCATTTGACTCTAGCACGCGCTATCGTCTAAGACATAATTCCAATCGAAATATTCTAAGCGCGAGGCATGAGATTCGGCACATTACATCTCTTAATTTCATGTGTCTCACGAGATTTCTACTTTCATTTCAGTTATTGTACTATGTGTAAAATAGCTTTTATTAACTGCGGCCTCCACCGACAAAATATCAAAGACAAGTTATCGGATACAATATATATTGATTTGGGCTGTTATATACTAACTATTAGGATATGTGACATATATGACTAATTCCTAAGTGTTGTCAGTCAACATCAAATAGATTGAAACGTCCGATAATGGTGAAATCGCGGGTTAATCACGTAGGTTGGATTGATATATAGTCCGACAAAGGAGAAGCAATGACTTCTGTTCAGGATTGGATTGATGAATTGTCCGACGAAGGATTAAGTCAGCCAATCAAGGCAGATTAAGTAGTTAATCATGGTAGGCGTATAGACGGTATGACACTTAATTACCTAATCAATCCAGCCTATTATCAGGTTGAGTGGTATAAGTTATACACACAATACATATATTAATGTCTTGATGTCCGATTGGGCATATTCCTGGTCGGACAATTTAGAACTTTTGGAAAATGTCTGGAATATAAAGGCGAAATTCCATCACTGATATATACTCTTCAAAAAAAGAAACTCATTTCGCCGTTTGTATACCCTCGCTCTATCATCGCCCCGTTGTAACAGAAACCGCAACTTGTCACTGAACCAAACTGTTCTCCTGCATTGCTGTGGCCACACTTTGTGTGTCTGAAGCCATTGAAGTCAGATTTGACTGTGTCAGCATATTTCTAAACAGCTCTAATGGGACATCTGGCTCATAATCCGGTTTTACGTAGGCGTTTATGGACTGTCTGGTCTGAGATCCTTCACGCATAGTGATACATCATTTTTTGACAGCAATTCAACCATTGCAAAGTCCTTTATATTGACCCAGTGTTTCCATCAAGGTCAATTAAATAAAAATAGTTCATTTTTAATAAAAAAAAAAGAGAGGTTACTTTTAATAAAAAAGAATATTCTTTGTAAATAAAAAAAAGTAGTTTTTTGACCAATTGATTGACCAATCAAATGTAAAGCGATATCTCCTAAGGAGATTATGAAATTTATCACACAAGCGATATCTACTGTAGAATGTATTATTTTTTCAATAGTACATGTATCTTTTTTCTTTTTTTTTTTTTCAATAAAGCTATTTTGAAGAAAATGCAGGCTGGTAAATCTGAAAGAGGTATGATGAAAGTAAAGTAAAAACTTTGAGAAAAATTGAAACATTATTTATTTATTAAAAATATTAAGAATGGGTTCATCCTCCTGCTCGCCTCTCCATCCCATTTTGTATGGCAATTAATCTGCTTCTAATTGAGCTAGAATATTCAAAATTTGTATAGGTGTTTATTAGGTTAATGCCTTGACTAAGGTTGAGTAGGGATAAACAATTTGAGTGAGAGTGATGAAACTTTGTGTATAATACCTTGACTAGCTTAGACTAAGGAAAGTAATAACCGATTTGATTACTCGATTCTTTGTAAAAGGATAAATGTGTAAGTAATTTAATGAGCGTCGTCTATTTATTTTGGGATGTAGGTGAGGGAAACCAACCTCACCGTTGGCTTGTTAATTGTTACAGAGTGTCAACCACTAAGTCTGAAATTATTACTGTTGTCATTAGCCAAGTTGATCCAGAAAGCCCAATTTTATTTCATTTGACATTGCTTTCGTGAAGGACAGATTTTTTTAATATATGCATTTCTACAGGTAAATAGAAAACAAAAACAAAAATGTGCACTAATTACAAAAATGATTTATAGGATGCAACTTGTCATGATGTCGTCCTGCTATATAGTTTCATGTATTATATATATTTAATATTTGTAGAAAATAATCTAAAATCGACAGGCTATCCAGCATATACTACATCTGTAGGTTGGCTAGGTTATGATGATGTTAAATTACATAGGGTAAGTTATCAAATTATTACCGAAATACAATCTGATTAATTCTATATTTTGTCTTTATATAATAAAGTATAGGACAAACTAATTCTATATTTTGTTTGTATAATCTCTATTTGTAGTTATGTAATATAGAACAAACTAATTCTATATTATGTCTGTGTGTAATCTTTATTTGTAGTTATGTAAAGAAGCATTAGCTGAAGGTTTTACCAGGTAAATTTCATTGACAATAAAAATGATTATTTCAAGGTACATGAAATGTGATATGGGATATACTCACTTGATCATTTGCTAGTAAAGTACATTACTGTAACCGGTCAGTTGTGCAAAATCAGATATGATGGGTTGAGTGTGACCTTGCAACTACATCAAACAGCTGTTGGCCTACCGCGGCTACCGGTATATATAATATTTAAAGTAGCTAGGTCTCTAACTCAATATCATCCAAAGTCTTACACATTGAAAACACAAATTATTTGTCAATTCAAATCAACATTGATGTTGTGATCTTACCGGGAAAAGGTAGGCTTCTGATATCCAATATTTAAGATGAAATAAACATTTTACCATTGGTACACGAATTGTGTACCATAGTGCGTTTCAGCGTCATGTGTAACAAGTGACCAGAAAGATTGAGGCTAAACATATTCCACAACTCATTCAAACGGTGATGCCATGAGAGCATGCGCAATAGACTGGAATAACTAGACAATAGAAATAGCGATTCGGTTGAGACTCATGCCGTATTTCACTGGAGATAACTGATTTGAAATTAGAGTCAAAACGGAAACAATTGAATGTAAATCAGTTTATATACAATCAGATTACATTATTATATGCGTTGTGAACCATTTGGGTCCCAAATATTAGCGATTTAGCTCCTTTAAGAGTCCGTTGTCAGGGTAGGTTGGCTTGACCAGAAGGAAATTTGGATGTGCTGATTTGAAATTGACATGCAAAGAGCAGTATGTGTGCCATATAGATTGCAATCAGTGCAAGTGATACAGCGGACTAATCTGCGCACATCAAATACACATTTATGTTGTCTACTTGAAATCTTCTTAAAGACAAAATATTCATTAGAATTCATCAAACACTTTTTTGTCTGAATTATTTAGATTTTATAAATTTTCGGACGTATGTGAACTAAATAGTCGCCATGTTCTTGTGTAAAGGCAAGAACAGAGAAGACTTCAACTGAGCCATTAGGTCTTTCTAAATCAATGTGGTGACATTCCTGAAAGTTAATGTTTTGATAACTTTTTATCTTTAATAAATAAGTGATTGATGGACATCTGTACCTAAAACTGGGTTTACATCTGTACATAAAACTGGAAATTAGAAATTCAGATCTCCATTATGCACAAGTATATTTTCTATGTTTAAAGATTTAAGGCTAAAGTTGGTGCTGATTTAGCAGACGATAAAAGACGTCTTACTATTATCAGAGAAGAAGTTGGACAGGATAAAATGCTAGTAAGTTTATAACACCAGAAGTTAAAGATACATTAGTTAAGAGTTTTATAAAGAGTTGGCCATTCTTGCTATAATAATTCAAAAGTAGATGATGAAAAAAGAAAATGTTGAAAATTTCAGTCAATGTATAGCTTAATTATGAGACTTTTTTTTTAGCTTGTTGATGCAAATCAAAGATGGGAGGTACAGGAAGCTATTGATTGGATGAAAGAATTAGCCCAGTTTAATCTAACATGGATCGAGGAACCAACAAGTCCTGATGATATACTTGGACATGCTCAAATAGCAAAGGTTGGCCTAATTATTTGATTTTAATCATAGGTTGCTCATCAACTTGGTAATCGTAAATTGGAAATCAACAACATAGAAAAGCAAAAACATTTTACTTAAAATTATTTGACTAACCATCTTGTACAGCAAAATAAACCTTAGCACATGTTGATTATACAGAAATGAATAGCCCTCCTGTGATTGATACTTGACGATTCAATTATTTTATGAATTATTTATAAATTTGAGAGAAAACACTTGTCACATGTCAGCAATATAATTCACTTTCATATTTTTGTTGCTGTTTCTTGTTAAATTTATGACTAGAATATGTGTCGCAATTCAAATCATATCCTGACACCAGTACTATTCAGTACTATTATATTTTGTGACTACAGTCACAATACTCAGCGCTGGCTTCAACATACCAGTACTATTATGTCTAATCAGTCTGTAGTGAATGAAATTTTTGGAGTGTTTTCAAACGTTTTTGTTTGTTTCAGGAATTGAATCCATTAGGTATAGGAGTAGCTACAGGTGAACAATGCCAGAATAGAATTATGTTTAAACAGTTTTTACAGGCTAATGCTCTACAGTTCTGTCAGATAGATAGTTGTAGATTAGGTGGTGTTAATGAAAATCTTGCTGTTATACTTATGGCAAGTAAATATGGAGGTAATTTAGCTTGTTACCATTATTTAATATTTATAATCAATCCACAGACATTTTTAAAAATCATACCGAACTCTGTAAAAATCAAGTTGCAATTAGGATAAACATGACACAAGGTCATCACTGTTGTTCCATTACATTGTACCAAAAACCTGGCTTGTAGCATAACACACTGCACATCTGTTTATGCTTCTGTAGATACATAATAGTTGGGCTTTCAGAATCTGCTGAAGCAAATGAAATACATGTATAGATATGAGAAGCATGCCTTTCTGTCCAGCACATTTTTTATATGTCCACATTCATAATGTGGATGTATGATGCCGTTGCCCCGGTCTGTGTGTGTGCCACACACATTTTTTGTATTCATAATGAATCATCTTGAAACTTTGCATAATTATGCCTTATACCCTAAGAATCATCCCTATTGTTTGTGATGCATGCCCAACCCCCAGGGGCAGAGCCATGCCCATATTTTTTATTTGTGTGTATGTATCGCCTACAGGCCGCAATTCTTAATGGATCGTCTTGAAAACTTTTCTTCTTATTCCTTATACCCTAAGGATGACCTCTATTATTTTTTGGTGCATGTCCGACCCCCAGGGGCATAGTCATGCCCATTTTTTGTATTTGTTTGTTTGTGGTCTACAGGTTGCATTTCTTAGCGGATCCACCTAAAACTTTGCATACTTATTCCTTATACCCTAAGGATCATCACTATTGTTTTTGGTACACACCCAACCCCCAGGGGCAGAGCCACACCCATTTTCTGTGTGTCGCCTACAGGCCGCAATTTTAGTCAATTGTCTTAAAAAAAATTTCATACTTATTCCTTATACTCTAAGGATGACCGCAAATATTTTTTGGTGCATGCTTGACCCCTGGGACAGAGCCACGCCCAATTTTTGTATGTGACGAGTGTTCGTCTACAGACCATAATTCTTAATCGATGGTCTTGAAACTTAGCATACCTGTTTCTTTGTGTGCCTGTGTACTGCCTACAGGCCACGATTCTTAATGGATCTTCTTGGAATTTGGCATCTGTATTCCTTGTAGCCTAAGGACGGCAACTTTTGATTTTGCTACATGTCCTGACCCCCAGGGGCAGAGCCACACCCAGTATTTGTGTTTGTCGAATGGATCACCTTTTTGTGTTTAGCCCCCCAAAGGCCACAATTCTGAATGGATTGGATTATCTTGGAACTTGGTATACTTATTCCTCATACCCAAAGAACGGCAACTATTGATGTTGGTGCATGATCCCCTGCCCCTTCACCCCTCTTCATTTTAAAAAGTACCATATCAATCAAAGCAGGAATGTGGACGTATATTGCAGCATTAGCGATGCTCTCGTTTATTGACCACAATTATATGAAAGTGACTGTCATAATAAATTTTTATTTTTTTCTTCAAAACAATTGTCCATATTTATTTTAGTGCCTATCTGTCCACATGGTGGAGGTGTAGGATTATGTGAATTAATACAACATTTGTCAATATTTGATTATATAGCTGTATCTGGTAGTCTGGATAAAAGGTCAGTAGAAATTTATTTTTACATACATCTGGATATACCAAGTATATTTTAGACTGGGATAGTATGGGATATGTGGTTCTGTCCAGGGGAATTATTATACGTCTCCAATCATGCGGGTATCACTTGGATGTATTTATCAGGTAACAATTACTGAAATAGACTATGATGTGCTTGTAATTATCTGCATTCTGTTTTCTTTCCTAGTCAGTTTTTCTTCATAATACTTATATTTTTTTAAAGAGTTGTTGAGTATGTAGATCATCTTCATGAAAACTTTTTGCATCCAACTGTGGTTAAAAATGGCAGCTACCAGTTACCTCAGGTAATTTAACATGATATAGTTACATATAAACTTATTTAATTCAAACTTTAATCATTACTTTATCAATAACAGAACATTGTGAATCAAAAAATCTCACGCCATTCTCCGATTTTAAGGGAATTGTATGCATATTTTATCCAAAGATCTTAAAAGTAATAACATTTTTAAGATCCCTTTCTATACGTCCACATTTTGCTTGTGAACACTCTACAGGTCACATTTTTTATCCAATTTTGATGAAACTTAAAAGATATGTTTATATACCAAAGATCTCAGTTCCTTCCAATATTGGTTCCTAACTTCCTGGATTATGGCTCCTGGTGTACGAAAAATCATGTTTTTCTTTTTAGCTTGTTCTCTGTCCATCTCTTGCAAAATGAAGCTCCTGATCTGAACTGTATTTGGTTCCATGAACTGAGGTTTTAGAGCTGTTCAGGACAATCTGGTGACTAGGAATCTACATGTTAAATGAAATGAGTTTCCCTGGTAGAATCCTGTATATATACATTCAGTACATTGTGTATATTTGTGCCAATATTTTTCTAGGCCCCAGGATACAGTGCTCAAATGAAAGAATCATCATTAGTCAGTAATGAATGGCCAAATGGTGCTGTCTGGAAGAAATTAATCCACGATGGTGTCTACACTAATCCAGGAATTTGAATTTAATTCAGGTGAATCAATACCCTATCATTGATTTCAAGATAATCATTCTTGCTTATACAATATCATTTTGGATCTCCAAAAAATTCATGGTGAGCAGGAAATAAATTCTCAGTGAACTATATGCTTCAATGAAACATGGAATTTTTGACTAGTATTTCTATTAAGGCCATACTAAAAACCCTATTCTGGTTCTCAGACAATCTTTAAAAAAAATCTGATGTGAGAGAGAGGTTTTTATTTTTGTTATAAGCCACATTTTCATGTGGATGTATATTTTCTCTGCCCTGTCTGTCCATCCATCAACAATTTGTTTGCTGACACTCTACAGGTCACAATTTTTATCTGATTTGGACAAAACTTGAAATATAGGGTTTTTTTCCCCAAAGAACTTTGTTCCTTTCTATATTGGCATGTGTCGACTGTAACTTTATGGATGATAACCCCCGATTGTATGAAAAATCACGTTTTGAGCTTGTGGACACTCTAGAGGTTACAATTTATCCGATTTTTGTCCCCCGCCTTTCAAAGAAAGCAGGGGACTATTAAAATGGGTTCGTCTGTCTGTCTGTCACACTTTTTGGGACACAATAACTGTCCTTCTAATTGATGCCTTGATAGAGTTCGAAGATAAGCATTTTCTGCTCAGGGTAAGCAGAGCGATAAGCAATTTGATTGGCCGAGACTTTGGAACACAATAACTCTCCTAATTGAGCTAGAACATTCAAACTTTGTGTAGGTGTTTATTAGGTCAATGCCTTGATAGAGTTCTAAGATGCTTAGGGTAAGCAGAGACTGACAATTTGATTGGTTGATGCTTTTTGGCTCGATAACTTTGGTTATAATTAAGTAAGAGCTATGAAACTCTGAGTATAGATTAATTATATCCTCACCTTGACTAAGTTTGATGAGAATTTTCTGCTTAGGCTAGGGAGCAATAAGCAATTTGATTGGTCAAGACTTTGGAACATAACAACTCTGCACTTGATGTCGATGTTCATTAGGTGAATATCTTGACTGAGTTCAATCAATTAACATTTCCCACTAAAGCTAAGCAGAGCCAAGCAATTTCTTTGACTTTGATTCTATCTGATAGAGAGTGATGAAACTTAGTGTATAGTTGATAATCAGTTTGATTGTTTGATACTTTCGAAAAAGATAAACGTGCAATTAATTGATATGTGTCATCTATTTATTTCGGAGGGGGACATCAGCCTCACTGTTGGCTTGTGATGAAACTTAAAATATATTTTTATATCTCAAAGATCTGGGTTTCTGTCGATAGGTGCTGTGATATTAGTGCTGTGATATTAGCGCCTATCGGACGCTAACTTCTTGAATATTACCCGATTGTACGAAAAATCGCTTTTTTTTTAGCTTGTTCTCTGTCCATCTCTTGTAAAATCTTGCATGGCTACCGCTTGTTTTATTTTGTCAAAGGATCACCACCCAGCTAAATGCCTTCTGATAAACATCACATTTTATGTGTTTATAAGAATGTATAATTATCAAGTATGAATTATGATTGTCAGGGATGCATACTCGATTGCTACAGCAGATTTTTAGATTCATTTTTGGATTCCTGTAACTGAAGTAAATATTTATATGTGGCAATTAAATAATCTATTTTCATGTTTTATACTTTAAAATAAAAATGGGTTATGCGGCACCTTTCAGGTGACCCAGAATTATCTGAGATTCAGAATATTTTTTTATATGGCCTAATATTCAATTCGGCAAGCACATGTAATCTACTCGTAAATGAATATAATATAACTGGGTGGGTGGGTATGATAATTGTGTGCCTGACAAATAACTATAACAAGGAAATTAACAAAGAAGGGAAACTTTAAATAACTTAGCATTCTTTTAAACTTTCCTAGTAACTGGAGCTTTAAGCGAAATAACAACACAACACATATGTTTCCCTTCAAAGGAACAAATGAAACGAACAATAATATAGTATTATGAAATTATAATGGATTTATATACAAGGTGATTTTATATCTCTGTGATAAATTTTTTACAGTGATTTATTTTGTTAATTGCTGGAGTCCTTATCTTCTATGTATTTAACATGATTATACTTGTTATGTTGATTTACATAATTATTAAATATGAATATACTTGTTTGCTGATTTATGTAATTTGTATATTAACATGAATGTTCTTTTATGTATTTTGTAATCATGATTTTTCTTGTATATGGATTTACATTATAATTCTTATATAAACATGAATATACTCATTATGTTGATTTATATAATTATTATATAATGGTTGTTTTGGGGTGTGTTTTTTCCTTTATCATTTCTAACCAAAAAGTAATATTTAATAAATTTTGCATACAGTGAATTCTTTATATTGAAAATGCAGAATATATAAAGGAATAATTCTCTATTTTGATGTAAAACATCTCAAACATTGACCATATTATATTATTACCATAGTCTGCTCTGTAACAAGTGCTGGAAATGTTCTCTTGTGGTTAACAGATTGTACTTCAGATAAACTCTGTGATACAAAGTGAAGACTATCAGACATATGTTATGAACCGTTAACATTGTGAAGATGTAAAATACAAGCCAACTGATGATTTAAATCTTAATTTATTTTATAAAATTATTACTTGTATCTCAGTATAAATTCATAACAGCAATACATAACTGTTTTATTTATGAATTATATTTAATAATGAATTTAGGAGAATAAAATAATGGATATAAATTAAATAATCATTGTTATATATACTCTTTAATACAAAACTGCAGAGTACACACTGCTGTTTTTATTATAGGTAACCAGTGTATGTTAATAACAGACCAATTGCCTACACATGAACATAAACAGTTCATATGGGCGGCATATCTGACGGCCCCATTTCACTTGCAAAGAGATACACTGTCAAAAGTGAAAATGGATGTTTTTGATTTTTGCCTTAATAATGAGTAATTGCTCCACCAATTCTCAGACATTCAGCAATTCGTTGTGGCATACTCCTAATCAACCTTCCAATCACGATTTGGGGCAATCTGACCCACTCCTCTTGCAGTGCCTTGGCCAATTCTTGCAGTGTTGTCGGTTGACGTTGACAAACAGGTCTGCCGATCAAATTAAACGTAACACACAAACGTAAAGATATGCTAAACAGTAAATCTTATGCAAAAACCGATAGGAAAGCAAACATGGATAGAATAAACCAGCAAGCGGCAGTTTTCATCAACCCTTCCTTGAAGTGTCAAATTTGACAATGAACCCCGCCCACATGTATGGCGCTATTGCCTGTCGCACATGCAGCACAGTGGTTCTGTTGGGGCAATTAGTTCTTCGTCTGTGAACATACAGTCAAAGCATGTCAAATTGACTATTTATCATATCACAACCTGCATAGGTATTTGCATTTTCAATATCCCCTACTTTTTTTGAAGAGTATATTAAATATTGTAACGAATTGGGACTAACATGAGAACTATTCTCTTAGTACAGCAAACAACATTCAAATGATAATACTGGTGTCAGTATTGGCACAAATACTCTTAGCGTTCTATTCTTATGAAAAAGACCATAGCCATTTCAAAATTAAAGAGAAAACAAGCCAACAGTGAGGCTGATGTCCCCCTCCGAAATCGCAAAATAAATAGATGACACATTAATCAAAAGTATCAAGCAATCAAACTGTTTATCAACTATACACTAAATTTCATCACTCTCTATCAGATAGAATCAAAGTTATCTTGTTCCAAAGCATCGACCAATGAAATTGCTTACCTCTGTTTAGCCTTAACTCGAAATGCTAATGAACATCTACATCAAGTTTAAACATTCTACTACCTCAATTAAAAGCAGAGTTGTTATGTTCCAAAGTCTTGACCAATTCTTAGGGTGTAACGGTGATATACAAAAACTTTTTTTTAAATCGGATAAAAATTATGACCTCTATAGGGTCCACAAACTAACAAGGCATTGACCTAATCAACACATACACCAAGTTTGAACATTCTAGCTCAATTAGGAAGAGAGTTATCGTGCCCCAAAGTATCAACCAATCAAATTGCTTATCTCTGCTTACCCTAAGCGGAAAATGCTCATCTTCGAACTCCATCAAGGCATTGACCTAATAAACACATACACCAAGTTTGAACATTCTAGCTCAATTAAAAGTTATCGTGTCCCAAAGCATCAACCAATCAAATTGCTTATCTCTGCTTACCCTAAGCGGAAAATGCTCATCTTCGAACTCCATCAAGGCATTGACTTAATCAACACATACACCAAGTTTGAACATTCTAGCCCAATTAGGAAGAGAGTTATCGTGTCCCAAAGCATCAACCAATCAAATTGCTTATCTCTGCTTACCCTAAGCGGAAAATGCTCATCTTCGAACTCCATCAAGGCATTGACCTAATAAACACATACACCAAGTTTGAACATTCTAGCTCAATTAGGAAGAGAGTTATTGTGTCCCAAAAAGTGTGACGGACAGACAGACGGACGGACAGACGGACGGACAGACAGACGGACGAACCCATTTTAATAGTCCCCTGCTTTCTTCGAAAGGCGGGGGACAATAACACAACATTGTCCTAGTTTATTGATTCTTATATATGCAAAGTTTCATCTGGATTCTTAACATATATGCAAAGTTTCATCTGGATTGGACAAAAAATTGTGGGTGCTAGAGGGTCCACAAACTTAATACATATTTCACAATTATGCGTAAAGGACAGGGTCCATAACCCAAATGCATGACCTCTAGAGTCTAGACTGTCCACAAACAAATGTGGAATGGATGTCTTGACGAACATAAGTCACAACATAATATGTCTAAATGAAAATGTGGGCATATAAATATCCTCTCATTGGTAAAGTGGGTAAATATCTGTGAAAGAACAGCTGAAAATTTAAGCCATCTTGGAAAATGAAGGCCATTTTGAAAATTCAAGTGTCTTAACATTTTTTTAATGAATGACCATAATCGGTCACCTATGCAAATTTTCGTTGTTGTATCTAGATTGGAACAATTTTTATAGTTATCTGCCTAATTATCTGTACCAAAGTAAAAAAAACCCAAAAAGCTGATTTTGAAATCCAAAGTAGGACTTCACATATATATTATTTTATCTAGGTACTGTACTTTAACTCTTGTAACCAAGGGTCAATGAATATTGGGTATGGATTTTAAAATCAACATTAAGTTAAGTCTTTATGAATATTTATAAAACAGCAAATTGACTTTACAGACAGTTATAAACAGGACCGTATCTGGTGAGAGTCTTGTAATTCTCTATATTAATATAAAAATCTATAAGAAACTATAGTCTTTTTATTGAGTAAAATATATATAATATCTAGTATATGTGATCAAATTGTAAACATATGATCTGTCATAAAAAAACAAATTTAGTTTGATTATAGATATGTTCTCAACATTGAACATTGCGGTAACCCGAATGACATCACATATCTTAATAAGTCCTTATGATTTTTAACAATAACAGGGTCAACAATATGCAAATAAAACAGTAGAAAGCTCTGAAGTACATCAGGTGTAGTAGATAGTAGTTCATCACTGGCTATACTGGGTTCGGAATTCATCAAATATATATGACGGTATGAAAGACTCCACTGACTGAAAATATATATATATATATATATATATATATGTATCAATCAACAAAAAACACAATTCCTTATTTTACACAAGTGTAACTCTTGACCTTAATGAAAATCCAAATTAAACATATCTGATGTAATCATGTATTATAGATTATTTTGTGAAAGTTTGCCTTTGTTACACTTAACTCTGAATTCTTTCAGAAATGTATTTTTTTTTACCTCTAATCTAAAAGACCTGCTCAGACTTGCTTTAAAACAAATAAAAGATACAACAGAACTAATCTTGTGTTTAAGTAAAAATTAGGTGGTGACGTCACAGGTAGAAATTTACCTTAAATGTCATGTCATCTTATACAGTGATAAAAGAAGGATTTCACATTACCGCTGTGTAACAGTTAGGGGTAGCGCCTGTATGGCTGAGAGTTACAATTTGATTTTTAAAAAAGTAGGCAAAAATGCTACTGTTAGTCCAAATCCTCCTTCCTAGTAGTGCACATAGAAAACAGATAATCAGTATCAAAATGTGATATGTATTGTGTTTGAGTTTAATTGGGGTTGCCTCAACACAGTTTAATGAAATGACATCCAACAGATATTTGTTTGATAGATTAATCAGGTTTAATTTTGAAAAATCTTTTACCTTTCTTGGTAAACTATTGTAAAATATATAATCCTCTAAAAATATCAACACATTTAAAACATCTTGAGACATCTCAGGAGATTTAGCACTGGAAGAAAAAAAACCATGTAAAATAGAAATATAGTTTAAATAATTGATTAGTCTGTTAATGACTTGTCAACGACCACCATTTTCAGTTACATTAATTCACACCACAATTACTCTCCTTCTAATTGAGCTACCTTGTTCAAACTTGGTGTAGGTGTTTATTAGGTGAATGCCTAGATTGAGTTTGAAGATAAGCATTTTCTGCTAAGGCTAAGCAAAGATAAGTATGGTGGCCCATGGTCGCAATAGCGTTTTTTTGGTTATTTTTTTGTATTTCATTTAAAATAATAAAAATATTAGTAAAAAAAAAAGAAACATTTTTTTTGTTTTGTTTTACAAAATAAAAAAAAATAATCTTTTAAAATTTTTAAAAAAAAATCTTTTTAAAAAATTAAAAAAAAAAAAAAATCTTTTTAAAAAATTTAAAACAAAAAAAAAATCTTTTTAAAATTTAAAAAAAAAAAATCTTTTTAAAATGAAAAAAACAAGCCAACAGTGAGGCTGATGTCCCCCGCCGAAATAGGAAAATAATTAGAGGACACATATAAAAATCAAATTGCGTATCGCTCTGCTTACCCTGAGCAGAAAATGCTCATTATCAAACTTAGTCAAGGTATTACTGTAATGAAACTATACACCAAGTTTCATCAATCTCACTTAATTAGAACTAAAGTTATCGTGTCCCAAAGCATCAACCAATCAAATTGCTTATCTCTGCTTACCCTAAGCGGAAAATGCTCATCTTCGAACTCCATCAAGGCATTGACCTAATCAACACATACACCAAGTTTTAACATTCTAGCTCAATTAGGAAGAGAGTTATCGTGACCCAAAGTATCAACCAATCAAATTGCTTATCTCTGCTTACCCTAAGCGGAAAATGCTCATCTTCGAACTCCATCAAGGCATTGACCTAATAAACACATACACCAAGTTTGAACATTCTAGCTCAATTAGGAAGAGAGTTATTGTGTCCCAAAAAGTGTGACGGACAGACAGACAGACGGACAGACAGACGGACAGACAGACAGACAGACGGACAGACAGACGGACGAACCCATTTTAATAGTCCCCTGCTTTCTTCGAAAGGCGGGGGACAAAAAATCTATATATATATATATAAAAAAAAATAATAAAATATATTTTAAAAAAATAAAAAAGAAATAATATTAAAAAATAAATTAAATGAAAAAAAAAAAATTGAAAAAGAAAAGATAAAAAATAATTCCCGACGTGGCCCATCGTCGAAATAGTGTCTTGAGTATCCAGACCCAGTATACAGCTATCATTAGACTAGAGCGACCAGAAACATTTTGTGGCCCATTGTTGCAGTAGTATCTCGATTATTATGTGTGGGATCTATGAAGAACGTATAAACTCGAACGACAAGAAACGAGTCTGTAGTTATCTCACGTCAACATAATTGTAGATACTTCAATTTTGATTAGCTAAGCACTAAAATAAATCTAATATTATCTATTATCCAATCAAATACTAAAATTTGAATTTTATCTTAGTAAAACAGGCCCCAGACGAAGTCCATGTAGGCTATCATGCTCTATTTAAATTTTGTCTTTGAAATTGATGTTGTCCGCCATCGCACTTACGCACCTCTTACCCGTTCCTGTGGTCGTAGCGGGGGACTAGCGATGACCTCAGGGAGAGCAGGGGTTTCACAAAAACTGAAGCTAAAATCACTAACATAGATTTTAAAATCAAAGTGAAATTTTAAATTTATGCGTTTCACGAAGATCGATTGTAACTTAAAATTTAATTTTAATAGATTTTAGTTAAAATTACTTGTGCCTTGACTGGTTTCGTGTCACTCGAGTCTATACCATACGTTCTTCATAGATCCCACATACAGGATAATCTGAACGACAGACCCAAGATGTTTGACAGGTCACCCTACTCCTTGTCACGTACAACCGGGGATTCGAAATCACGCCAGTTGACTCAATGACGGGCTTTATGATATGACAGGCTTTATGACACAGCGCGCACGTGCTAACCATTCGCCCTCCCCCCCCGCCCCCGGCTACTTAGTAGTAGTAGGCCTATACTTCGAGGATTAGTTTCAAAGTTGTTAACTACTTTTGAAATTCGACCTCAGGGAGACCAAGTGTTTTAAAAACATTACATAAGCCTTGCGCACTAGTAGGCCGAATGGTGTCATTAAAGTCAATGACTTCAAACGTCATTATGTATGTAGGCCTAGTTCTAGTTAGACTGGATAAACTAGTCTAAATGACGCTAGGCTTCTATAGTCTATTAATTATACATTTCTATTGACTTACATATGGGAATACATATATCCAAGTCCATAGACGTCATGGGTGGAAAAATTGTGTTTCACGTGTTGATGTCTGTTTACCTTTTTCCTTTCGGAAGGGGAGATAACTACAAACTCGTTTCTTGTCGCTCGAGTTATGCCACATAGGATAATCGAGACACTATAGCAACAATGGGCTACGAGGTATTTCTGGTCACTCGAGTCGAATGATAGCTGTCGTAGGCTGATTTTATACTGAGTCTGGATAATCAAGACACTATTACGACGATGGGCCACGTGCAGAATTCTTTTTTTGATTTTTTCTATTTCACTTATTTTTTTTTTTTAATTAAAATGTTATTTTTTTTATAGATTTTTTTAATCTTAAATATTTTATTAATTTTTTTTATATAGACTTTTTATTTTAAAAAGATTTTTTTTTTTCTTAAATTTTAAAAAGATTTTTTTTTCTTTTTAATTTAAAAAGATTTTTTTTTCTTTTTAATTTAAAAAGATTTTTTTTTTCTTAAATTTTAAAAAGTTTTTTTTTTTATTTTGTAAAACAAAAGAAAAAAAAAAATGTTTCTTTTTTTTTACTTTTATTTTTTATGATTTTAAATGAAATACAAAAAATAACCCCAAAAACGCTATTGCGACCATGGGCCACCATAGATAAGCCATTTATTGGTTGATGCTTTGGGACACCATAACTTTGGTTCTAATTAAGTGAGAGTGATGAAACTTGGTGTCAAAGGTCACAGTCACGCAAAAATCCACGTTTTTTACACAATTTTTTCAAAATCAATGCAAATATTGACGTACGCTGCGTAATTTACACCTAGAAAATTTCCCGACCTGAGAATAATTAGATTATTTTATATTGTAGTTTGTACACGTCATCAGTTTATGTGCTTCAAGTGGCATTTACACACCGCTACTGGACATAGTCTCCGTAGGTTTTTATATTTCCTCTTATTTCATTCATAATCTTTAAGTTCATAGCAGTAAGCCTTCTATACGTAGCTATTCTGATACACCCCCTATTTTGCAGTACTTGAAGCAATAAAGCACATTTCATACAAGACTTTGGATTGGCTAGAACACGATAAACTGTTTACATTCAGCCAATCAAATATTGGCTTTCGTAGCGATAGTTTGCTCTTTACTTCCTGTCAAAGTAAAAGATTGAAATGACTGCTGTCAACCTCCAGTCTTCATTAAACTAAATACAGTATCAATAAAATAAGGAGGCTTAAAATATGGTTGTTCAAAATCAATTTTATTTGCTTCTATTGAGTATTTTGAGAGGCTCTAAGTCATGCAGATGCAGATGGCAAAAACGCAAAATTTTGGAATGTCTGCATATTTTTACAAAACTCGAAATTGATCCACTGCGACCTCTGCTTGGTATATACCTTGACTAAGTTCGACGATGTGAATTTTCTGCGTAGGCTAAGTAGCGATAAGCAATTTGATTGGTCAAGACTTTGGAACATAACAACTCTGCTTTTAATTGAAGTAGAATGTTTAAACTTGATGTAGATGTTCATTAGGTGAATGTCTTGACTGAGTTTAACATTTCGAGCTAAAGCTAAGCAGAGATAAGCAATTTCATTGGTCGAAGCTTTGGGACAAGGTAACTTTGATTCTAACTGATGAAACTTAGTGTATAGTTTCACTACCAGGTTCTTCAAAACCTTGACGGAGTTGAATGTGATTACTTTCTGCTTAGACTAAGTATAGATAATCAGTTTGATTGCTTGATACTTTTCAAAAAGATAAATGTGCAATTAATTAATATGTGTCATCTATTTATTTTGGGATTGTGGCAAAGGACGACACAGCCTCAATGTTGGCTTGTTTATCAGATAGTGAAACAGTATAAAGAATTGTTTTCATCTAATAGTGAAGCAATAAAAATAATTCTATATCTTAGTGAAACAATATGAAGAATTTTTATTTATCTGAATGAAACAATATAAAGTATTTTATTTATCATATAAACAATATTATTTATCATATAGAGATTTTTTGTTTATCATGTAAAGGATTTTATTTATCATAATATAAAGAATTTAATTAATCATAATATAAAGAATTTAATTAATCACATAAAGAATATTATTTATCATATAAAGATTTTTATTTATCTTACTTAGTGAATTTTATTTATCTTAGTGAATTTTATTTATCTAAGTGAAACAACATAAAGATTTCTATTATTGTTTTTTTTTTATAATTTTTGTAAAACAATATACAAATTTTATTTTTATTTTAGTGAAACAACATAAAGACATTTTTATTTTATTTTAGTGAAACAATATAGAGATTTTTTTTTTATTTTAGTGAAACAATACAATGTTTTCTTACCTGCTCATAGCTTCAACTGAAGATCTGACATATTGTCCCAGGAATGCTAAGAATAATGTTGTATTATCGGAATGGAATTGTTTTAGTAATGTTAAACAACCAATAATAAATGGTGGAGCATCTAATGGTTCAGTTAACTTTTTACTAATTAACCCACCTGAAATAAACACAGAATGACAAATGTTAAAAATGGTTTAATTATAATAATAAATAATAAATGTCATCCATAAGGTCTGGCATGTACATTTGTATTGACTACTGAATACAACTAGGTCATTTCTGGACTAACATCTGATACAATTCTATTTAAATAATTTGATTTAAGCCCTACATACATGTAGATGGATATACATACTTAAATCAGTTTTTTAAAAAGATATATATATATATATAGTTAGCTTACTGATAGTTTTGTTATATACAAGTTTGGGTAATTGTGATATAACTAGTAGAAAATTAAACAGTGGGAAGAAAGGCATTCGACTTGTTGTTATATAAATCTACAAAATAAAAAATAAGTTGATAAATCCTCCAAATCATATATAAACTTATACAATATCAATTAGAATGGAAAACCAGTCATTAACCCACACAGGAAGCAGCAGCAGACAATAGACATGTACATTTGATCCAAATTTAGTACAAATTTGAATGAAATTGGGGTTAACGCCAATGTGTACATGGGACCTTGGTTTTTCGTACCATCCGAACACCTATACATTGTCCCTTGCCAGGCCCACTGTCCTGCACCACTCATAAGGGGGAAGAATCACGTCAGAAAATCTTGACGAACTTTCTCGGCCAGCACCAGGATCGAACACAGCACCTCCAGATTAGCGAGCCAACATCTTACTCACTGAGCCACTGTGGTTCCATTCTAGTTTCAAATCTTGAATTATATTCCTATAGTAATCACATTTTACATTCAAAACTGATGAATTCTATATTAAAATAAGAACTTACTTTTGATAATGGATTATGGAAGCCTGCTGATTCTAGATAAGCCGTTAATTCATACATCAATGGATTTTCTTCTTTAGGATATGGTTGACTAGGATCCTGATAATGTTTCTCTATATCCGCTAATAGAGCACTAAAAATACACATATACTCATAGTATAGAATACACCATGAATTTCATTGTATTAATTTTATGGACACGCCCGCATATATTTTGATAGATATCAAGCCATTGCCCAACATTAAACATTTTTGCTAGTAGCAACTAATAGTAATGACTTTCTGTAATTTAGTCCACTGTAGAAGATCTAAAACAAGGGATCATAATTCTGTTTTCTAAGAGTTTTTCGAGTGGCAGAGTGGTCGAACACAATTCTTTAGATGATAATGTCTGTCAATGATCTCAGGATTGTGTGACAAGGAATAGAGTAACATTCCTAACCTTGTGGATTTACACCCTTGTATACAAGCAACTTATAAAAATAAACCACAATATGATAAACCCTCATTCATCTATGGAGCCAAAAATTTAAACCTTTTTTCAACAAATGAAAGTAATTTTCCATTATTTTAAGTATAGAAAATACATCTACGTAAATTCAAAATGTTAGAACATTTAAGTTTAAATTTTTTAGAAATTTACCTATTCAGCGTTTGAAGTGAACTGGCCAAAAATTTGGAATCAAATTTACATGATGTATTGAGTTCATAAGCTATCTGTCGGCGTAATAATTGCATCTGACCCACCTAAAAAAAAAAAAAGCATTTATATCAAAAAAATTATTTATATAATAAGACAAAATAAAAATACACCACTTTTGTAAATGGATGATGTAAAGAGAGAGAGAGAGAGATGGGGTTTAACGTCCACTCGACACAAACTAGGTCATTTCTGGACTAACATATGGTTTAATTTTATTTCCATAATTCGCTTGCGCGTAGGGGTCTTTAGCATTGGGAGGAAACCGGAGGACCCAGAGAAAACCCACGAGGTTGGACAGGCGACCCTACTCCTTGTCACGTACAACCGGTGATTCGAAACCACGCCAGTTGACTCAATGACAGGCTTTATGATAAAGCGTGCACGTGCTAACCATTCAGCCATCCAACCCCCCTGGATGATGTAAATCTCATATGCAATTCTAATAGTAACAATATGAGATCCCGGTGATAACATGTGAGAATGGTGTTTTCCAAATCGTGTAAACAAACCATAAATCAATTCTCTCAAACATACAAAATTGAATTCGACAGAATGGTAATGTAAAAAATCATGATTTTATGGTTCAGATATTGGACATAGAATGTGGATTTTTAAAAAGCTAGGGTCAGTCATCAGTACAACTCCTACAGTTCTGTCTAAAAAGCAATGACATCTCAAGGTTGACACCTTATAATTAACAGTTACTGGTTTGGTTTTCCCCCTTGTGTCTACATTTCACTGTAAAGTTGTTATGGCTTTCACTGGTTGTTGCTGATTACCTTCTTCTCACAAACAATCAGGCCAAATATCACATTTTACCAGTGCTTTAGTGCATTTTCATTGCATCTCAGTATCTATAAAACAATCATTCCTACACTTGCTCTGAGCCCAACTTTCAAGACCTTCTATTGCTTCAGTAGAAAAGTGATTATTCATTAATTTGTAAATATCGCAATATGATTTGTCTTTACCTTATTTATTATGTCCAGATACATAGGCCACAGTTTGGCTGTTTTTGAGATGGCTTGTGAATAAACTTTCTGTGGTTGACCTGAAAAGATTAAATATTGTAGATCCTGAACATCAAACTTATCAAGTGCCAAATCTTTAACTTATTAAATAATTTGAAATAAATTAATCACATATTCAGTTGTTACAAAGTAACCAAATCAGTTTTAAAAAATACACCTATTATTCTCCACCATCTAGTGAATGAAAAATTAGAACTTACAATTGATCACTTCTCTGAAAGTAACTAAAACACCGGCGGGACGATTTACCCAATGCTACACAATACTACCCAATACCACCCTTATATCACCACATACTACCCCATACTACCATATAATGATGCATAATGGACATATCATTTGATTTTTTTCAAAAATAGAGTGTTATATCGCGGGAATGTACTTCAAATGTGATACCGATGTCTGGCTGTTCCATTTGCCTCCTTATACAGTATCACCTAAAACAAGCAAATAATAACCCAATACTACCAAATACTTATCAAATACTACCAAATACCACTCAATATTATCAAATAAGAATCTTATTTTGTCAAATAACAGCACCTTAATATAATTACTGCAACAAATATTCGATAATTTGCAGAAAATTCAAATTTGTATGCAGCTATCTCCCTTTTCAACCGATAAATAAATTTTAGATTGATATTCAGATTAATCATCTTCTTGGCTTTAGAGTTTGTTTCCAAGACGACAAACTATTTCAACCCTCCATGGGTATCGTCAAGCGGTGGCTATAAACAAAAAGTTATTACAGATCAGATGTCTTGATATAGTTATTGTTTTCATTGAATATTAAAAGCATAATTTTATCAACACATATACACAAGAATAGACAAATATTACACCTTAAAAGCATATCATTATATAAAATAAAATATAAGAGTTTCCTCTCTCTCTGTCTCTCAACTATTAAGTTATTGCAAATTTACTTAATGGTCGATGTTTTCTTTTAAAATTAACAAAATTGCAGATGTTCATTACAAGTATGTAATACTCTACTCGTATATAATTTCTACCTGACTTAAACATTAATCAACGGGATTAAGATTGTTGATTGCGTAATCAGGTTTTGTTTAGTTTGATCATCAAAGAAATCGACAGAGATGTAAATGTTTAAGCAGATTGTGAAACGGAGACTTTACTTCAAAATTGTTTATGGCTATCTTATATAATAATACAGTATTTAGCGATTTTTGATTTAACGATATGTAACGATCAAAATATACACATCAAAATACTTGTTTTTCTTGTTTTAACTTTGTTGTTTTGAAAACCAACTGCAAAGCCAAAGAAGATGATTAACCCGAGTAGCAATCTAAAATCTATTTATCGATTGTAAAGGGAGATAACTGGGTAAACATTCCAATTTTCTGCAAAATATCGAATAGTCGTTGCAGTAATTACACTAATATGCTGTTATTTGACAATATTAAGTTGTTATTTGATCATATTGGGTAGTATTTGATGAGAATTTAGTAGTATTGGGTTATTATTCGCTTGTTTTGGGTGATATAAGGAGGCAAATGGAACAGCCAAACATCGGTATCATATTTAAAGTACATTTCCCGCAATATAACTCTTTATTTTTGAAAAAAATTAAATGATATGTCCATTTTGCATCATTATGTTGTAGTATTAGGTAGTATGTGGTGACATTGAGGTGGTATTCGGGTGATATTGGGTGGTATTTGGTAGTATTGGGTAAACTGTTCCACCCCTAAAACACCTCAAAAGTAGTGATTTCAAATTACATGCAGTAGGGGTAATTATAGAAGAGCACAAAAGTAGTAGAGGTAATTATAGAAGAGCACAAAAGAAATCATTTTTCAAAATAACATTTAAGTAACATCTGTAGATTTGGTTCAAAAAGAGAGAGAAAGAGAGAGAAATGGGGTTTAACATCCACTCGACACAAACTAGGTCATTTCGGGACTAACATGTGGTTCAATTTTATTTCAATAATTCGCTGGTGCGTACAGGTCTTTAGCAGTGGGAGGACCCGGCCGGGGAAAACCCACGAGGTTGGACAGGCGACCCTACTCCATGTCACATACAACCAGGGAATCGAAGGTTCAAAAAGAACAACCAAAGTCATAACTTCAATGGAATTGACTCGGGAAGTACATGAGATAACTAAAGTTGAATTGAATCAGGAAGCACATCAGAAGTGATAACTTCAGTGGAATTGACTCAGGAAGCACATCAGAAGCAATAAACTTTAGTGGAATTGACACAGCAAGTGGGCGTAAAGCTATAATTTCAGTGGAATAGACTCGGGAAGTAAAGTGGTCACTTCTAGAGAATAGTCTAAGGAGGAGTACTAAACTTGATACCTTAAGTGGAATTGACTCGGGAAGTGCATTCAAATGTGATAAATTCTGTGGGATTGATTTCTTAAATGGATTAAAAGTGAAAATAATCAACTTACTAACTGTACCAGCCAGTGGTTGTAAAATCTTGGTATAATAAGACAACAACTCTAACCACATTTTATCCCTGGCAACTCCTCTTTGTAAATACATTTTAAATGTCTGTAATTCTTTCACAATCATAAAACATAGTAATCTATCTAATCCTGTTAATCCAAAACTTCCCACAGCTCTCTGAAATACATTTTTATGACATAAAGAATAAGATAAGCTATATACAATATTCATGTGAATTTAGTCTACTTCTTCCATAGATTACTCACACTGAAATCAATGTGCATAAAATAGATTACTAATGTCTTGATCCTGCAGTATATAAAAAATCTTGTAGTGCTGTACGTCATTGGTGGAAATTCCCAACCAAGGGGGATTATCTTCTCATATCATATGATACCCAGTCATACAAAACTGTTCAACAGTGAGGCTGATGTCCCTCATCTCAATCACATCCTGATTATAAGATGGCACTCATGAGTCACTATATTAATTAATTGCACTTTTATCTTTTGATAAAGCATAGAACAATCCAATTGCATATCACTGCTTAATAGGAGTATAAAATGCTTATTATCGAACTTAGTCAAGGTATTGATGCAATGGAACTACACTACACACTAAGTTTCATCACTCTCTGTCAATTATCAATTTCAAAACAATGCATTGACAAATAAAATTGCTTATCTCTGCTTAGTCTAAGTAGAAAATGATCATCATCAGAAAGATATTGTGTTGGTCTTGACCAATCAAATTGCATATCTATGCTTAGTTTAAGCAGAAAATGCTCAAGGTCCATCTCAGTCAACTAATCAAGTGTATCCAAAAGTTGTGATCTAACAACAAGTTTTGAATCTGTGTCTAATATGAAAATACTCATCCTCCAACCCAGTCAAGACATTCACTTAAGGAACACCTACACCAGAGTTATTAAGTCTCAAAAACTGTGATGAACAGACAGACAAACAAAAAGAGAGAGAGACATGGGGTTTAAGGTCCACTGAATCAAACTAGGTCATTTTGGGACTAACACATGGTTCAATTTTATTTTTTTAATAATTCGCTTGCGCATAGGGGTTTTTAGCAGTGGGAGGAAACTGAAGGACACGGAGAAAACCCATAAGATTGGACAGGCGACCCTACTCCTTGTCACATACAACCAGGGAATCGAAACCACGCCAGTTGACTCACTGAAAACCATTCAGAGCTCCAACAGACAGACAAAGGGGTGGACAGACAAATCCATTTCAATAGTCATCTGCTTTCTTCAACAGGCAGGCGATAATTAATTCATTTGGAAAGTATCTATGAACTAGGACTGTTATCCTTCCATTTATGAAATACTTTTATAGTTAGGGTACTGTAATTTGATTAAAAATCACAGGAGCATTTCACATAATAAACTTGTACATGTATTACCTAAACAGGTTTAATTTACTTCCAATACAGGAGAAACATCAAAGGGTGATTCTAATACAAATTCTAGCATTATTACAATATAGGGATGAAAAACAAATTCTCATATAAACTTACATGTATCTGTTGAAAGAGTGTTCTATTAGCCACCTCTTGTTTAGTTTTAGCATCATACCAAGCCTTCATCTGGTCTATATAAGTTGTAACTCTATTCAAAATATCATAAAAAAAAATATTACAGTTGAACATCAATTATAAAATTCATTCTATGAACACATTGCTAATATTGGTTAACACTGAATATTTCACTTAATTTTCTACAAGATTAGAATTGTCCTTTATTAACCACATCTGAACAATGAATGTGGCCATATTTAAAACTAAGCCTGTTTTTTGCGATTAAGGCTGAAGTATTAAAATAAACAGATGAGAGAATGGTTAATTCTTTTATGATCTTTGTACTAAAGACTAATTCAATTTTACCTAGGATCAGTTATACGTAGTATTTCTCTAGCTAATCTACCAATAAAATTAACACTTTCATCTACAGGTGTAAATCTAGGTATTGGTATAGCTGTTGATTGATATACACTCTGCCAATCTTGTACCTAATATCAAATAATATGATTAATAACACAGTGTCATGGTTTAACTATTTTAGTTACAATATAACCAACCATGATAACAATTTTGCATGTAAATTATTTTTCCTAGTCAGGAGGCCAACATGTAACAATAAAAGGTAAAAATGTAACACCAAATCAAATGCTTAAATAGTAATAACAAACAGCTGTTAAGTTTGGGAAATTAATGGATAATGCACACCCATCAACAATCATTTCTTAATTTTGTAATTTGGTAGACAAACAATTCCTAAAATGAACGAATGCCAAATTAGAAATGAAATGAAATGGGGTTTAACGTCCTACTGTTTTGCTCCTAAACTGGGCTAACGAAGACGGGCATACACCATACAGTGTGCTAAGAGGTAAATTTTGCCCGGGCAGCGGCGCTATGGCCTACTCTTATATCAAATTCCAACTGCCAAGGGATCTTTTACAGGCACGCCAATTTGTACAAGGGACCTAGTTTTTTTTGTCCCATCCGAACGACTAGACAGCTGTCCTTGTCAGGCCCTTCATCCTGCATCACTGACAAGGGGAAACCACGCCAGAAAATCTGGATGAAATTTCTCCGCCAATGCAGGGATCGAACACCCGACCCAGAGTCTTGCCCACTTAGCCACGTGATCCCCTGCCAAATTAGACTTATAACTGATGCAAATTTGTAAATACAAAATAATTTACCTTTGTTCTAAGGAAACTGTTACATTCTTGTTCTACATTATAGTTTATAATACGTGATATTTCTTCTTGCCATATCTTCAATCCATAAATATTAACATAATCTTGTATATACTCAAACGATCGACGAAATCCATCCATTTGTTCACCTAGAATGCCTAATTTAGGCATTAACTCACTGACCTGAAAACATTCATTTATCACTTTATCACACTTTTATAGCTGTAAATTGTATGGAAATCCGATTTCATTTACGACAAACTGGTTTAGAGGTGCAATATTGCATTATCATACTTTCACCAGAAATTTAACTATAACTCTTCCTGTTTGTAACTTGGAGGATGAATAGCTAAAATCTCATATCACTCATAATTGAGAAAATCTTATTATCCAAAAAGATATATTTAATGAAATATTCATATCTTACCTTAGCTTTAGGGTTAAACATAAGACCTTTATGTAAAGCATAAGCTACCTGTTGTACTAACTCTTTTCTTATACCGTCTTCTAATAAACGTTTAGGATCAATCTGAAGTACATATTATATAACAAGTATGAGTATTATATAAATCCTATAGGGTGTTACAATATAAATACATGGTATATATAGATATTTTATAACCACAACTAAACCTACTTAAAGGGGTATTATGGGAGGTTAAATAAAGAGATGACAGTTCTCGCTATAATACTCAAACCAGCGGCTGCCAGGCAGGATACGCCCACATTTTGCAAGAGATGGATACAGAACAAGCTAAAAACAAGACAGAGCTCTTGCAAATCGATGCTTGAATCACACTGGAGGGTATAAGCATCCAAAACTGGAAATATATCGTCATCATCCCCACCTAAACCATATAGTCTTGCTCCAGCGAATGATGCATTCTCAGGGAACGTAAAAAGATGTCATCACCCTGCTTTTGTGTGGCATTCACTGGAAGATCATAATCTGCTGGAACTTAATCCAGAACTGTATTGCTGGGTTAAGGATACTAAATTGAGAACATTACAACCAGTCAACTTGCTCCGGGGTCTGTCATGTGGCTCATCAGAAGTGGATGCAAGAGTAACACCCCATATAGTACGCTTGCTTGTAGCTGCACTAGGGATGGCTTAAAATGTACAGTATTTTGCGTCTGTGCTGTCACTGGTTACAACCAGACACTCGACTAAAGGATTAAACTGAATATTATCTAATTTTGTGGCGGTTATTTTCAGAAATATATAGTTTGTTTCTAGATATAGTTTGGTTTGGTGAAAGAATCGCTCCCAACCGCCGCTATCGAGTTAAAGGGCCATATTGTCTGGCATTTTGGATTTTAGTATCATCTAATCATCCCTAAACATAATTGACGATTTCAGTGTATTCCTTGGCCCCAAAACACATGGTTAGACACCAAAATTATCATCCTAGACTAAATACTATGGGAGTTATAGGGGATTATTTGCAATGGTGGCCGTTTTGGACACCATCTTGAATTTCTCAAAATGCTCAAGGGTGACCCAGGTTTACCCGTAAGATTCTGAAAGAGGACATCCTAGGCTACCAAAATGAATCATAAAAAAACTTTGTATACAATTTCCAGGTTCAGCCCTAGTTCTGCTGTTGACATAGCTAACAATGTATGTTATACTTTATACACAAGTTAATAACTTTAACTTTTACAATAATGTAGAAATGTTTACCTTTATAATACCAACTAGTGTTGTTTTCATCATCAATATACCTTCTGTAAATACTGATATAGAATGGGTTAATTTAGCTACCTGTAAAAAATGGAATGGTTAATGTTGTATATTTCATAGTTTAATCTATATCTCTAGTTAGCCTACAAGATGTATATATAATTTATGCCAATAATCACTATTTCTTCAGCATGCAATTTCACAAAATATGTATTTAGATTCACAAACATTATTTCAAAGCCTTTGTACAACAGACTTCACATTCTGAAATCAACAAGTTCGAAATTTCATTAGGGTTAATGCTTCATTATCCTTGCAAATTTGAAAATAACATGAAACCCCACTATGGCGCAGTTTTCAAGTAGTCAACTCAAATAAAGTAGATTAAATACACTTAAAAATACAGTATACTATCAATAGCGTCCATGGTACCTAATGGTCAAGTATTGGCCAAAATGTATAGATTGTTATGTGAAACAGTATGGTACTTATATATACCTCATATCTATCTTCTAACTGTGCATATTCTTTCATCTTTTCTTTCTCAAGTCGTGTTGGTACTTCTTGTATCCTATTAGTTAATGATCGTATGATACTAGCTAATAAACTAAACATGGTTTGGGGAATAATCTGAAAAAAAAAACCCCCACCTAATATTACACCTAGGTAGACAGTGACCGTATTCCCAGAGAAAGACAAAATTACCAGAAATTTACAACAGTTGTTAAATAATTTCTGGAGCCAATTATATTTTTATTGAACAATGGCTTATCTTTTGGCTTTTGAGAACATGAAAGAACTTATAAGGAAGGTTCATTTAAAATAAGGTGTAGATCTAGATACATGAGAGTGAAAAAACCTGTGACTGAGCTTCAGACAGATTTTTTTATACAAGTTTTTCGTGCTTATATATTAAGATATATTGTTAAGCTAATTTTCTGTATATTCCCTTTGTGTGATATTTCTATTGTGTAAAGAGTGAGATATTAAATAATATATTGATACTGTATCACAAAGTTGAATTTCTATAAAATATCGCTTTAGTCCAAATTTTTCCATTATCTTATATAAATATTGCATGACTGGAATGCCAACATCAAAGGATGATGTCCCGTCTGTATTTCAAGTTTGAACAAGCCAACAGTGAGGCTGATGTCCCCGCCAAAATCCCAAAATAAATAGATAACACATATTAATTTATCGCAAATTTATTTTTTTCAAAAGTATCAAGCAATCAAACTGATTATCAACTATACATTATCAACTATACACTAAGTTTCATCACTCTCTATCAGACAGAATCAGAGTTATTTTGTCCTAAAGCATCGATCAATGAAATTGCTTAGCTCTGCTTAGCTTCAGCTCAAAATGTTAATCATTAAACTCAGTCAAGACATTCACCTAAGGAAAATCTACATCAAGTTTAAACATTCTACTTCAATTAAAAGCAGAGTTGTTATGTCTTGACCAATCAATTAAATTGCTTATCTCTCCTTAGCCTAAGCAGAAAATTCTCATCATCGAACTTAGTCATGGTAATGATGTAATGAATCTATACTCAGAGTTTCATCACTCTCACTTAATTATAACCAAAGTTATTGTTCCCCAAAGCATCAACCCATCAGATTGCTTATCTCTGCTTACCATAAGCAGATTTTAGCTCAATTAGAAGGAGAGTTATTGTGTTCAAAAGTCTCAACCAATCAAATTGCTTATCGCTCTGCTTACCCCGAGCAGAAAATGCTCATTATCGAACTTATTTAAGGTATTGATGTAATAAAACTATACACCAAATTTCATCACTCTCACTTAATTAGAACTAAAGTTATCATGACCCAAAACATCAACCAATCAAATTGCTTATCTCTGCTTACCGTAAACAGACAATGTTCATCATCAAACTAAATAAAGGCGTTCACCCAATGAACTCCTTACACCAAGTTTGAACATTCTAAATTCAAAGGAAAGTTATTGTGTTCCAAAGTCTCGGCCAATCAAATTGCTTATCGCTCTGCTTACCCTGAGCAGAAATTGCTCATTATCGACCTTAGTCAAGGTATGGATGTAATGAAACTATACACCAAATTTCATCACTCTCACTTAATTAGAAGTAAAGTTATCGTGTCCCAAAGCATCAACCAATCAAATTGCTTATCTCTGCATGGACCTAATAAACACCTACACCAAGTTTGACCATTCTAGCTCAATTAGGAGAGTTATTGTGTCCCAAAAAGTGTGACGGACAGACAGACGGACGGACAGACAGATGGACTGACGAACCCATTTTAATAGTCCCCTGCTTTCTTCAAAAGGCGGGGGACAATAATGGAACTTTCAAATACGGCTTATATTCTCATCTTCTTGTACCTACCTGTAGAACTTTTCTAACATAAGCTACTAATTCACCAGAATAATACTGTGATACAGACATTAAATCTTTACTACCAGCTTGATTTACACGTAATAATGGTAGATCTAAAGCAGACGCCATCTATAAAGTATAAGATAATCATAGCTATGTATAATCAACAAAAAAATTTGATTCAATATGGTATTACTAAATTTTATGTGACTTACAAAGTAAGTTTCTTGAAGAACTGACTATTTTATAAAGCATATTATTGATTTCAGAAGTATAAATAATAAGTCAACTAAATCTTTCCACACTTTTTAGATGAACACATTCCTGGTGAAAACATTCAATCACTGTGGATATAATAGCATTATGGATGTGTATATATAGTATAATTACCTTCAGAAATGTTGCTCGTAATTTAATTACCAGTGATGGATCTTTTTTAATACCCTGCTGCATGTAGAATGTGTAACTGAAAATAAAAAACATAAAAAACACTGTATATTATCAGTGTTGAATGATAATCTTTTTTGGTCAGGAAATAGCTATTTTATGAGACTTTCCAACAATACACATAAAAAGTAGTCTTATTAAAATACGGTGGGCGACAATTATCTTAGGAACCAAGTGGGAGATAGTTCAGGAAGCCCACATTCGACATACATCATGCTCTATGGATGATCCTCTAATAGTAACAAACATCCAATAAGACTGTCATTATACATGTGACATATATGTATTCAATGCTTGCTTTCCATTAGGGAGCCACGGTGGCTGGGTGGGTAAGATGCTGGCTCGCTAGCCTGGAGGTTGGGTGTTCAATCCCTGCATTGCCCTAGAAAGTTCATCAGAATTTTTCGACGTGGTTTCCCCTTGTCAGTGGTTTCCCCTTGTCAGTGGTGCAGGACGGGAGGCCTTGACAAGGACAGCTGTCTAATCATTTGGATGGGACTAAAACCGAGGTCTCATGTATACATTGGCATGCACGTAAAAGATCCCTTGACAGTTGGAATTCGATATAAGAGTCGGTCGTAGTGTCGCTGTTCAGGCAAAATTTCCCTCATAGGACACTGTATGGTGTATGCCCGTCTTCATTAGCCCAGTCGGAGCAGAACAGTAGGACGTTAAACCCCATTTCGTTTCATTTCATGCTGTTCAATCAGTGATCAAAAATATATATTTGGCAACGAATCCTAAAGAGATTAGAAGAGTCACCCTTGTATTGTAAGGTGATGGGATTGTGACATATATAAACAAATGATTGTGGAAATGATACATATTTACCTGTCAATTATTTGCCAAGCATAAGACAGATCAGCAACAATCTCTGTCTGTATTAACACTTCCTCTTTTATATTTATAGTACGTAACATCTGATGTAAATATTTTCTAGTATCAGCTAAAAATTGTTTTACTTGTAAATTACTTTCTAATTGGTGAAACTCTTGAACCTGAAATACATAAATAAAAATATCAACATAAACTGATGCTTTGTGTAGACCTATTTGAAAATATATTATAGAAGTGGTATCAGATGTTCTACAAAATCAAGTATACTCCATAAGCCTTATACCAAAACATCTGTTACTTCTTATAGCAAATTGTAGAGATAATCTTAAACGGGATTTCATATGTCCCCCAACTTAAACCCAAAATATATATAAACAACAATCATTAAAGCATTAAGCAATCAAAGTGTTTACCACTCTGCTTAACCGAAGCAGAAAATACTCATTATCGAACTCAGTCAATGTATTGATGTTATGAAACTATAACCAAGTGTCATCACTCTCACTGAATTAGAATCAGGGTTATCTATTTCAAAGCATCACAAATCAAACTGATCATCATTGAACTCAGTCAAGATTCTACACCAAGTATGAATATTCTATAACAATTAAAAACAGAGTTATTGTGTTCCAATAGGTGAGACAACAGATGGAAAAACCTATTTTAATAGTTGCCCTGCTGTCATTGAAATGTGGTTATTAATGAATGTATAAATGTAATGGAAGGCATCATAACCACTTGTCTATGATATCACCTTAGGTGGAAGTGGACGTAAAACTTTAGGAATGAACGAACGATCATAACCACAAGTGTACTGTTTCCACATCATAATATCATTTATCTATATATTTTTAATATCAACCAGCAGCTGCCAGGCAGGATACGCCCTCATTTGTGACTCGAGATAGCAAATTTAGTCGTAAGTTGGACAAGTAGATTTCTAATTATATGCTAATTTGTGTACTTGTGCAAAAATTTTCAAAATTTGGTTTTGACCATTTTCAAATACTTTATAATATACTATTCAAAAAAAGTAGGGGATATTTGATTTTGGGGGCATAATACTAAAATATGCAAATGACTACGAAAAAAGTCACTATAGAACCTAACAGAAGAAACATTTCCAGTTACATGTGACGCCCAAACGCACCAATAGCTACCGCATGGAATGCATGTGATGCTTTGGATCATCATGGGGGTCCAACCCAAGATTTGCACGACTCTGACTTTGAATGTTACAGTCATTGTGGCATTGAATTCCAGGGTGGAAACATCAGTTTAATTGTTTCAGTGACCAGAAAACAAATTTTGATATGCGTCGGCTTACCCAAAATGAAAGGTTACGTGCCCTTGGCATGCTACAGATCGGCACAACACAGGCGGTTGTGGCGCGGACGATGAATGTTTCTCAGTCTGTCATAAGCAGGCTATGGTCCAGATACCGTGATACACAATCTGTACAGGACAGACCACGCTCAGGTCGACCAAGGGCGACAACTCAAGCCCAGGATCGATTTATCCGTACCTTGGCCTTGAGAAATCGTGTCATCACAGCAAATCAGATCAGCGCTCGTCTTCAAACAGACACTGGTGTGAGAGTGAGTGGCCAGACGATTCAGAATCGACTGCATAGGGGTCACCTTCGCGCCCGACGTCCTCGCGTGATCCCTTGTTTGAGAGATCATCACATTCAGGCAAGACGTTGTTGGTGTAGGGATCGTCAACACTGGGATAAACAACGCTGGAGCAATGTGATGTTTTCAGATGAGTCAAGGTTCACTGTTGATTTTTTGGACAGACGTAGGAGGGTGTGGCGTCGTCGAAACGAGCGCTTCCAAGACGTTAACGTCATCAGACATGATCGATTTGGGGGTGGTTCTGTTATGGTGTGGGGAGGCATCACTGTTGCTGGAAGAACGGCTTTACATGTTGTTGCAGGGCATGTTACAGGCCAGTACTACCGGGACAACATCTTGGCAGTCCATGTTGTGCCGTTCGCACGACGTCATGGCCGCCGTTTCATCTTCCAGGATGACAACGTAAGATGTCACAGGGCCAGGATCGTTACAGGTTACCTCCAACAACAGAACATCACCACATTACCTTGGCCAGCACTGAGTCCCGACCTCTCCCCCATCGAGCATGTCTGGGACATGCTTGGACAGAGGTTACGTCAACGTCAACAACGTCCTGCCAATGTCCAAGAACTTGCTGCTGCGTTGCAACAGGAATGGGACAATCTGGACCAAAATGACCTTAGACGTCTCATTAGGAGTATGCCACGTCGGATCAATGCTTGTTTGGCAAACAGAGGAGGATTTACCCGTTACTGACTTGGTTGTGATGCTGTGGTAACTTTGCTGTTTGACCCCGGGTATCATTTTACCCTTATAATGGTCAGTCTGTGCCTTACTTAGTCTAACGATCATTTGGAATAAATCGATGAATGTGAACTTCATTTCATTTTGTCATTTGTTTCTTCGTCAGTTTCATTAGGTGACTTTAATAACACTTAAAAATCAAATATCCCCTACTTTTTTTGAATAGTATATTACAATTCAGCCTGGCACACTTTACTAGCAAGAAAACATCGATAAAGGGTAGAAATGGAGCAATTAGTAAACAGTAGTTTACTCAAAGTAGGTCAACTTACTTGTAACTAGTGCTCCTATGGTTAGGACTTTTTGTTATTCGAATAGCCGTAGCTATTAACTGGTTAGTAACCGTTAACCGTATGGTATCAATTTTAAACATAAAACAGAGCTTGTCAGGAAGTGCGAGTCATTACTCGTGCACACGCTATACTCGCCTAAAAGGCATTACACGCGCAAAAATTTCAGGAATTTTTTCAGACATGTACAATTCTTTAATGAAAATTTAAACTATCTTAGGCCGTAGTTATTTATTTACCTGGTTAACTTGGTTCATTTGAAACATTTTTTAATTCAATATAACGATAATATACAAAACAATAATCTGTTTCCCTTCGTACGTGACAGATGGCGATAATATTACGATTACACAATGTTACTAAGTAAATTGGAAGGCGTCTATTGATTGGACAATAAAGAAATAATTCCTCACTTGCAAGTAGAATTTTTATGATTGGTAAATTAACTAAAAACCAAAGTAGAATTCTTGCGAGAAATTGGAAGGCGTCTATTGATTGGACAATAAAGAAATAATTCCTTGCTTGCAAGTAGAATTTTTATGATTGGTAAATTAACTAAAGATAGGTTGCCAGGCAACGAAACATACGCCCACAGCAGCTAAATCATCCGAGCAGTCAACAAGAGTTGTCGCATATTTTTACTTTTTTCGGTAATGAAACATTTATAATACACTAAAATCTGATTAAGAGCAACAACTCAGAAAACCATTAGAATTTGTTTGGTTTTTATAAAGTTCTGCCCCATGCTAACGTTTTGTATACAAAACTTTTAATACTGTATCATGGATTTAGCTGTTCCAAGTCATAAAAATTCATTGAAAATCAATATACTTGTTCGCCTCAAGATCTTAAACTCTGAGTATCAATCTGAAGTTAATCGGATATTAACTTTGGCCTCTAGAGCGTCCACAAGATTTTTCAAAGTGATCAAGGGCCATAACTTTGGCAGTAATTATCAGAAATCTTTGAAAATCAATAGGATTCTTCGCCTTGTGACCTCAAACACTGTATAAATTTAAAGTCAATGAGATTAACTTTAGCCTTTAGAGCATCCACAAGGTTTTTTGAAGTGATCAAGGGCCATAACTCTGGCAGTAATTATTGTAAATCACTGAAAATGAATAGACTTCTTTGTCTCATGACATTAAACACTGTGTATAAATTTAAAGTCAATCGGATATTAACTTTGGCCTCTATAGCGTCCACAAGATTTTTTGAAGTGATCAAGGGCCATAACTCTGGCAGTAATTATCGGAAATTGCTGAAAAGCAATAGGCTTCTTCGTCTCATAACCTTAAACACTGTGTATAAATTTCAAGTCAATCGGATATTAACTTTGGCCTCTAGAGCGTCCACAAGATTTTTTGAAGTGATCAAGGGCCATAACTCTGGCAGTAATTATCAGAAATCGCTGAAAATCAATAGGCTTTTTCGTCTCATGGCCTTAAACACTGTATATAAATTTAAAGTCAATCGGAAATTAACTTTAGCCTCTAGAGCGTCCACAAGCAATTGTGGACGCCAGACCGACGGACGGACGGACCGACGGACGGACAGGGGCGACGACAAAATACGACCACATTTCAATGTGGGCGTATAAAAACCAAAGTAGAATTCTTGCGAGAAATTACGAGATATGAAACATGTTGAATGTCGTAACGAATCTAGTATAATGTATAATATAGTTAGAAATGCTGCGAAGTATTTAGATTGGATTAACAATACCTAAAGTCAGAACAAGTTCCGTTGACTTGCCGTATAACTATGACGAGTGCTTCTAATAATAGTATTATTTTTTAGCAGTTGACATCGTAGGACGACTGTTACATTCTAAGATTTTCAAACATCAAATACAAAATGACAACGGACAAGTTTTGTTATAAAGATGAATATTATCAGACACAACTCTGTGTAATGGGAGACATCTCCGAATAACCGTACCGTTGAATTCGAACCGTTTAACCGTCCAGTTCTAACCGTTTACGGCTATCCGACTAGTCGTAGGAGCACTACTCGTAACAAAGCCATAATTGACCAATTTTGCCCGAAAATGTGGCCATTTTACCGAAGGAAGCTCCCCATACCTATACCAAAACGACCAGAGAAATCCTCTCTTTCTATTTATAGTACTCATTATAAAGTTTAAGTTACGGTCCAATATATCTTAGGGAGATAAACCTATATTTCAAGTTTTGTTGAAATCAAATAAAAATTGTGACCTGTAGAGTGTCCACAAACAATTGTGGACGTCTGGCCGGACAGGGGCGACGACAATATAGGTCCACATGAAAATGTAGGCATATAAAAACAAAAATATATTTATCACACCTACCTCCTCCATAGCTTGAATTAGTTGTATTATTTTCCTACCAGCAGATGTAGAATCTTCATAATCAAGGGAGGCAATTTGTTTTGTCATATCTCCAAACCAATTCTGCAGACTTTCTAAAATCACACAAATACTGAATTAAATTATACTAATCTACTGGAAACAAATTTGTGGGCATTCTATTTGAAATAATGAATTCATAGTCTTTTCAAAAGACTGGCATTGGGTATCAGCAGGGAGTTATGTAAACGTTAAGATAACCCTGCATAAATAGCAATCTGATTAAAATACAGATCTATATAGGATATTTTATTTAGAATAAAAACTAACCACTCTTCTCCACTCTTGTCAAGGGTTTAGTGCCAGAAAACACATCTCCTAATTCCTGCATTCTTTCCTGTCCCTCTTTTTTATATGCTTCCCATTTGGTCTGTTTTTCTGTCAACATTTGTCGAAACATCTGAAATATAAATGTAGCAATTATGCGTCACAAAACAAAATTTTCACCTGTTATGTGTCAAATTGATATTTTTAAAAAACATGACATGTAAATCAAACATCTGATTGATATATATATACTTTAAGCTTGACAACTATGAATTAGTTAAGTTAACATGTCTATATTTCAGGTATTTATTGCTCAGCTTTGCACATAGTAAATGAGGGTAATGTAACAATTATCAAGTACAATTCATACTGTTTATGAGGAAAGCTTATGAGCACAATTACTCACATCACTTATTATTATTATATAAAAAAGTCAGCAATGAAATACCTCTTTGAGTTTAAATTCAAACTGTCCAATATTAAGTAGATGTTGAAATACAGACAGAGCATTATATCTACTGTCTGCTAATACTTGATCTCTAATCATTTTACATCTCTTATTTAATTCAGCACCTGAAATTATAATAATCATCATTCAGATTTTACCTAAAAGAAAATGTCAAATTAATAGGCTCTATTTTAAACAAATCCGTGGAGAAGTGAAACACATTAAAATATCTTTCAGTCAAATCTTTTATAATAGAATGGAACAGGGTTTAACATCTTGTCACCTTTTACTTAGGTCATCTAGAGACTAACACACTTGTAATGCAAACGAGACATGTTTGCTCTGAAAACAGCGTTTCCTCGAAATATTCTTTGAATTCCAACTGTCAGCTTGTACAGGGAACCTTGGTTTTGCATCCCATCCAAACGATGACAAGACACACTGAAACCTGGTTTGAAAAATTAGGAATGTTCTTTTTGGTCTACTTTGGAATTTAATTCCAGGATATACTGGTACAAAACACAAAACTATCCATGTATTCGAAAAACTATTTAACTAAAAAATAACATCAAGAATTTATGAAGAGAAGAAGATTGAGTGAGAAAATCTTACTTGGTGGTAAAGCTGCAGTATGTAACATCAACCATCTTAAAGTGACATTACTATCTCTCATAACATTCATTAGTTTAGGTATATTATCTAATATAAATTCTTCCATTAATACTCCTTCCTTTAAATATTTTTCTAACACTGGCTGTAATCTCTCTAACTTTCTAGCATAACGAATAGACTAAAATAAAACAACAACACATTCAAAAACATGTCACATACATAAAGAACAAGATTATATAATTACCTTCTCTGTAACATTATACATACCAATAACATTATACCATATTTTTCAGTGTATTAGGCGCATGGCGAGTTTGGCAGAGGTGTTTCAGGAAAAAATAAAAGTGCATGGTTTAGGCGCACCCTTCTCCAACGCCTCGTGGAACACGTGCCATACCATACGCGAGTCAAATACACCTGCGATCTCCAGTAACTGGGACACACTCTATTGTTAACAGTTATAATAATTACTGATATTTAGCCGTATCAAGCTTTATATATATATATATTTCTTTATGAAATAACAAATTCTATATACATTTTTTGAATAGCATAAGACTTTATATTAATCATAACTTTCAATTGCATTGTTTCATAACTTAAATGGTAATTCTGGCGCTCACACGATAGTCAAATTGTCGTTAAAGTCCCGCCCACAACAAACATTGCCGTCTATTACATCCTGTTAAATTCATGAGCAACTGGCTGTGATAAATGAATAGGTATTGATGATAAACAAATGAAATAATAATTGTAGAAATAATTTATTATGATCAGCTACTCACAACTTAAATCCTGACTACCAGTAAAAGAGAAACAATAATTCTAGTTCACTTTATACTATCCAAACAACTGACAAACGATGGCGTCCATTGCCCCGCCCACTACACGCAGCATGACAATACCTCGATTGTAGCCATTAAGATCTATCAGTAACATAATGCCTCTTAAAGATTATAATACAATAGCATTTTTAATACCAATCAAAGAAACAATGATTTTGTGAACTACAAACCACTTTATAAAGCATACGGTGACAAATCCCCGGTAGATAATTAACGATACCGGTAAATTATAACAATGGATCAATCAGTGAAACTATTTTGCATGAAAACTAGCGGTAACTTGAAACGGCTAGATGTAAAATTTACAGCAATGTATAGAAAAAACCAACAAACTTTCCATCAAATTTTAAAAAATGATCTATTGAGAATGGCTACGAGACGAACCGCTAAAGCGTACGGTAACAGTATCACAGGTTGTGAATTTAATTTGGGTGAGTCGAACGTAAGGCGGCTATGAGTTGGGAACTTAGTCACATAAACCAAATAAAGAAGCCAATAGATGAAGCGACACACGTTATCCACAAATTGAGAAAGAATTGGTTGACTATGTCAATCATATACGTCGAGTAGATTTGCCGTTTCGACGACAGGTTAGACTAATAACATCAATATAATAATATGTCAGTTTAACTGTCTGTAATCCCACCCTTAATACCGATGACTTATATTGAAAATGCTTGTAGGAATGCATGTCCCGCCCTATTCGTCAATGTGACTGATGACACCACTGACCTGGAACGGGGACGAATTAGAACTGCTGGTAATGGCCAAGAGTATTTGGAATAGCAGAAATATATGTTGTTGAAATAGCAAGAAATATTAACAATATGTATGCTAAAGTTGAATGGCTATCGGCCGATGGTGTTTGCATTGCCGGTTATGACAAACAGTATACCGTACACAGAATAGCAGAAAATGTCTACATCATTTTTATGCACCAGAATTATGGGCGATAATTATTGACATTTTTTACCATATCTAAAAAGGTTATTGACAGATATGGACGCATTTTAAACATATCTAAAACATTATTGACAAATATAAATGATCACGAAAGGGAACAGTATTGTATTTAATTTGAGTGATAATATATCATAATCTTTGAAGATAGCATCACCCGGTCGACATGTGTTGATTCTAGGGCAGTTATTTCTTGAACTTCCAACTTAGGTGTCGACACAGGAAAAGCCTGGATTTGCTTAAAGTTATGTATTAGGCGCACCCCTTCTAGAAAATAAAATATTGGGTAAAAAAAAGTGCACCTAATACACCGAAAAATATGGTAATTACCTGTTCTCTAACATTAGATGTATCAAGAGTATTATTTAAAGCTGTTATAGAAGCTTTATATGGTGCCCAAGCATCCATTAGATTAACAACTATACCCATATATACACTTATCACCTGAAAAATGGATTTCAACACAATTATAAACATATTGCATTATATGAATTTTCAAATTACAATGTAAAATATTGAAATGGACACATTTAGAAATGCAATCTGGATTACTCAGAATAAAATCAGATGTTAGTTCCATTTTGTTTTATCTTTTATATGTTGTACTCCATTAACCTACAAAGTTTCTTTGAAGCCAGCTAGTGTTCAGGTCACATGTACTTACTGACCTATCAAATTGTGTGTAATTGTATACAGTGCAGCATTTTGTGGAGACTTATTAGAAATTAAAAATCCAGGAAATGTGATTCATTTATTATAAAAATTATATGATTGTTTACGTACAATAGTATTGATATTACTGTCTGTTCCAGGTGATACTCCGAGCTGACTCGAAAATTGCTTGCCATTTCTTCATTTTATAATTAAAATGGTTAAAAATTTGTGACATACCTGGAATTTTCATCCCTATATGATTAGATGTCCAATAAAATCCAGTATTCTCTTGTAAATTTAACATATATAGACATTGTCACTTTCTCAGAACATAGATAATTATTACGACTACACCTGCGTTAAATGGAATACTTGCATATCGCATTATATTAGGGTAGACAGGTACTTTACAAATAAGGTGCATTCGGTTAGAAATATCTAGTGAAGGAGAATTCGCTTGTTTGTTTCACGGCAATAATACTTAACAAGGCTTCACACTGTGAAGCTTGTGTGACACAATATTGTTTCTGTTCGGATTAATATGTTGTTTTATTTTGCACAAAAATGCTTCTTGGATCACTTGGAGTGACTTAAAGATTAAAGCTCATATCAGAACCATCCGAACTCTCCGAAATAAGTAATTTAGTGTAATAGGTTGGGTCTTTTTTATCGGGTAAAATGATTCAGAATTTTGTTTTTTGAGACTTTATAGCTCTGCTTGAGAGCAAAGTCTGAGAATGTGGCATTTTTAGAAAATGCTTAAAACTTCATGATAACATTAATGATCAGCTGTCAATACATATCAAACACAAATTTACTTCAATTATCACCCGCCCTAGATCTAGCTTTAGCGTATAAACTGGGTAATAAAGTGCATTTATTACCTTTTTGGAACACTTTTGGGGATTAAAATTTAGCTGCCCTTGTAAATAAGCAGAGCAAGACGGAAGCCAATTTTCAAATTTTGTTTTCCCGCAATTTGTAGAGAGAGAGAGCGAAAAATGGGGTTTAACGTACACTCGACACAAACTAGGTCATTTCGGGACTAACATATGGTTCAATTTTATTTCAATAAATTACTTGCGCGTAGGGGTCTGTAGCAGTGGGAGGAAACCGGAGGACCCGGAAAAAAAACCCTGAGGTTGGATAGGCGACCCTACTCCTTGTCACGTACAACCAGGGAATCAAAACCACGCCAGATGACTCAATGACAGACTTTCTGATACAGCACACACACGCCAACCATTCGATCATCCAAGCCCCTCCTGCAAATTGTATCTTAAGGCTGAAACCTAACTATTTCAAATCAAAGGCATGTATATTTCATATATAAGAGCAAACGAAAATCAATAATTCATTTTAAATTTTTCACATTTATGCCCATAAAAGAATAAATGATTGTTTGATTTTCATAAAAATTTGCACCATTCTGTAATCAATTGGTCACCAAATATGACGTCATTGTGGCAAAAATTGTATTTTTGCGAACATGCATATTCAAAAGATAGTTTCTAATGTGAATCATTCATTGCCCAGAAATATGCAATTGTTCAAGAGTAACCCTTTATATTGTTTTGCCCACAACACATTTATTTATAGTTTAATAGACATTATACCATTTGATACCTTATACAAACCGCCATTAAATCCAATCAATCGAAAATTGACAGTATTACCAGAAGTGACGCGATTTTGAAAAAAGAAACTATATTTTTATCCTTTAAAACAAATATTTGTTCTAAAGATCGTTATTCGCTACGCTTTACTAGAACTATTTACTAACTTCTTTTAACTAATAGTATGCAGATATACTACCATGATGATATCATAAAATAATTTTTAACTTTGTCCTTAGCCAAGAAATATACGAATTTTATGCAAATATACGATCAGGCAGATATTACAAAATTCCAACTTTATTCATCGCCGATTTATCATTAGTCACTTTGTAAGGGTTTCACACTTCAATATGTATTGATAAATGGCTATTACGTGACCATTTTTTAACATACATTGGACTCTGTTAAACCATATCATTAGTACAGGAAGTGACGACCGCTGAAGGGTGTGGGTGCCGGTAAAACTCGGTATCACAGTTCTAGTTTTCGAGTTGTTTCAGAGCTGTTGGTATGAAAATTGACTAAGATATATCCGTTTGAAGTTGCCCAAGTCAGAAAAGGTAGTTTTGAGAAAAATAGAAGTTAAAGATGTTGGTATCTTCTAAAACAAAATCATATAGCAACCACGCCATATATTTGTTATGTTTTCATTTAATATTTTTCTCGGTTTTATAATTTAGAACAAAAGAGAATAGTCCATACTCCATACATTAGTAATATAGGTTTAGTATATTATAACTTTTATGGGAATAACTTCTGTTAATCTCATCAATTAATTAGCACCTTTGTGTTAGTGCTCAGGAGATTAAGATTGTTGATTGGGTAATCAAGTTTAGTTTCTTGTTGATTATCAAAGAAGCCGCCACAGCTATACATGTCCTGTTATCTTCGTCACACAACTTGATTAAAATAAGGTTTGCGTGTACAATAGGTCTACTGTTAGTTTCAGGTACCGTAATTCAACCCCAAATAGAATGATAGAATGATGAACGCAGCCATGTTACCACAGTACACTGCGCGGGGTGTTTGGGCAAAGAATATTTATGTATTGTATGGGTTTTAAAAGTTGTTTGTATTCGTTAAAATTGGGATTATCGGTAATACTTTGGCCATATTTATAAACTAGAGATTTATGGCTTCACGACGATGCCAAGTATTGTGTAAGGAGATTGGCCAGTCGTGCCACTACGGGTGTTAAAAAATAACTAATATCTGCTACGAATTTTTAAAAAAAAAGAAAGATTTAAGGATACAGTACTCTTACAAAACATCCAACTAAAGGTGTTTTAAGATGTTTTATTCCTATTTTAATCTTTTGGGTCGATAGATAGTATATTTATATATTTATAGACTCATTTATGTGAAAATCTCAATTTCGATCAAAATCAATACTTTAACTTGTTTTGTCCATAGCTCATTATTAGACCTTGCGCATTCTGACTCATTTTGCCAGCACGGGTCACATTTCACAAAGTTTTAGCCATTTCAAATAAAAATTAAAGAAATCGGATGCAATTTTCGAGCTGTAGTATCACCTGGAGCAGACAGTAATATACATTATAATCATATCTGAAGACGTCTATTAAGCTAGGATTAGCTATCATAAGTATAAAGAAGTAGAGGTGGTTGACTTTTTTCTTATTTTTTTATGCAGATACATGTATCTATCATAAACATAAAATAACTTTTACCTTATATAAATTATCTACTTTAAATTATATATATATAAAGATCTCATAAAAACGTAATATCATGCTTACCCAGTTATCAGGGAAATGTTTATCAACTATTTCTCTCATCTTAGCTTGTTGATTGTACAGTATATCTGGTTCAAAGTATAGTATAACATATAACATACTAGCTTGAGTAGCTAAAGCTGTAGAACGATGTTCTGGTAGTGGATAGGCTGATATCTGATTATATATATCATCTGATCTTAATCGTCCAATCACCATGTTTATATAATCACCATTAATTGGAACCCGGCTAAACAAAACGGTATAAGCAATATCATTAGAAATTAGACTTGGACGTCACACAAATATCTTTTACTCCACTCTGATCAAATTTCTATCGCATCTTGGCCCAGATGAACGTTCCTTAAAATGATCCATACACGTCACAAGTGGTATTAGATATAATTGTGAATTACTATAAAGACTAACATATTCAAAATGTGGTAATCTTATAAGAACTTTAAATAATGAAAAGAAATGACCTGTTACATTACATATTTTATGTAGTCTCTCTTTAGACTATAGTAATACTTGCACATCGAAGGGGATAACTCACTTATCTAATGCTACAATTTATCTTGAATTTGACCTACCTGAAGAAAGATTCAGGATAATTAGGTGGTCGTCTTGCACCAGGTAGATTAGAGAAACCTGTACTACGCAATAACTTACATACATCATCTATGCTAGAATCTGTTGCTGCTGTTTTCTGAGCGCTGAAAGTAAGGTAAAGAAGTAAAGAATTATAGATATGTAACTAAACTCAGTTTACACTATATTACATAATGTTATGTTCAAATGACTATTCTCATATAGCAAGATGCCCAGTCAGTCATATCTTATATTATTACAACATATTTAGTGAAGAGTGAATTGAACCAGAACTAAGAAACAGATAACATCTAGAGAGGGGCATGTCAGGTCCCTTTTTACACACAATCTGCAGCAATTTCATTCATGACCATGCTAGCAGTCACACCTAATTCACAAGATTTCATGGGACAAACTCAGTGACTTTAACTTCAAATCTGGAATTTCAATATGGTTCTAACTTATGCCTAAATGATCAGTACATGGCAAAATTACATTCATAAAAACTGGAAACTGAATAGGGTCCTTCTTATCCCCTGATGAACAATTCCAACAAATTTCAAAACATTTCAGCAACAACTCAGTCCTGCATATCAGAAGGTTCATAAGTTTAGCATACATGGGGAAATAACTACACAATTTGTGATCAAATCATTCTATGAATTTCCATAAGACTGCATGTGTACCTGTATCTATAATAGGAAACCAGTATTCTCTCTCTCACAATACCTTCTATCTTAATATCAATTAATAATAACATGACACCATACAGAAATAAAGCTTCACACTGGAATATAGCAACAAACATTATATACATATATCAATCCTTTAATACTCCTTCTACTATCATTCATTTTCATATACTACATACATAGCCTCATCTAATATAGTCTACTCCTGCACAGAGATACATGTTTTTGGTTTCTATTAAGGTTGTATTTCTTCCCTGGGAATACGTATCAAATTGTTATATGTTATTGTATCATTTGATTCATCTCTGTCTCTTCTACTGCAATGTTTAATTGATTCCAGTTCTAGCAGAGTCAATAGAATGGAATACAAAAAGAAGCTGGAGAAATGCCACAATACCTAAACTATTTCTATACACTTTCCAGACAGTTGAAATATTGATAAATTTGGTTAATTTTTTCTCACAAAACCCCAAAATCCATTGAATATATAGAAGACCTACCATCAATTGTTTACCGTCCTCATTTAATAAAACTGATTCCATTGTTTGTTGTATATAAACGCCTTCTTCCAAATCTTCTAAATATCTAATCAAGAAATATAAAAACACAGCATTTTATAATTTGCATAATGTTACCAAGAGAGACTCAAGTAAATCTTCGATCTATCTTTTTCGGGAATGGGATGGTGGTAAATACAAATGGATCTGCAAAACCAAGTAATCTACAGAAATAACAGAATAAAGTAGTATAGTGTTGAGATTATAGTCACAATCAATACTTATTACAAAATGTGTTGTTCTGATACAATTCAACTTGTGATACATGTACTAACACCACAAATGAAAACAGAATTGAATGAATGTCAATGTATGTATTTTTGGTGTCTGCATAACAGTAGTTTTCTGTTGGAATAGTGTACTGTGCAGTTAAGATATTTTTCATTGCTTTATGGGTCATTCTCTGGCAATGTTAATCGTTTTTTGATATTCAAACTTGAATCTCAAAAAGAGAGATTTAATGCATGGATATCTACAGAATGTCACCAAAACACATTTGATTAAATACGTTATCTAACACGAAGTAAAGATATCATCAATCAGGATGCCTGAGCAGTAGATTCACATAAAATCAGTTTTCTAAAACAAATTAAATGTATCATAAAAGAGGATGTCTGAGCAGTGGATTCACATAAAAACTGGACTTTCTCCTTGATTTTTTGATATTGGCGAATTTTGAGATTTTGAGATTTAAGTCTGACTATCGTAAAACGAGTAGTTTATTTTTCAACATTCACCAATATCAAAAAACAAGAAGAAAGAGCAGTTTTTATGTGAATCCAGTGCTTAGACATGCTCATTTATGATATCTTTACTTCGTTTTAGAAAACGTATTTTAATCAAAGTGTTTTGGGGACATTTTGTAGCTGTTCCTTCCCCAGATCCTTTGAGATTCAAGTCGGAATATCAGAAAACAAGGAGAAAGAGTAGTTTTTAAGTGAATCCACTGCTCAGGCATCCTCATTTATGATATCTTTAGTTTGATTTAGAAAACTGATCTTATCAAATGTGTTTTGGAGAGATTCTGTAGATTTACATAATTAAAATCTGTATTTTTGAAATTCAAGTCTAAATGTCTAAAAATGAGTATCGGTAGCTTGTTTTTTGAGATTCGCCAATATCAAAAAACAAGGAGAAAGAGCAGTTTTTATGTGAATCCACTGCTCAGGCATCCTCATTTATGACATGTTTACTTCATTTTAGATAACTTATTTAATCAAATGTGTTTTGGAGACATTTTGTAGATATACATGTACTTAAATTTGATTTAATCAAATGTGTTTTGGAGAGAGTCTGTAGATATACATGATTAAAATCTGGGTTTTTTTTTTAGATTCAAGTCTGAATATCGAAAACCGAGTAGCTTGTTTTTCGACATTCGTCAATAGAAAAAAAATAAGGAGAAAAAGCAGTCCACTGCTCTGAAATGCTCATTTATGATATGTTTACTTCGTTTTAGAAAACATATTTAATCAATGTGTTTTGGGGACATTTTGTAGCTGTATATCTATGACCAGGTAGTATTTAATACAGCCATTCATCCAATATTAAGAGGTAGACTTACACCCAAGATGGATTATCTAAAGTTTATTTAACAATGGTCAGCTATGACAGAGATAATAAACAATAGTAGTAATGAGATAATCCATCTATAAACAAGGCCCAAATAGTTACCTCAGTAAATGAATGAATGGATGTCAACAAGTAACCTCTAGTATATAGAGTAAAAATTGTAGATTGTAGTTGGTTGACCACAGGCAACTGTTCCTTATTAAGTAATCTAGCCTGTGGGTCATTATTGTATAATATGTATGAATATTTAAGTGTTGCTACAAGAATGGGGAACCATACCAAAAAGAAGTGAGTTGTTCAGTTATTGTATGTTCAATCTTACACCCCCAACTAGATTGAACATACAACCCATCGTCGACTCCGGATGATATTTGGGTTGTATGTTCAATCTAGTTGGGGATGTAAGATTGAACATACAATATGTGACACTAATTTGCTATTTAACTTTCATGTGTTAAGGGGACAAACCGGTACAAAGCACAAAGGAGCATTGAAAATCTACACTGAATATAAATGGGGATGTTGAATGTCAGTTCGGAACGTCCTGATAACTGAGATGGTGTGAGTAGAATTGTGATGTTATGAATATTTTTCAGCTGTCATGGTTGGTTGAGATATTTTCTTATGCAGTGGACACACAGGTTGTAGCCAGAAATCCAACTTTTCACCTCATTGTCACCATATTGGGGATTGAGATAATTCAATTCCGAAACATTAAATCGAGTATGCTTAATGTAAATATAGAACAGTATGATACACGATACATAAAAACCACCAAATACATACGTAACCTTAAGACGTGAACATGCATACAGTACAAAGAATTTTTGTAGCATACATGTACCTATTTAAGTCAGAAACATATTTATGAACACTTGAGAATGCTTGGTAAAATCTGGTAAGTATTTCTATATTATTTTCACTAAACTCTTCATCTAAATCCTGCAACTCCTGTTGAATAAAAATAAAAAAAAAAACTAGCATACTGTACATTACAAAGGATATGTTATATATTCTATACTGAAATGTCTTATCAATTCAATGCTGGAGATAAAACAGAAAGGCTCATCAACACTTAAATACAAGCAGGCCTACTGTATGACCTATATATATCAATCTGATACCAGCAAAACAATTTTTCATGAAAAATGTGTGGGAAATAAAAGGACATAGATATCATCAGACTGAAAATGGAATAAAACTTGAGTTAAACTAGAAAAATGTTCTAAGACTTTACACCCAGAACCACCCAAAACATCTTTAATTACCCGAAACAACCTGTGTTGATTTTAGGATACAAATGTTAATTTTAGTATGTCGAAATATGAAAACAAATTATGAAGAACTATGAATTAAGAAATAAGAACACTGAATAAAGAGCTGTCGTTATTCCATAGAAAAGGCTCGAACCTACAGCTGTACTACGATAACAATAAGAGTTGTCTTTTTAGCTTTGATTTTCCATTTATTTCTATTTCTTTTTTATTCAGAACTATTAAAAAAAAAAATGAAAAGAAATGAAATGGGGTTTACGTCCTACTGTTCTGCTCTAAACTGGGCTAATGAAGACGGGCATACACCATACAGTCTACTCTTATATCGAATTCCAACTGTCAAGGGATCTTTTACATACACCCCAATGTGTACACGGGACCTAGGTTTTCCGTCCCATCCGAACAACTAGGCAGCTGTCCTTGTCAGGCCCTCCGTCCTGCATCACTGACAAGGGGATATTAAAAAAAGAGTGAAGTATAGGAAATATTAATTAATAACCTATACATACTAAAAGATAAAAAAAAAATAATAAAAATGTTTTGTTTTATTCAAATACAGGCTATTCTGGGTAATTAAAGTTTTTTTGACTGCTTTGGTTCAGATGCAGTTCTCTAGCGAGGTAAGCAAGGTCTTATTTTCTCACTAAAATGTTCTTTTACATTGTACAGGCGTTAACAGAGAATGACACGCGACCATTTAACAGAAAAAAGTTGCCTAGTAAAATTGATTGAGGGTCAAAACTTTTTCAACAAGGATTCAATTGGGTGGTTCCTGAACGTACAGGGCGAGTGTAAATGAGACCTACGTTCAGACTGAGGGATAAAGCGGTATTTTCATATTACATGTTATATAGGGTCACACAGGAATGGGGAGAGAGAAATAGTCCGATCAGAGACCATTCCAAAAGAACTACAGTAAACCTTGCATAAGTCAGATTCGTATAAGTCGGATCTTCGCTCAACTAGGAAAAAATCGTTTTGACCCTTTGATCCTGCACGTTTTTCTTATTAAATTTCTGTGCTCAACTCGGATCAAAATGTTCAGTCTATTTGATCTAATTCCGGCTTTTTTCCTTCGTCTAAGTCGGACCGGCAGTATGTTCAGAATTTCACTGTCAGTTTCGTTCCGATGGTCTAAAACACGGTTAGGTATTCCAGGCACAGAGCCCCAAAATACTTTCCTCTATCATTTTGACTCAAATCTGCGCGATAATAGAATTTTCCCGGAAAATTTGAAACTCTTTCCGGGAAAATGTAGGACATTTTTCAAAGATGGCGACAAAACGGAAGTTATCTACTCGCACAAACATACAAAAGTTTGAAATGTGCCTTTGAATCAATTATTATCCGGCTCTTGCAGTTTATTTCTAATCGAGCTAAGATTGAATTTCGGTCTTCGGCTAACTCAGATCTTCACTTCTTAACTCGGATAAAATTGGTCAGTCCACTTAGATCCAACTTATGCAAAGTTTACTGTAGATGTAATATACAGGTAGGACAAAGGCTTAATAAGGTCAAACAATCCTGGGTTAAAATTCTGAAGAAATTATAATATAAATTACTGATTGTCTACATAGTATTAGTAAGCATACTTACAACTCTTGATTCTATATTATGGTCAAAATACTCGGCACTTTTAAAGTAGCTAAAATCGGCAATGATTTCTCCATATCGCATCTGATCATATTTATTATCCAGTCGAAAAACTGTTGGTATAAAATCTGCCAGTCTTAGTAACTCTGCAATTATGGCATTTCCTCGAGATACTAAGCGAAGAATGTTTTGACCACATTGGTTGTTTTCAGCCAAAAAGTCTGCCATTTTTAAAGTTGTATAAATTCAGATATCTAGTAAAAATTAAATATTCTGTGGTTTTAACGAGATGGTCATACGGTATTGTGTCATTCACTTAATCCTCGGCCTCTTTTCTTGTCAGTGCCAGTGGACTGTGTGTGTACATGTATTATAGAAATTTGCAGACGAATTTCTTTTCACTTTTGACACCAACAGGACCTTCTTTTACAGAAAGTTCAGAAAAATAACAATCTAAAATATGTCTGTCGCCAGTAAATGGTTTACATCCTCGCAATGTAGTCTATATGCAATAAACAGACATGTGTTCAATAGTTTATAACAAATAACAAATGTTGTCTCAAAAAAAAAATAAGAGGTGTTTTTTATTTCCACCTCGCCACTTCCGTGTCATGTGATAATCGTCAAACAGGAGTTATTCCCCATGGACAACGGAACTCCGATATTGACTATATTTCTCACTCGGCAAACCTCGGCAGATTCCGGTACCCTACATCTAGCCTCGGCTGTATGACAGTAAGTGATATGTACCTACGTCTATACATTTGCGATACGGCACCGGTTTACTTAAAAGGGAAACTTGCCCGCGTTTAGAAAGAAGTTTTCAAAATTGCGTCGTTCGAGGAGTGTGTAGAATTTTCAGTGCAAATTTGTCCTTGTCCAAAGAAAATCGGATAAACTTAAAAGAAAAACAGCTTCAAACTTTGAAAATTTTGTAAGATAAAACATTTTTCAAATACGTCGTCATCAATGGCGTCATTGGTCGTCATGGACAACGCCATTGTAATCCGGGAACTTGAAAGTAGTTCTAATGGCGGACTTTGTCATACAGCCGAGATTAGATGTAGGGTACTGGAATCTGTTGAGGTTTGCCGAGTGTATATTTCTATGATTGAAACAGCCAATGACGTCGTAGACGTCATTGGAAACGAAATGAAATGAAATGAAATGAAATGGAGTTTAACGTCCTACTGTTCTGCTCCTAACCTGGGCTAATGAAGACGGGCATACGCCATACAGTGTGCTATGAGGGAAATTTTGCCCGGACAGCGGCACTACGGCCTACTCTTATATCGAATTCCAACTGCCAAGGGATCTTTTACGTGCACGCCAATGTGTACACGGGACCTCGGTTTTTCGTCCCATCCGAACGACTAGACAGCTTTCCTTGTCAGCCCCTCCGTCCTGCATCACTGACAAGGGAGAACCACGCCGGAAAATCTGGATGAACTTTCTCGGCCAATGCAGGGATCGAACACCCGACCTCCAGGCTAGCGAGCTAGCGTCTTACCCACTTAGCCACGTCATTGGAAACAGCTAAATGTATAGGACATTGACGTCATATATAGGTGGGTGTCCGTTAAAGTTTATGGATAAGAAAATGATGTTAGCCATTTGAATTTACAAAATCGTCGTCATTTTTCAACAAAGTTGCCAATGTAGGCTTTTCTTTCACATCATTTTACCCACTCGGATAGAGACGATTTTTCAGGTGGAAGTATTAGGCTATTACGTCGTCTATGTCCCGACGCCCGTTCACTTGTTTGCGGAGTGTCTAGTGGTCACAGTTTTTATCTAGCCTTTGTGTTTATTGCCAAAAGATCTTGGAGTAGGTAAATTTGAATGCGTATCTGACCACAACTTCTTGATTTATGGTCCCTGTCTTTTACGCATAATTGTGAAATACGCAGGAATTTTGTGGCTCTCCAGAATCCACAATTTTTGGTCACATTCATATGAAACTTAGAGGTGCTAAATCGCTAATATTTGGGACCTAGAAATTGACCCAAATGGATCGCAACGCATATAATAATGTAATCTGATTGTATATAAACTTATTTACAATCAATTGTTTCCGTTTTGACTCTAATTTCAAACCAGTTATGGCCAGCGAAATACGGCATAAGTATAACCAAATGCCAATTTCTAGCGTCTGAATATTCCAGTCTATTGCGCATGCTCTCCACATGAGTTGTTGAATATGTTTAGCCTCGTTCTTTCTGTTAAAAATGACGCTGAAACGCACTATGGTACACGATTCGTGTACGAATGTTAAAATGGGTTTTTTTTGTTTGTTTTTTTTTGTGTCTTAAATTATTGGATATCAGAAGCCTACCTTTTCCCGGAAAGATTACAACATCAATGTTGATTTGAATTGACAAATTTTGGATGATAGGCCTATTGAGTTAGAGACATAGAATACTTTAAAGTTACAATTTCATATTTTTAAGTTTAATTTTTAAATGTATTAAAATAAAGTCCTAAAATAGATGGTATCTATAAACAGTCCCACCTTATTAAAGAATAATACTATAATTCACTATTGCCAGTTTAGAAATTGGCAAAAATATAATTTTCAACTTCAAATTCAAACGTTTGAAGATAGCTATTCCATGGTGGGGAATAGGAAAACAAGGGAGGTAATTGTGTTATTATTTCCGGTGTGAGGATTTTTCAGTGTGAGAAAAATAACCTATGATCGTATAATTAATAGTAAGTTGACAACCTATTGAGCAAAAGACATAAAAATAATTATGTTTTGACTTTCTTAGAAAATATGAAATTGTAACTTTAAGTAACATATTATGTTAAGGATCAACGGATCTTGGACGAGTTGTATTTTGGTTTGTAACAACAGACGAAAACTTCTTGGGCTAGGCTTTCACGCAAAATGTTAATTGGGCAAAGCGCCGGGAAATTTTTGGTTCTGCGGCACCTGTGCTATGTCTATGAGGAAAATTTGCCGGTACAGTAGCCCTACGACCTACTCTTATTTCGAATTACAACTGTAAAGGGTTATTTTACGTGCACGCCAAAGTGTACACGGGACCTCGGTTTTTCGTAACATCAGAACGACTAGACAGCTTTCCTTGTCAGACCCTCCGTCCTGCATTAATAACAAGGGGGAACCACGCCGGAAAACCCATTAAAAATTTCTCGGTCGGGATCAAACACGGGACCTCCAGGTTAGCGACTCACTGCGCTAGTGCGCCTCCCAAAAAAGCACATTGTATGTTTATGTGTATAAATGACCAGCCTAGCCGAGCAGTAGTTTAATTAAAAAATTTAATTTTCCAATTAATCGGCCCGTCTCGAGCCATTTTTGAACCGTATTCAAAATAATTCAAACCGGAGAAAAATAAAACCCCGGTAAGTATAGTATAACGAGAACCCTAAAAATAAATGTAGAATATGCCAATGTAAGTTTATAGACAACTGACAAATAAATTGATGACGATAATATCGTTAACAGTGTTAATCTGAAGAAAAGTTTTTATTGTAGAGATGGTATATGAAAACAAAATATGGCAATAAAAAAGGTAGGTGCGCACCTCCCGCACCCGAACTTCCGTATCCGCCCCTGAGTAGCTACCCTCCCCGAGGTAGAACAAAATATTTTGGATATTTTCTAATAGTCGCATCACAGGAACTCACAAATGGTTCTTGGACAATAATGTTCAACATGGCCCAATCATATTTTGTCACTTTTACCAATGGTCAGGGTTTCTTTAAAAATAATAGATTTGATGGGAGTGAGGATAGCTTTTTGGTTCTTATTTTTTAATGCTAAAAAACGTGAAAATAATTGACGTTCATCTAAAAGAGCAATGGGTGAGCTGTGCATATTTTGGGTCATAACTTTTAAATTTGCGTATACGACGTGATTCTGATGTAATAGTTACGCCATTGCCATCATTTTGTCATGACAGTACCAAATAAAGGGTAATGTGATAATTAAACTTCGGAATTCTTATTTTAAAAACGCAGATTTTTAGTGTAGGATAAAGCACGAGACTGTGGTTATGCTGGGAAAAGAAAGACTGAAGAAAATATCCCGAGGGTTTTTTTCTGAAGTCTTTCTTCCCTAGCATAACCGAAGTCGAAATGAGAATATCCCAGAATTCCAACAAGAAACCCTAAAAGAATAACCCGTTACAGGTTTAAAGAAAAACTTTCAGAAGAATATAGAATAACCCCAAATTCCCCTGTATATACCCCCCTCCCCGACTTTAAGACCGCAAGTTAGCATAGAATATACCCCGCAGCGCATTAATTTATTATATTTAGACAGTAGTAAATAGGGTTTATTCGATATAAAGAGTCTACCAAGTAACTTGAAATCATAGTGCTTGTGTTATTTTACGAAATTTGAAATGGTTTAAATACTCCATTGATTTGCAATGGACCACCCGGCACAACATTTACGATGTTCTGTTGACTGTCTAAGCAATAGCCTATGAATAGCGTTAGGCCTGCTTTTCACCTGTACGTGTGGCAATTAAGCTACCACTTGCTCTAGTGTAAAAAAGGACTTATACCTAGCAGAGGATATAGGAAATAATAATCTATATATAAGTCTAAATGTCCTCTATTTACCGTGAAATTATATCTAACGAAAGAGTTAAATATATATGGAAAATCGTCGATAAAGAACACGGCCTATCGCGTTAATTACTTGTTTTTCTCGAAGGCCAGGCTCCGCCGTAAATCCGCCGTGAAAGAGGGTTTCTCGCCGTTTTTTCTGCTTTGCTGCGTCTCGGTTGTAGTCAGAATAGGCGCGTTTCTCAAGGCGTTGCACCTGTCCTTGGACTGTTTCCACTTGCCGGCGCTAAAGCGAAATTAGCCCCGGACCAGGTAACGGCCCCGTCCTCGATTCCGATCTTAGTCAGTGAAACGGCGGGCATTGGGGGAACGGCTGGCCGTGGTGGTTCTTTTCCCAAAAGAGGTATCAAATTAACCAGCATGACCCCGTGAGTGTTTTAGCGAATTTGGGCATCTGGCGAATTTGGGCCCCGGGCCAAGCCGTATATCCTGCTAGTCTCATATAAAATAGGTACTGCTATACTATCAGCACTTGTCTGCGATATCACTTCGGTGGAAGCGGACGTTAAATAAAGCTATTTCACAGTATCAGCACGTCTTCGCCACCCATGATCAATTAGGATATTAGGTTTCGCCTCATCACATGGCACCGTGTATATCTGGTTGGTCGGTCGAAACTGTTGTATGTTGGAGGAAGAGTGGCTGTCGATTTGTTCGTTGACATAGCAATAATGTAATACAATTCGTCATGGGTACAACAGAAGTGGTTTTTGTTCCTTGTACAATTTATGTATAAAAGAAGTGCGAAATTCTTACAGAGAGCATTATACCATAAGTTAATTTAAGTCTCTCCCTCTCTCTGAAAATATAAATAGCTAAAATATAAATAGTACCCGACATTACTCCGTTAAAATAGTCCAGGAATTGCAGCCCATTGATTCAGGTTCTTACTGTTGGTGGGGTCATCAATTCACCCTCGTTGTTAGTAATGGTATCACCTAACGTAATTCGTGGTATTTCTCTACTGGTTCGGGATTTACAGACAATTCAGGAAAAGTGAATAGATTAGGTTGATCTACGGGAACTTCAGACCATTCAACGTTTTTGTCACACTCAGTCTCAGTAGATACAGTGGCTTCGTTGCTATCATCTTTGTGAATATCATCATAAGTTTCGTTACTACAGATACTAATATTAGACTTGGGCAAATAGGAACCACTTTCCATAACCCGCTATAAAACGACTGTTTTCTATGGCCATTTTGGCCACTGAAAACGAATCCGGCAAGTTCTTTGACCTAAGTCTGAGTTTTGACCTGGTTCAGTGACCTATTTCAAAATGGCGGCCAAAAATGATATTTTTGTTCGATAAAACCGGAACTAAACACCTAAATATAGCTTGTAATATATCATTTTATATGTTTTGGGGGTAGCTGAACACGAAAACGTATACGTAAAAACATTATGATGGACCGTTTTTGTACAACTATGACATTTCACAACATTTCAGATAAAACTAGTAACTCTATACAAGTAAAACAAGCCTAATACGATATTATGTGAGCTCCATACGTGTTTCATATAATCAATGTTAATAACATAATCATTGTATACTGAGCGCCATGGAAAACGCATCACTTTTTTCCCCAAATATTTTATTACTAGGTGGTTTTGTATGTATAATATTATGCAATACTATGAACTATTGTTTCACACAATGCTCCCAAATGCAAAAAATATCGGCCCGTGTGCACAAAAAAAAATTGCACAAGATGCACATGAAAAACCCAATATTCACGTGCAGCAATGTGTGTGAGCCCTTTAAAAGCATGTTTTCAACTTAATGTGCAGTACATAATCTGTGAAACGTCAATCTGTCGTAAATTGTTGTTGGACGTGTGAAGGAATCGAGCTAGAGATGCCGAGACTTACTGAAAATCAACGGAACGAAGCCACGGGAATGTCCAGGGCTGGCATGTCTACACGTGCTATTGCCAGACACTTCAATGGTCATCAGTCCACTATTGTAAGGACCAGTAAGTGCCAACACCGTAAGACGTCGTCTAAGAGAAGTAGGACTCCGTGCACGACGACCTTATGTTGGAGCTATCCTCAGGGATCATCACCGTCAGCGGCGTTTGATATGGGCTCAAGGACACCAGACATGGAGAAGAGTAGACTGGCAAAGTGTGCTCTTCAGTGATGAGAGTCGCTTTCATCTTTATCACGTTGATGGCTGTCAACGTGTGTGGAGACGTCTTGGGGAACGTCTTGTAGAATGCTGCGTCTTCGAAACGAATCGATGGGGTGGGGGAAGTGTAATGGTGTGGGGAGGCTTCACATTTCATCACCGGACCGCCCTACACTTTTGCAGGGGTCGCGTTAATGCTGTAGCCTACCGTGATGATGTCTTGCAAACAATTGTTGTTCCGATGTTTCGAGCGCACCCACAACTTCAGCACTTCCAACAGGATAATGCACGTCCGCATACCGCCCGTTTTAGTATGGACTACCTGGCTGCTAACAACATCAATGTCTTGGACTGGCCAGCCATGTCTCCTTGGACATGGCACCTATAGAACATGTCTGGGATGAGATTGGACGCCGTCTTTAGAAGCTGCTCTTGTCCAAGAATGGAACAATTTGCCCCAGGCCTTCTTTCAAACATTGGTAAATTCCATGCGACGTCGCTGCACAGCGTGCGTAAGAGCCCGTGGAGGACACACGCACTACTGACATCTGTGTCGTACTTTTGGTTTTGACCCCTCTGACTTTGTACCGTTGATTATAGATTAAACATCTGTTGAGCAAGTTCTGCTATCCTACCAAACCTGTTTGAGACGAAACCTCTGAAACCATCACATTTCAGTCCGTTATTCACCATCCACGATTTGAAATCGTTGTATAGGGAGACAGAATGCTGTGCATGACTCAGAGAGATAAGCTTAGCAATCGCAATCAATTTTTGTTTAAAAAACACATTTTTTTCACTCAAATTTTCTCAATTTTGTACAGACAGCTCCGGGAACGCCGCCAATCACTTTCATTTGTGCATTTTTGGAATCAGCGACCCTCAAAACTTATAAAATGCCATATTAGAAACCCTATTTTGACGTTTTCCGAGTTTTTTGGAAAAAAATATCAGTTTTTGGCCGCCATTTTGAAAAATACCACTCAACCAGGTCAAGAATCCATCCTGGGCCACAGAACTTGCCGGATTCGTTTTCAGCGACCAAAATGGCAATAGAAAACACTCGTTTGGAGAAAAAAGTTCCCATTTGCCCAGGTCTACTAATATAAATTGTACAGTGGTATTCGCGTAAATATTCATCTGTCGGTTCATTTACACAATTTCAATAATTAAAATCATCTAGCTCATCAACATCATCAATTTGACGAACTTTAACAGTAGCATCACAACCAGAAATACTGGGATGTGTTGAACGATGGTATTCGCGTAAATATTAATCATTTGGTTCGTGTAGACATTTCAAATAATCATCATCATCATCATCATAAACACTTGAATCGTAGCCATGTCACTGATAATAAAGTTTTGTGTAACTTTCTTTCTCTTGGCGAATCTGACCATATGTAACAAACATTCTTGATGTAAGCATTTTTTCGACTGTCCAGTTCTTGCACCTCTTGAAGCTCGAATAAGGGCTCTGCAAAGGTCGAAACTATTTTTTGCAATGTCTTTCCATGTCGTTAAAGAGACGACTGTTACTCCTGATAAAGAGAAAGTAAGTTGTCGCAAGAGATTTCATGTTTGCATTTAAAAGGAAATTGTAATTCTATACAGCAACTAAACTATTATCCGGTTGGATTTAAGTCCTTTGAATACTCTTGGGAAGATCGATCGCATTGCCAATGGGTTTGAGAATGTTCTATGATAAACAATTGGAGATGTCGAAATACGTACCTAAATCAAGAAGCAGAAGTCTCAGTATTGAAGCTAAATCAAAAGTTTCATATTCTATACCTAAAAACAAATGGCGCTCGATAGCATTCTGGCACGCGATTCGTGTGCCAATTTTAAAACTTTCATTTTGTCTTAAATATTGGATATCAGCAGCCCATCTTTTCTTTCACGGTAAGATAACAGAATCAATGTTGATTTAAATTGACCAATAAGTTGTGTTTGCAATGTCGAAGACTGTGGGTGATATTTCAGTCAAATTGATCCATTCTGAACCGAGAATTTAGTGATTGAATTTTGGGTCTAGCCTCGATCATCATTACAAAAGTCGGTACGATAAAAACATAGTCTTAACTATCCATTTTTTGATTTAATCATGAATGGGCATTGTGCAGCAAATCGGATTATAATCCAGTAAATATCGCAGGCTAACGATGACATCGAGAGTTGATTATGGTCTGATTAAGTTAATTAATGTCTAATTAATAATTTAGATAGCATTTCAGGTCTAAAGAAAGACCTACATTTGACAGATTTAGCTCTTGCATAATGTATGTTTAATTATTGAAAATTTCATTCAAATTGCGTTATTGCGAGCGAAGATATTAGCCTTTGAATGTTTGACAAGATGTGTGCATTGATTGCAACCATCGTACTGGTTGTTCGAAGCTAAGCCTCGTTTCTCCATTTTTAAATTAAATCAAAATAATATGGCTAATCATAAATGTCTAATTAATAGTTAATATAACATTCCAGGCCTAATATAAAGAAATACCTGCAATAGGCAGATTTATTTCTTGCGTAATGTAGGCCTATGTTTAACAATAGAGATACTCACGGGTAGGCCTCAACAACCATGACACGTGACAATTATCAATGACATTAAATGTAGCCTACCCTTTTATAAACTACTCTTGCTCGAACGTTTGATGGTTATATGATTGGACAAGTGTCGTACAACTAATCAAATTTCTGGAATTCGGCAACTAAGGCGTAACCCACGTCTCGTCATATTATTTGAGTATACATTGCTAACAAAATATTGTACTTTTATTATTATCAAATCGCTTCGTCTACATTTTGCGTGACAATTTTTGTTGACTTTTGGTCTAGAATAGAAGAAGAGTGCTTGAATTTTCATGTCTGTCAGGTTTTTGTGGATATTCAGGATTTGGAGGTGGGAAAATTATAAAGTAAACAGACATGAGTTAGGGAAATTGCCCACGAGAGAGAGAGAGAGAGAGAGAGAGAGGGGGGGGGGTAGAAGCGAGAAACAGTAGAGGGAGCAATGGAGTTCTCTTGCACTAAGGGAGCTTTAGGAAACGGCAGTACTTAGAGAAAATACATAAGGTTAAGCTGGCGATAACGCAAGCCAACGACGCTTAACTCCATGAGCTTTAGGAAACGGACCCAGCTGTTCTAAATAGGGACAGGTTTTCTTTGATACAAAAAGTAAACATGGATTAAGAGTAACAAACATTTTATTACAATTCAACAATGCTTGAAATGCCCTATCACAGAAATTGACCCCTGCAAAGTGACAACGGTCAGAGTTACTGTGTTGGACACCGAGACAGGAAGGGTCAAACAGGTGACACGGTGTTGCGAGCGAAATAATTAAACAATAAAATGATGTGTGCGGTATAATAAGAATAATCACATGTATATACTTTTAAAAAAGACTCTGTTAAAAACACTTCATAACAATCTAAGGTCAGTCGAACCATGCAAATAGCCAATAAAAAGTTGTAGTTTATCATTTCATACTGGCAATCCAACAGCAATAAATACAAAAATTGTCTTATATATATATATATATATATATATATATATATATATATATATATATATATATATAATAAATCACGTGGGGTTTTTTTTCGTGTATTTTCATGGGTTAAACATAATAATCTAATATAATATCGTCATAAAATAACCATGACGTATAGCCTAGTTTATTCAAATTAATAAATAATTGACCTAATTATTTTATCAATCTATATGAATTATTATATAAACACAATTCATTATATTATAAGAAATTAGAAATTATGTAGGATTTATTCTTCACTCACTAATTTCACTCAAAAATAATTAAAAATTACACATACAATAGGAAAAGCATGACATGGAAGATATGTATAAATAATATCATTTTGTAATACACCGAATCATTAGACTCGACTGAACATGTTAAACACTGTATACCAATTCAAACTATTATTTATATCTATTTTTATATAAAAAAAAAAAATGTACAAAGAATTTCGATATTTATAATAAAAAAAATCATATATGATGGTGGGTTAAGTAGAGAATATAATCCATAATGTATCTAGTATCATCATATAGGATCCTAGGCAACAAACCATACGCCCCGGCAGCCAGGACGACCTTCGGTTATAATTTTTTCACTTCCAGTGGTCATAACTAGAAACCGAACGCAAATGGTCCGGACCATCGTCTGTTCAAAGATGGCTGCCCCCAGGGACATGGTAATGTCTTTTTACTCTGCTTAAGACCTCGACCATAAACATGAAAAAAAACCTTAAGCTCAAGGAAGGTTTATACATCTCTCCGTGGAGGATAATAAATAATACTTTCAAGAAGTTAAATTTGCGCGACTCAAATTAATTTTAGAGACGACAAAATTCCTTGTAATTTGACTTTACGTTTTGCATAGCGCAAGTAATAAAATTGTGCGTAATTTTTAGACTTACATAGATTCAGACATAACATACGTGACAAAAAATATCTGATCAAATAGGTAGCAACCATTTTAAATTCATTCAAGCTTTTCTAAAATCATATTCTTAACAAAAATAGATTCTTTTTAAATATTCTACACTTTGGTTTCATCGACACCGCCATCTTGGAACTACTCCGACCATGCCACAATAGCATAGTCAGTATTTTCGGACTATGGTCCGGACTAAATGAAATTCGGATTCAGTTAGTTCAACGATAGTCAGGAAATCACGATAACCGAAGGTCGCCCAGGGCGTCCTTACAGTTATCAAGGGTTAACGCAATAGGAAACACCGTGTAGACATTTCCGGTCAATCGAGTTATAACTTTACAAGTTTATGCATCTGCAATATCTTTTAAATGGATCAAGGGTCTTACTCTGAAAACAAGTATTCGAAAGAGAGAGGGGTGGGGGTGCGGGGGGCTGGTACACTTTCGAAGTAATGTTTTTAAAACCAGCGTCTGCCAGGCAGGATACGCCCAGATTTTGCAAGAGATGGATAGAGAACAAGCTAAAACCAAACGCATTTTTTGTACAATCAGGGGCAATAATCCAGAAAGTTATGGTCTGAAATGCGGAAATGTCAAAAGGGACTGAGATCTTTGGGATATAAAGATATGTTTTAAATTTCATCAAAATCGAATAAAAAATTGTAACGTCTAGAGGGTCCATAACCTTCGTATTACATACTTTTACACAATTTGCGTACAAAGAGCGACCATTTTGTCGGGCAGCTTCATTTCGATTTTCCCGAAATTCGAATTCAACCTTCATTATGGTGGAATGATGATATATTTAAACGGTTTTTAAAATCGGAAAAAATGGTGACCTCTAGAGAATCCGCAAGCTAAAAATGCGATTTTTCGAACAATCAGGGGCCATAATCCAGGAAGTTACGTTCGGACATGCGCGATTATCAAAAGGAACCAAGATCTTAGCGCGTAACGGTGATATATTCACACGGTTTTTTTTAAATCGGATAAAAATTGTGACCTCCACAGGGATCACAAGTTAAAAAGGTGATTTTTTGTACAATCATGGGCCATAATTCAGGAAGTTACGATCCGATATGCGCGAATATTGACAGGGACCACAATCCGTGGGTTATAAACATGTGTTTCAAGTTACATTAAAATCGGATCAAAATTATGACCTCTAGAGGGTCCACAACCTTGATATACCAGATGTTTACACTATTTGCGTACGCGGGGCGGCCATTAATTTGTCCGGCAGTTCTGGTCCGATTTTCAAGAAATTCATAATTCATGAAGTTATGGTCCAGTACATGCCAATATCGAAAGGAACCGAGACGGACAGGGGCAACGGCATAATACGTCCACATGAAAATGTGGGCGTATAAAAATATTGTTAGCGTAAATTAATAAAAACAACAGACTTTCTGAATGTAGGTATCTAGTTGTGTGGGTAGGATTAGAATCGGATTCTGTCAGTCCACATTTTTTTTCTATAAGCCACCCGACCCGGCCCGGCCTCGTAACGTTTGAGGCACTCGTTACCCTTCGGGGTATACTAGCCCAGGCAGGTAATTGTGGCCAAATCTGGGCTCGTAGAACGCTACAGTTATGTTGAGTGATCAGACACGCGGTTATCGATCGCTGTAAGGAAGGTTGACTACTCTCCGACCATAAAAAATGAAACTGGAAGCGAAATTTTTACCAATCTCAGCTACTGTGTTTTAGCTAAGTTGCCTCCAGTTACCCCAGATATACGCCAAATTGACGCTAGAGACCTTGTATCTTTCAAACATTTTCGAGTCCGGGAGTAGAGTTGCTTGTCCCAGGGCCCTACGTATGGGTCTATACACTGTGTAATAATGTCAAGTCAATTGGGTGATGCCTGTCGTTAGTACAGCGTACACAAGGGCCATAATTATTGTAGGCTCCTATATCCCGGGATAAAAATAAACTTCAGCCGCTTCAGGGCTGCCACACAATTTTTCAGATGATAACTTAAGCCTCTAGAACGTTAACATGGAATTGTGGACGATAGAAGTATGAACGGACAGATAAGACAGACGACAATGAACGACCACATTAATTAAAGCGTTTTAATTATAACCATATACACAATAAAGTCATATTCCCAAACATTGACTTATGTGTAGCGCACACAGGACCTTTACAGGTTTGTGCAGAAAAGTAGGAGGACGCAAACTACCCCATTTCATTTTATTTGAAACATATGAACTTGTCTCAAGTGGTTGGTAAGCGCACACAAGGCGATTTGTTTTTGTCGGAAATCTTTGACATCGGCAAAGTAAGAAAACCTTTGCAGTAGATTTTGGTTTTTAAATTATATTATTTCTCAAGATATATTTTTAAAACAAGAAAAACAAGCCAAACGGCGAGGTTGGTGTGGCGCGGGTCAATCCCAAAATAAAGAGATGGCACTCATTCATAACTTGAACATTTACCTTTTTATAAAGCATCTAGCAATTAAACACGCCAACAGGGAGGCTGATGTCCCCCGCCGAAACCCCAAAATAAATAGATGACACATATTCATTAATGGCACATTTATTTTTTTTTCAAAAGTATCAAGCAATCAAACTGATTATAAACTATACACTAGGTTACATCACTCTCTATCAGATATAATCAAAGTTATGTTGTCCCAAAGCATTGACCAATGAAATTGCTTAACTCAGCTTAGCTTTAGCTCGAAATGTTAATCATTGAACTCAGTCAAGACATTCGCCTTATGCACATCCACATCAAGTTTAAACAGTCTACCTCAATTTAAATCAGAGTTGTTCCGTTCCAAAGTCTTGACCATTTAAATTGCTTATTGCTCCTTAGCCTAAGCAGAACATTCTCATCATCGAACTTAGTCAAGGTAATGATATAATGAATCTATACCCGGAGTTTCATTACTCTCACTTAATTATAACCAAAGTTATAGTGCCCCAAAGCATCAACCAATCAGATTGCTTATCCCTGCTTACCGTAAGCAGACAATGTTCATCATAATACTCCATCAAGGCATTCACCTAATGAACGCGGACTTTGGTTCAACCATATATAGTTGCTGTTCTCACAGGTCGGAATTCGGTTAAATTGGAAGTAGAGTTATATTATTATTGTGCCCCAAGAAGTGTGACCGAGAGACAGATATACACACTGGCAAACAGAAAGACGGACGAACCCAAATTAATAGTCCCCAGCTTTCTTCGGAAGGCGGGAGACAAAAATGTAATAATAAACCTATTACTAAAATACTAACTACGACAGGGCAAAATATTCATTTAGTTTTTGATAGCGTGTCGTGTTTAACGTAGCCACTCGTCATTTAGAGTCTAACACTAATTAAATTTTGTTCACATTCAAGACATTTTACGTGTACCGTCAAAATAGTACAGACTTATCAGTAACTAGAAGAAACGAAATATAATCTGGATCCTGACAGTGGCGTATCTAGGAAGGCTTTATATTATCCCAAACCCCGTTAGGTCTTAAAAGATACATTAGATAGAGAGTTGACCGTTCTTGCTATACGAATTTAAAAACAGATAATGAAAAATAAATATTTTCAAAAATTCAGTCAAATTACTCAATTCTAAGTTATGAGTGATTGAAGTGCTGACTAGGGAGTTTCGATTGTCAAGTACCATTCCTACGATTGTAAACGTCTCGATTATCCATTTTAACGTTAAATTATTAAACATACATTGTGCAAGAGCTAAATCTGTCTATTGCAGGTCTTTCTTTAGGCCTGAAATGTTATCTAAATTATTAATTAGACATTAATTAACTTATCCAGACCATAATCAACTCTAGATGGCATCCTTAGCCTGCGATCTTTACTGCATAACTTTTCTGCACGATTTACGATTAAATGGATAATCGAGACTATGCTGTTTATAGTACTGACTTTAGTAGAGGCTAGGCGGAAATTTCAATCGCTTAGTTCTCGGTTCATAGTGGATCAATTTGAATTAAATTTTCAGCAAATTGCCTTTACATTATTTAGTTTTTAACTATTATAGTGAGAACTGCCAACTCGTTATCGAAACTCCCATAATGTATCTTTAAATGGCGCGAGTGTTCTTATCCATTCAATATCACAGTCATCCGAAGATCTAGTGACTTGGTTGTAATGCCTGCTTAATATATATAACGTTTGAAGCCAGAAAAAAGACCTACAATATAAACTTGATTGTGGGCTTGTCATGTGAATAAATGCCTGCTTAATAATATATTTTACGTTTGAAGACATACAATAGGCAGATTTAGCTCTTACATAATGCATCTTTAACTTAATATTGAACTCCAGAATTTAATACATATTTAGCACCAATACCACCTTTAATATCATTATTATGTAAAACGTACGCATACATTATTTTGGAATTCCTGTATACGTCACTGCTATGGGATTGTCAGTTATTAAATAATAAATGAAGTAGATGAGAATAATCGGTATGGAGAATTAAAGAAAAAGTTATGCTCTGATGAAAATGTTGAGTATTTCCTGTTGCTTCTCTTTGAATTACATTAGACTAAAACACACAACTTAAAAGAGATTTGTTCTAATAAATATATAAATTATTCAATAGTTTGTTCAAAGACATTTGACACTACTGGATGAATCAAAATGTTTCAGTAATGGCGCTCTTACTACTCAGTTCGGTCTGGGGGTTTTAATTTTTACTTTTGGTATAGTCTACTCAGAAGAGGAGAGTATAGCATAGTTCTACTTGGAAGACAGGAGAATAGCAGAAAATGATCAGATTGATAAAGAATCACGTGGTAAATAAGGAACTCCTTTAAGCTAGTGTAGCGTACAATTTGTCTTAATCTATTGCACTGAGGTTCATGCAGTCTTTCAGAAGAGTTTCTGATCTAAGTTGTTTGGTTGAAAAAGAGAAATTGCCTATAATACAATTATTTAATTCTAATCACCTGATCGGAAGTCACGTAATCATTTTCTCCCAACTCTTTAAGTTCCAGCGGCCTACTCTTTATTTGCAATTTTGCAATTAATCCCTTACAAAAAACAAAAAAAGGTATAAGCCAGGTACACAACTAAAAGTAATCAAACTGACTTCCGCTTAATGCTTAGAAAATTAAATGGTAAAGAAAACTGACTCACCCCAAACACATTCAATTAAACCAATTCAATGCTCTATTTTTTTTAACCAAAATCTAAGAAGTTTAGCTCCTTTAAATATAATGAACCCTCAAGCAACTAATGAATGAACATTTCTTCTTTACATCTATGCAACTACCATTTTTTTTACCTATAAATACGAACGCCGAACTTTATAAACAATTGCACGATGATGGCAAAATTTGAGCTTTAATCATTCTCTCGTACCAATAAAAACAATTGACTGGATTAAATAGATCACTGATTATGTCAGTATGTCCAAAACAAACAAAAGTAAGAAATAGCGTGGCGGTGGAAACCAAACACGCTAATCTTTAATTATAAAATAAAACAGGGTATGGAATGTCAAGGCAAAGAACGCTGATCTAAAAATCGTAACAGGTAAATCGCGATTTGCGAAAATTCCAAATCTTAAACTCCATACTGTATTGTATACATTTAGGTCACTGGCTTTACCTTGTATAGCTCCTTCTGTCGGCGTTTTACCGATGAACATTCTTAATTTCGATAGTGTAGTTCTGATGCAATGAACAATTCTACAAGTTTGAAGGATACAACGATAAATGTAACACAATATTCTTCAAAGTGTAATATACGCGTATAAAATGTGGGCCAAATGAGATAAAACCAAGAGAAAAGCTGTGGTGGCACCTCAAGCACAGTCGATAGATTTTATTAGAGGTTTTCCTAAACACGAAATTGCATATAAAACAGTTCACAAGCGTCCGTGGTAGACGAAACGATCTAACTTCGAACCCAGTCAATGTTTTTGTATCGGTAGATGTAATTATAGATCGATGATCACAGACATAAATGGAAATAACAAAATCCTAGACTCGGTTATCTTCACACTTGGAATGACTGAAGGAGTAGCATATTTTATTACGTTAAATGAAAGAAAGTAAAGAACGAATACTTAGTTTCTATCATCATAAATGCCCACACAAAATTTCTAATTTAAAAAATGCATTTACTTCAGGCAAAATTGAAAAAGATAATGCTTACAAAAACTAACAATAGCTAGGTATAAAAAATCATTCTGGCATTAACCGGTTTTAAGTTAAGACATTTTGTAAACGTGTTAGTACAATATTCTTGACTGGTGGTTTCACAAGGATGGCTTTTAGCTGTACATGTTTTCTGCATACATTTACTTGTGAATGAATTTACTTACTTGACTCAGAAAACCTTAAAGATTTAATACACTGTCCTGTAATAATTCAACTTACCATGTATCTTCACTCATGTTGGTTGTGTGAACGAAAATCAAATGAATTGTCAAAAAAATAAAAATTAAGCTATAATTAAAATTAATCACAGAGAATCATGACAAAAATCTTAATAACCATATTAACAATTTCGTATGGCGAAGTCTTTGTATAATATAATATAATCCATTAGTATATAATACAAAAGTCTCTGTTGAGCAGAGATACATTAGTTTCTGTTGAATTACGGGAAAATACAGACACTACACATGGACACCATCGTGTGGCTAACTTCACACCACGTATGTCATATCCGTTTAAATTTAGCACACTTTGAACACATATTCGCACAACTTGTTCCTGAGAATCTGAATCCGCCAAGAAAGCCGAATGTATGTTCGTGAAAATGTATCGTCCGTTAAATTACAAGTGAAAAAGAAAATAACATAAACAATTCTGATCTAAACGACACTAGTAAAGTACACAGGGTTAAATTACAGCGATCTGTTCACACTATGATGTTTTAATAAGAGGAGGGGTGCACCAGGTAAAGAAGGAAAGGTGTTATAAAACGTTGGTTTCTTTACACCACATAATAAAAATCACAGTTGATATAGTTAATTCCAAAATGAAAAATGTCCATACAATAGAAAACCCTAATATCAGTATTTGTTTTCTGTTTTGTTTTTTTTATCGATTGCATAAACCCTAACCGGGTATATTGAGACCATTGTCTTATTAGTTGGCCCTGACACCACTAACTTGAACGTGGAAGCTGCTCAGATACGTCATCATCACGTAATAAGTCACGTGATTTACTGGAAGCATGGAAAACTTTCTTGGATTTACACCAACTACCAAATTTTAAAACAGGTCATCTGCTTGCCGCCTTAATCCGAACCGCCCTGAAATTAAAATTTAAAATGCACATAAACGGATTGACACGTTTTCATGGGAGATTCAAAAATACCCAGGACCTCTTAATTAGTCATTAAGAAACACGACCGAATACGTATTGTACGTGTATATCAAGACAGAATATCAAACGAGAAATCTTACTGCAATATAAACGGTTTACATCTTCTTTCGAGCATTCTACATTGTTATATATTTTATGTGATATAATATTACATAATTATGTTGATGCATATAAGTATAGCTAAACTCATGCAAGGAACTTAAACCTGCCTTAAGGGTGATAGTTAATATAGTTTTGTCTACCTACTACTTGAGGTCCATGTATAAATAATAAATAGATCAATTTTGATTTTCAAATAATCAAATATCCCAAACATGATATAACCATTGACAAACACGTTCAATTCATACATATTATTATTTATTTTAAAGATGCATTATGAGTGAATTAGTTAAGGAGTTTGGCGTTGTTGTTATAATAGTTCAAAGAAAGATAACAAAAAGTGAATATATTGAAAATTTCAGTCAAATTACTTTATTCTGAGCTAAGTTATAGTCTCGATTGTCAAGTATCATTGATATAATAATAAACAAAAGTCTCCATTATCCATTTTAATGTTAAAATATTAAATGACGAAGTTTATTTTAGTCCATTAAATATCACGACCATCCGATAGTCTAGAAAGTTGATAACAAAAGCAACAGAAAAAGATGAGACCTGCAATAGGCAGATATAACTCTTATATAATGCATCTTTAATGTAATAACTTTGTCTCGTCTTTAGTAGAAGCTTAAAACTGTGTGCTCGTTCGAACATCGACAGATTGATAATTTTTACTTTGATAGACGTACCTAAATTGTACGTGCACCTCTGTAGACAATTGCATGGTGGATATAAAGTTAAGAACATTAATGTGAAAACAGAATACGTAATTATAAGCAGCTGTGCATTTGGGAATTTAAGCAGGATGTAAGGCTGGTGTATTAGTATGAATATTATATATGGGTTAGGAGTGTGCTTAAAAATAAAGGGAGCACGAACATATTGAACCGTGTTATGTTTTGTGGTCAGCATGCGAAAATGTATCCTTTTATTTCTTTGTATATTTTTAGCAAATGGCAGCCTCCAAATATATTTTAAACGATTTGTCTGCACAAAAGGGTTTTGTCCTTTTTGGTTGCCAAAGCAAACTTATGTCGTGTACTATATTTTATTTTACAAATACATGCCTAATAATCTACCATAGTATCAAATATATAATGTACGAAATGTACATATTGTGACAATGGAGAGAGAGAGAGAGAGGGAGAGAGAGAGAGGTGGGGTTTAACGTCCACTCGTAGGGGTCTTTAACAGTGGGAGGAAACCGGAGGGCCCGGAGAAAACCCACTAGGCTGGACAGGCGACCCTACTTCTTGTCATGTACAACCGAGGAATCGAAACCACGCCAGTTGACTCAATGATACAGCGCGCCCGCGCTAACCATTCCCCCACCCCCGCCCTTGAATTAAAAATAAATGAAATAAAATGCATAGTCTTATGTGATTGAATAACAGAACAAATACTATGCAACCACTTTCTTCAATTGAAGAATGATCCTAATACTTAATTTGGAGGCTACCATGTTAGCAAAGAAAGCGTCAAAATCTTCATAAATTCATCGATGAATTTGAAATCATGACCAATACATCTGTCCTAGAACGTATGAAGATCTTGTGGTTTGCACATCAACTAAATGTGTTCTATCTTACCTTTAGTCCAATGTGAAATAAGGAAATAAGTTCGTGATTCCTTTATCTTGAAGAAAAAACTTAGATAAACAGCTTGCAATATGATAAAATAGTGGTAGAAGAATCACAAAATTAAGAAAAAATGGGATACAAATGCAAGAAAAGGGTGTGGTCGTAAGGGCTGGGCAGCCAGTTTATGTTGGGACAAGGATGGGAACAGGTTTGAAACTGAGAATTTTGAAAATGAGTCGGACAGTGTTGTTAATAGTACAATGAGATATGTCGTCATCACTCAAGGGAAAAAACCCGCACACAACTAAGGTACTTACTTTTTTCTTATCATTTCATAAAAAAAAACAAAAACGAAACATTTTTATCCACTGGCATCCGGTAATCCTAAATTGCCATGGTTACTGGGTTTATCCTGTTGGTCAGTTCCTGGACTTAAGTTAACAATATTATCCATATTAGTTTCACTATCAGTTGCCATGGAATCAGCCGTTTCATAAATACTGACTGTAGTATGATCCTCACTATCCTCGGTACGCGCGAACACGTCACTGGAAGGCGAAGGCTTTCGAAAATTAGGGTCGGAAAAGCTAGCATCAGAGAAGGAATAATCAGCAGAATTAAAGGAACCTAGATAACTTTCATCATTTTCTAAATTATCAGAAGGACTGGTATCACTTTGAACTGGAATATTCCCATGTAACACACCGGTACATTTGGGTGCATTAATTTTATTAGGGATAGCTATGCTGTCACTGAATTCCAAATCCTCTTCCAAACGATCGGGCGTTTCTGGAGTAAATCGTTGATTAGCATCACCTACCGTTTCAATATTTACACATTTAATTGATTGTGGCACTTTGGACGTCCGATTATTTTGAAAAGAACTATTAGTTTGCACAGGTGGCAGATTCTGCCCAAAATGTTTTTTAGTATTATCACACATATCGGGTTTCTGTAAGATTGTCAAATTAGACACCTTATCACAGTCTCCGTCCGTACACAAAGACACTAAAAAGTTATCATCTAGATGCACAGCATCTGATTTTACTAAGGTTCGTTTCCTCGGCGGGGAAGGTTCGAATAATGAAGGACTGGATCGCTGCTGTGGCGATTGTTTACCACTTTCTTCTCGCAAATCTTGGTCGCTCCATTTTCCGGGTCCTGTCAAAAACAAGCAGATACAAAATGAAACAACATGTAAGAGAAAACACCAACTGTTTGGTTTTTTTTTTAGTAAGTTTAAAAGATAAAATTTATTAATTGTGAAATTAAAGATTTATCCTTGAGTTATAAACACCAAGCTCTTTCAATCTAAAAATAATGTTATATTTGTGACGGTTCAAAGTACATTACCATATTTAATACTAAAGAAACTGTAAACCCCGCAGATTAATTCAAAGAAAAGGGGTGAGCTACAGAAATTACTAACTTGGAAAGCATATTTTATTTCCCAGATGTAGTCCCAAACCTCACCACACCGTCACTATTATCTGATTTTCAAAATATATTAAAGCCGACTATTGCAGGGGTTTAAATAGTGGACAAGAAACATACCGAATGAATCAGTGTGAACTAAATTCTGTACTGTTATCTTTGAATTCTCTTCACGACCAATGAAAAATTGTTTGAAAACGCCTAAATTATGATTGGGTTTATTTTGATCCAAATTTATTTCTAAATCAAATTTAATATCAAAGCGATGCCTGATAATTGACAGTGATCACACAGAGTTAGGAGTCACCATGGCAAAGTAGAGAAGTTGTCAGTGTAGAGGTAAGCGTGAGGCTTAATTTATACAGATGAGTTGAGCAGACAAAGCTATAGTCACTTTCTGTTAATTGGCTAATTTTGAGGCGGGTGAATATATAGGCCTATATAAAGACAAACCAATAGCATATATATATATATACATGGATATATAATATAATAATAATAATAATATGACGACACATCAAATAATAACAATAATTTTCTAGACATGCACCACTGACAGGCGCCACGATGAACTTCCCGAAGAACCATGTGCCGCAATGAGAAATAATATGTGTATAGATATTTAATATTATATCTACATTAGCACCGAGAGCATAATATACGAAGCAACGTGACAGAACCAATAAGACGAGGGAGGGGCGCATTACCCGGTGTGACCAACACAAAAGCGAAGGATGCGGCAGAGAACGTCACAAAAGATATGATGTGCTAGGCGGCATAACACGAGAAGCCGCGGCACACAGAAGTCTAAGCTGTCTACCACACACATACAACATTTCGAGCAAGCAACAGGTCCTTTTTATGGGCTGGGTTCAGTTTATAAATGGAAACAGTGCATCACCAGACAGGACAGGAAACAAACACAAAGCGCAACGTATCCTGACAGGAGTTCGTTTATCATGAAAATCAAATAGAACCGCACGGTAAGAAGCGTACATTTAATATTGTGTTCCAAAACGAGTGTAGAAATTCATTAAATGATTATGATGTTGTATGGTTGTATTTGTTTACTCGATCCAAACTTCTGTCAGGTAGGGAGGACGACTTTAAGCAACAATAGTTCTACAGGGGTCATACTTGCTCGTGAAGGTCACACCAGAACAATGCCCCTGGTGGGTAAATTATTCCACTCACCTCGTCAGTTCAGAAGAAACTTTTCATCTGTAAGAAAATTTGTGCTTCACTTCATGATTTATTTCTAAACATTATTTCATACACTAGTTTTTTTTTTGGTTTTTGCCATAATGGCGATATTTTGATGGTTTAATTTGAGTGTCTGAATTATTATTATTATTATTATTATATTATTACTGAGAACATTTTAATACAAAGTGCACTATTGTTTTTTTTTAAACAATGCAGAATAAATGGAAGTATCCCGGACACACTGAAGCTGTTTCTACATTAGATTTCGCACAACTTTTATTCATTCTCAGAAAAATCAAGATAGTTACCCATAACCGAGAATAGAAGATTTGATTAAAATTGTGTTTAGCCGGTGTGAGGTAAAAGCATTCTTACGGATTGTGGAATCCTTTACCTCTCCAGACCCATTGAAAGAACAGTTCTTGGAACAAAATAACAGTGCCGTCTGCCGATGGCTATAACTTATAATACACTGAACAGCTCAAGGAACGTGGAGTTTATGGCATCTGCTCCTTCTATCAGTACAAATAATTTGGACAACAAAACACCAAGGATGTGTTTAGCTCTGTAATGAAGTCTTATATTTCTGAGATGGGGATATCTTTAAATTGCAGTCATTCAAATGTTAACTGGTTGTGCATTATTGGCACTAGATATTCGTACAAGACTCACGGCAATGGTGTTTACTCAACAAATGTCGTATTTGTAATGAATGCTAATAAGCCCCTTTCTCATTCTAAAATGTTCTTTACCAAAAGTATGGTCCAAGTTTCTTGAGTCGTTCAGTATACATACCGTGGCTACCAAAATATTTTACCCCAGTCTGTCAGCGGCGCAACCATAAGTACCAAAACAGTCAAATTCTTAAAAATCATGCACATCACCAACAGTAAGAAAAAATGAGATACAAATATTTTGGTGTGTCGAAATTAAAAAAACAAAATGTCTAATATGCCTAGCTTCATTTTTTATTCAGATTTTATTCTGTTATTCCAAATTTAGTCCCACTATATTCAGCCATGGTTTTGAATTAGGGTGGGATGTGAATGCTTTTTGTATTATTATATGATTGTTAAGTACGTCATAATATACACTAATTTGATACAAAACAAGAAACCTTCTTTTATGTATTAAGGGTGTTTCTGAATAAATTGTTTATGACTCAATTCAAATCTTATTAAAGACACCAAAGAATGTTTTCTTGTTAAAAATAAAATATCCCGCAAATATCAATTCTAAAAATTCAACAATTTCAGTAGCTAGAAGATCTATTTGTAGTGTTTTAAATTTATTGAAAATGAGCTTTTGGATATAATTTTACAGAAAAAGATTTCATGATTAAATTTTTTGTATATTAAAAGTACCGATAGTTTTGTATATTAAAAGTACCGATATTTTGAGGATATTTTAGTTACATTTATTCATTCGAAGCTGGAGTGGTTAAGCTTGAACTCACCTGAGTCCGTGTTAGATATTAGGTGATAATTAGCCAATTTTCGCCCAGTGGAAGGACTAGCGTGCAGACGGTTGGCTAACGACACCGCTTTCCTAAATTTGATTTTGGATTTGCCCATGCTGTGCGAATGTAAATTATCTGTTGAAGAATAGTTCTTTTCTTTCACTTCAGAAAAACGGGCTTGTTTTTCAACAGATAATGATTTGTATCTTTTAAAGCTTGATTTTTGTGGTTTATGATAACGAGGACAAAGACCGCCTTCTTTACCGACAGCATAAACAGTATCAGGTGGTAGACTATATAAATGTGGTGGTTGATTGGGATCACTACGTTCCCACGTGGTGGACAAACCAGAGTTCAACGACTGCACAATTTGATTAGGACAAAACGTCACATCCGGTTTGTTAAAACCAGTTTCTTGATTTCTATTCCCTTGAAGATCGTTATAAAATGAGTCATAAGACTCGTTACATTGCACATCGTTGTTAATTCCGCCGGGGGGATCATCAAGTGGGTTAACGTAAATATTTTGAGGGGGGTCTTGGCTACCCTGGCTGCCCAGCCCGACGAGGGAGGGGCTATTGTGCGGGTGGGTCATACAACTATTATATGTATCCGTACTAGTGGTACTGTTCTGCCGGTGAAGTTGTTTCATCTCGATACGGTCTGAACTTTCACTGTCCTGTGAGTATCCCAGAAGTCCCTGTAAAACCAAATATGGCGAGTTCAGCAAAAACAAATAGTTAGCAATGGTAGCAAGCTTGGTTAAAGGTTGGGGCTTTAAGCTGCTAAAGATACATGTAGAGAGTTAGTGGGTGGTTGTGGGGAGGATTAACATGAAAATTTAGTAACTCATTGAAATAAATATAATATTTGATTATGTATCCCTTTATAAACATTTTACAAAGGGACAAATCCAGATTGTATAATAAATAATGAAACATACATAATGGAATTGATATAAATCAAAATTGATATTTCAAAGAGACAATTGAAAATGTGAATTAGAAAAAGCTAAAACAAATTCTGAAGCGCATCATGCAGTAAATCATGCCAAATGCTACAGAACTTGGCAGAAGAAATAAATTAAAATTAGTTCGTTAACCTACATAAAACATGCAATGAATGTGTTAGACGAAACTCATAAAATCAAACGTGAACAAAGGCAAGATTTAGAAAACCATAAACATACCTGAGGTTGCGAATTAAGCAGTGGTTGTGATGACGTCATTCGTTTTAGCGACTCTTCATCTGCATCTAGAAGATTGTTCGTACTATCGTTGTCTACATTTAGTGATTTGGCGTTACACCCTTCAGAACCGTTATGAGGGAACGTGGATTGGTTGTTGAACTTGATGACACATGGTGGGGGACTCGTACCTTTGCTGTCAGAACTACTCGCGTCCTGGTTGTCTCCTTTAGAACCGGGAGAGTTTACTTCCATCAGGTCGACATCTCTAGCAAAAGCATCTCTCAGGTTGATGGAATGGAAAGAGACGATGCTTCCGGTTCTTTTAGCCTTCTCGAGAGCTTCGCGCCTTTTGAATGCCTTCTCGCGTCTCATTTGATCCTTATAGAACTCGGCAAAATTGTTAACTATGATGGGAATCGGTAGAGCAATAACCAACACTCCGCAGATACAACACACACTACCAACTACCTTCCCCAAAACAGTGGTGGGATATATGTCACCATAACCTACAGTGGTCATAGTGATGGCGGCCCACCAAAATGTCTCGGGTATTGACTTATATTTTGTTTCCGGTTCGTCTTTTTCTGCGAAATATGCTAAACTAGAAAATAGTAATATAGAAATGGCAAGAAACATAAGGAGGAGTCCTAGTTCCTTATAACTTCTCTGTAACGTGTAACCCAAGGATTGCAAGCCCGTAGAATGTCTAGCTAATTTTAAAATCCTAAGAATTCTCATAATACGGAATATCTGTACAACCCTTCGAACATTTTGAAATTGTTCTGTAGTATCTCGATTTGATTCAGTTAGTCCTAAAGATATAAAGTAAGGCATTATAGCAAGAAGGTCTATTACATTAAGGGGACCCTTGAAAAATTTCCACTTATTTGGTGATGCCCAAAATCTAGCTAGGTATTCCAATGTAAACCAGCCTATACAAACAGCCTCGACTACTGCAAGTTGTGGATTATCGGATGCTTCTTTTGGCTTGGATCGGTCTTGGAGTGCTGGTATGGTGTTAAGTGTTAAGGCTATAGTTGACAAGACGATGAACAGGACAGAAATAATGGCCACCACCTGAAATGAAGCATATTGTCATTGTTACACTCTATTCTGTTCTCGTCTCGTCTCGCTCAAATCACACTCCATGTTCTAATCTCGTTATCGCGTTATCACGTTCTTCTGCCTATCATTTCGGTGGTTTCTCTCGTTTATATCCAGCATTATTTAATCATAATAGCCTTATTTTTCAAAACTAAATAAGTTTTATTATGATTATTCATTATTGTTATTATTTAACAGAGAGGTGCTTTTGTTATAAAACAAAATAATGTATTAATTATATAATAATGATGCACGTCTTTGATATAATTGGTACAACATTCCTTTATCAACCGTAACAAAACATAGGACTGTTCTAGCAATTATACACAATATCTAAACAAACCCACACAATCAAAGCACACTGTCTCCATCACCAACAAATATAATATAGACCTTTTTTTCAATAGGAAAAGAAATATAACCAAGGACCAGTAGTCCCAATGATATGCAGTGCAATGAAAAAGTGTAAAATTTCGTAAATTATGAAACAAAAATCATTAACCGACGTCCATTTAGATATTGTTGACGTAGGCCTATCTTCATGGGGTTGGCGCAAATCTTGTTCATCGCCGTATACAAACATATTGCCTAAACGATGATGTATATGAAAATTAAAATGTCGAGGAAAGAAACACAGTATTATGCGTCTAGCGCTTTCAGTTCCATCGGAACATCTTCAGACCTTTAATACATATTCTCCATTCATAATTATATCATTATTAACGAAGAATATGTATTAAAGGCCTGAAGATGTTCATTAATGGAAATATGCATTAAAGGCCTGAAGATTTTGTCCATTAATATACTGATTAATGGAGAATATGTATTAAAGGCCTGAAGATGTTCCGATGTAACTGAAAGAGCTAGCCGCATAATATTGTGTTTTCCCCCTCGACATTTTAATTTTCATATATACAAGCTAAGAGCAAATCATCAATTAGAATTTATATATAGAGATAGCTAATCCATGTTCTAAATTGAAGGGAAAGGGTAAATTTTAAGCGTGTAAAAATGAGAAAATATTTACATCTACTAAGAATAAAGTGCATTGTCCCCTAAAACAATACTGGGGGCCGAAAATTTAGTTCATATTTGAGAGGATGAAAGAGGAGATGTTAAGCATATATAATGGTGTTGAAAATGTTGTCTTGAAGCTAGTAGCTAGTAAAATATGAATATGCGTGTGTGTGTGTGTGTGTGGGGGGGTGTGTGTGTGTGTGTGTGTGTTAACTGGTATTAATCCAGGCACTCCGTTTACGACACCAAACAACACAAAAGATACAACGAGAAAGTAGGAAACGGACACAAGCTTGTGCTGCTCCTTGACGTGCACCCCACGTTGACGTCACTTAGAGTTGGTGACAACACGACGTGCAGCACAGGATTCTGGGTAGGCTGTTTCTGAGAGAAAGGAGGTATATAATAGGAGTTTTACAACGGCGATAGGAAACAAAAGGAAAGCGCCAGTACTGTGTGTTGTAAATAGGGGTGGAGTATAGTTGTTACCCAACCGATGCCGAGCATAGCCAGTCGTAGAAAGAAATAGCTGAAAGAAAAAGTGCTGACCAAAGATTAGATCTTAACATGAAGCCAAACTGCATATAATATAGGAATGGTATCAACATGCAAAATTTCACAAACACGAAATGACATTAGTGAGTAGGAAAATTTAGCTTTTTCAAATTTTACTTTTCACAACTCAAAACTTTAAATCATTGGAAATAGTTAAACCTATTAATTTATCTGGTTATAGTACGCGTTAACATTTCATTGCTTTAATATATCTTCACAAGAAGCAAGCGACACAGTGGTCAAGAAACAAATTTCAAATACAGTTCCATAAAAAACTGTCCTAAACATTTGAACTGCCTTGATCATTGAAACAATTTGATCAGATAGGTTTTGTAGTGGGGTCGACATTTTAAGCCCGAATTTCCTCTCTGTGAGATATTTCTGTTGTCTCTATTTTCGAATGTTGTGGTGGCGTAATTGGGGACTTAATATAAGTTTTTAGTCATTTAGCTTTTCCAGATAATGACAATTTACGAACCAGCACTTAAATTTAGTGTTGCCTGTGTCAAATTTAATTCAACTAGAAAGAATTACTTCCGTTTCCTTTGACTACTAGGTCGAAATAGTTTGAATCATGTTTACTTCTAGTCAGTGTTGAGGAAGGGGTACAACCCTGTCACATATATCAAATTTCATTTGAGGGCACAGAACAAGGAAATCATCCACCCCTACTCCCAGATAGGAAGAAACCCAGGCTTGAAAAATGTGTGACCGACATCCACCAAACAGCTCAACATTTTCTGGAGTCCATATAATATAATTTACTTAAATATAATTTACACGCTATTTTGAAATGTACCAGGAGTGATTTTATAGTATTTTGTTCTAGATTATTTTTAAAGACAATTTCGTCACATGTTTACGGGAAGAACACATAAAAGTTACAACATTGACACAACACTACGTGCAAGATAATAATTGAAGGCCTACTATGTTGTAACGTGCTGCAAAAATAAGAAAAAAAGCTTTGCATTTTTAACGTGCCAAAAACTAAATACACATAAGTACAAGATCATACACCAGATGTTCTAAAAATGACCGAATTTTCTACTTTTCGACAATTTCGTAATTTTGAAAAATATTCTCAAGTAAGGTTGTTTGTTGTTTTTCTTTTTTGTTTTGTTTACAGTAAATCAAATTCTTTTATAAAATAGACGTCCAAAGAACTCCGTGTGTTTGATCAACATAAGCTAGCAAATGAAGAAAATAAACTATAGAACTGGGCTATATGCTATGAAAATATTTTTGTTAATAATGTCTGCAGTTAAGCTGTAAGCTTCAAGACAGACATATTAAACTTCTTCATTCGAAAAGTTTAGTAATTTGTGGAAGATAATGCACTTTCTTCTTATTAAACTGTAATAATGACAATAAAATCAGATTGGCAAATAAACGAGAGAAAATATATTTTCTTTGTAAAAATGTCTAAGAGTCAAGCTTGATTATTTCTAAAGTGAAGCTTTAAAATTGCAAATTTTTCTAAGTAAGTATTCTAGACACGTATTAAAATGCTGAATCAAATTAATAGGAAGCCGAGGGGTTGGGGCACCTTGTATCGAAACAAAATGAATTCGTTAGATTTTTAAAAGTTAAAATAGTGATACTTATGATGTATTAATGGTTGTTTTTAATAGGGTGTGCGTCATGGGTCGATATTGGCTTCCTAGTAATTTATTTTGGTGATATAATTCGATGCTGCAAACTAGAAACTCAAGTTATCACAACGTCTAGTAATAATAATAGATCAACAAACTTTTAGACTATATATATATATATAATTTATAGAAAACGAATTATTTCACGGTTGGAGAATGAAAACAATAATTTATCAACATTTTTTTCCAGTATCGACAAGACGATCAAAGAGACATGTGTGCCAAACAAACACACCCTGAACGCAATTCAGCGAATGTACCGGTTGATAATGAAAATTTCATACCTGAAAATAAAGTTATGATTACATGAGTAAATATTTAAATTTTGAACATAATTTAGCATTTCAGCAACCAAATCCCGGTTGTCAATTCATTATTAACACAATAATGTTCATCCAGATAAAATGTTTGTGGACATGTTTTGACAACGTGAAGCTGATCGTTAAAATAAATTGTATCATATAAAATAAAATAAAACAACATGATATCTTCCGATCAAAGGCAAAGAAATGTCAATGGGGAGTGAGGAGAGATACTAGTCGGAGTAGAAATGTTTGAAGCGGTTATTATTTTTTTCTAGTTAGATTTATCTCCCTTTAATGCTAGTAATTTTTACTCCCGCGCTTATTGCAGAGCCGAATAGCGCGTTCTATATGCCCCCACCCCCCACCATCCCTCTTTTAATTTATGTCTGAAAATATATCTTCAAAATGAGAGCAGATGGTCTTCCAGTCAGCTTGTATTAAATGTGAAATCACCGTGGCTGAGGCATAAGCAAATGTATTTTGTTGTCTGTCAAAGTTTCTTGTAAATATGTGTGTATACTCAATCAAATTCAATCACGGGACTTGTTAATCAGGACCAAGCTAATTCTGATTAATTGTTTAAGTTTGGAAATCATATCAAATCAGACAAACAATACACAAAATATGCGTATTTCTATTGATAATGTGTTTAAGGTGAACACACAATATCAAAGAAAGATAATAAATGAAACAGAAATAAATCATATCATGATGGCGTGTTCTTATTCTAAAGTATAATATTATATCCCTTTAACGCAAAATACATAATGTACTATAAATATACATTGACCCTTTAAGTGTTTGCTCGACGTCACGCATAATTATATTTCATCTCCATCCTCATCATGGTGTATTTGAAAGGTTTTTGTGTAATCACGTAGCACTCGGATTTTGTGTAGTTTTGGCGGAGTTGATCCCTTATTTGCCAGAATCTTGGTCGTTCAATTCTCATTAGAAAGGGTGAGAAAACGCGTTATAATATTGATGTGTATTGACGCCTCTATAATGTATCTGCCTTTCCTAATTTCCATCATTATATCCTGCCTTCTTTCGCCAGACCCCGCCACCAGTTCTAATCAATAACCCAAACTACCGCGTGACACGCGTTTCTTGTCGCAAAGATGTTATCCGAAAACTCGGATATGTCACTGTGAAACTGTGACACGATATACCACCCCTCCATCAATTTCATTATAGGTCTTAATAGTCCCAAACAATGAATTTTATCCTACCCGTTACGCGGTTTTACTTAGTGGGCCAAACCGTTTGGTAATGTAATTGGTTACTAGTGCACGAGACATGAGAGAAACCGCTTCAGTTCTGCCTGTAGTTGCCCCCGCCCCCACCAGCCCAGATTTTATTTATCCCTATTTTACTTAGTACTGGACATACTAAGAAATTGTATATTTTGTATGCCTAACCTGTAAATATGTCCAATTTGTGATCGCTTATATTTAACTCAAAAGGGGGTGGTTCCGAGCCAACCCACGTAAGTCTGTACCAAAAAGATGCAATAGGGTCAGAATAAATTGCTTTGTTATTAACTTGCTCCGATTTTTAGAACACCGTGACAAATAATTAAAGTAAATATCTGAATATCTGCATTATCGTCTTTTAAGCAGATTTTGATAACGCTTCAAGTCATCTCACTGGGTTTTCAAACACAATTACTTCTACATTCTTTTCAGCAAGATAAGTCGAGCAATCCCTAGTTTTTTCACCGATTACAGATTGCCATAGTGATTTTGAATGGTTATTAGAATTAATATGGGATAATTTTCAGTTACTTGACATTTAAAACTAGGTTAGTGAAATCTTGTGGACATTGAATTATTTAACTGGACAGAAAAAAGACCCCAAAATTATACTAAATAATGTCGGTCAACCATAAATTGGTAGAACACTTATAGCTAGTTTTAGGGGCTAAGTAAAGGGGAAGCAATGACGCGACCCTCCCAAAGCGGAATAAAAACACACAGTGTCAATGCGATTTTCATATGCATTATCGGTAACTGTATCCGCACTGCGGGGAGAGACTTCAATTTATTTTTTAATTGTTTTTATCTTTCGTTCTTTGGTGTAAAATACACCGTGAAGACCAATGCAATCTAGTACCTATTTGCACAAAATATACTAACACTCAGCCACAATCCTTTAAATAGCTCAAAATGTATATACCTGTATCAAGAATAACCGCTTGAAACTCTATTTCGTCAAAGAGCTACAGATAAATTTCGTATAGTAAGCCTACCACTCTTTGCAATGGAACTTGATGAAATGAATCAATCCATCATCGATTTGAATTGTGCACCATATTTGCTGATGGTAATGATAAGAGGTAAAAGCGATTATCGATGTTAGATATAAGTGTATACATTGGATACATCATCTATTCAATTATTAGTATAATATTGTCAAGAAGCTTAATGTTAAGTTATTCACATACGTCTCTTCTTCAGGAACGCTTTTTTTAAAAACCACCGGGGTTCCAGACTTTTAAAATATCATTTTCAGTCTAAAGTACTTGTGAGATAACTTCAATCCCACTGCAAAAAACACAAAAATCTACGATTGATTACATCACGGGATTAAGCTCGCATGGGGCCCCTGGCTAAAAATATCACCGAGGTCTATGGATCAACAGTGAAAAGGGGGTATATTCTGGTCATTGTCAGTCACATTCACGCAAATGCCATGTTTATGTAAGTAGATACACAGATTTATCTATTGGCACAAACATATACAACATAATAAGTAAAACTAATTTGGAGGCCGCTTTAATATTGGGGCCACTGGTTGCAGAAGGTCAGACCCCACCCCCTTTTAACCCGACCCTGATTGTTTAACAGAAAAGAACAAGGTTTATTGGGTCATAATAAAAGCAAGTAAAAGACGTTGAGCTAAGATCGAGTGAATATTGATTCGTTTAATTTATATCATAATGACTAACTTGCTTTTTGTAACATAGTCCTCGTAACAAGAGTAGTCATGCAAAGGGTTAAATGAAAAACAAGGGTTGTTAAATATGCAGTAACACATCTCCATGTAGTTCAGACTTTAAATAAGTCCAACGAATTCCCCACCCACACACCTATATTAGGCTACAATGGCCGTTATTTAGCAATTCTGTGTCTCGTCATAATATCGATCATTTTGTTGATTTATTCACGACCATTGTTAACAAATATGTCAAACATTTTAATGGTTTTGGAGATTCATTTGGTTGGGTTTCGATCTAATACCAATTATCATAACGTGTTACAGAAAATTAATAGCTTTAAAAAGAGTTCTCCATTTAAATTCCATCAACAAATTAAATTCATCCATTCATTAATCTACAGCAATCTATTGGTGTGGTGAATCACGTGATTCCCTGATACGATCTATGTGTACTCAAGACAACAGTTCTTTCGAAGATAAAAGATGGGTTTGCGGGCAACGAAACATACGCGCGGTCGACAAGGGTTGTCGCATATGTATTCTTTTGTAGATAATTGGGGGTATTTACAAGACAATTTCATACAGAGGGTTCACAAGGTTCTACAAACTGAAACAAGGGCCTTAACCCTGAAAGTAATAAACAGAAATTGTTGAAATTCGTTAGGCTTCTTCGTTTCACTGATATTAATGATGCATAACTTTCATACAAATCAGATAACTTTTGTGGTTAGAAGGGTCACAAGGTTCAACAAAGTGAAACAAGGGTCATAACTCTAAACGTAATAAACAGAAATTTCTGAAATTCAATTGGCTTCTTCATTTTACCAATTTAAACAATGCATATAAATTTGATACAGATCTGATGATAAATATAGTCTGTAGAGTGTTCATAAGGAATTGTGGACGTATAAAAATGATGATTTAAATTCCGCTAAGTCATGTCTTCAACGTATCATGTATTATGCATGGCATAGAAGTTACAGAGATCACAAACAACGAGAATTGGAGTATTAAAATGGTGTAAGGTTCGTGGAAACCTCCTATTAAGTTATACCTAAGTTCAACTCTATCATTGTTTATATGTTAAGATTTACCAGCGTTTGCCACATTATAAATAATCTGAAAGATGCATTATGTAAGATTTAGATAAGGAGTTGACCGTTCTTGCTACAATAGTTTAAAAATAGATAATACAACATGAATATATTGAACATTTCAGTCAAATTACAGTATTCTAAGCGAAGTGTGCTACGATAATAAACGTTTAATGAAGATATGGCAAACACTGTCCGATCCATTCAATATCTCAGTCATCCAATAGTCTATAGTGAGTTGATTATGGGTTTGTCAAGTGAATACATCTTTAAATAACAACTTATATAACATTTGAAGCTAGAAAATAAAACCTGCAATACGTAGATTTAGCTCTAACGTAATAAATCTACATCTTTAAAATGAAGTCTTACACAATGCATCTTAAAAATGAAGTAAGTCCATCTGAAATATATATTATATTCTTTCCTGGTTATCAATATCATTATTTGTAAAAAATAATTTTATGGTCGGATAATAATAATAGCTATCTTATCTGGACTAAAGGGTAGCATCATATCAATTCCCCAAACCGTATTTAATATATAGTAACTACATTCATAATACATAAACATAACGTACTTTCATACGCTACAAAAAGAACACCAAGACCTCCAGGAATCTACAATGGAAAGGTGAGCGTTCTACAGACCCCTGACTAAATAAAAAGCAGGTGGCGATGCGCGGTATTGAGAAAATACACTATACCTTAGAACACGAGAAGTAAATAAATAAATGCACGTGTCCGTATAGTGATGATTGCATTACACTTTGATATTTAATGTGTTCTAATTTGGATGACATAGGGAGAATGCCTACACATACACCCCGCCCTGCTTACAATAATATCATCAGCTGTGAAGAGATAGTCTACTACTAATCTCACTCCCTATCCACATCATGTTCGATGAAGTTATTTCAGAAGATTTACTGGCGATGTGATTCGG